CAGTTTCTGTTTTAAAGTCTATTTTGTCATAGATAAGTATTTCTACCCCAGCTTTCTTTTCATTGCCATTTGCATAGAGCATCTTTTTCTACCCCTTCACTTTCAGTTTGTGAGTGTCTTTAGGTCTGAAGTGTGTCTCTTGTGTGCAGCATATATATGGGTCTTATTTTTTTATCCAATGAGCCACCCTATGCCTTTTGATTAGAGCATTTAGTCCGCTGACATGTAAAGTAGGTGTTCATAAGTATGTACTTATTGCCATTTTGTTACTTTTTTTCTGGGTGTTTTAGTAGTTCCTCTCTGTTCCTTTCTTCTTCTCCTGCTGTCTTCCCATGTAGTTTGATGGCTTTCTTTAGTATTACATTTGGGTTCCTTTGTCTTAATTTTTTGTTTATTTATTATAGGTTTCTGGTTTTTGATTACCATGAAGTTCATATATAATAACCTATGTAAATGGCAATCTATATTAAGTTGATGGTCTCTTATATTTGACCTATTGCTAAAAGCTCGATACTCTTTTACTCCCCTCCTCCCACATTTTATGTTTTTGATATCATATTTAACCTCTTTTGTGTGTATATCCCTTAACCTCTTATCTTGGAAACAGATAATTTGAGTACTTTTGTCTTTTGACTTTCACATTAGCTTCATAGGTGGTTGATATGCTACCTTTACTATATATTTGCCTTTACCAGTGATTTTATTATTATGATTTTTTTGGATAATTTTCTTATTCCTTCTTGTGGTCTTCTCTTTCCCATTTAAATATGTCCCTTTAACATTTCTTGTAAGAGTGGTTTCTTGGTGATTAACTCCTTTAATTTTTGCCTTTCTGGGAAACTCTTTATCTCTCCTTCCATTCTTAATGATAACCTTGCCAGGTATAGTGTTCTTGGCAGTAGGTTTTTTCCTTTTGGCACTTTAAATATATCATGCCACTCCCTTCTAGCCTGTGAGGTTCCTGCTGAGAAGTCAGCTGATAGCCTTATGAGGTTTCCTTTGTATGTAACTTGTTGCCTTTCTCTTGCAGCTTTTAGGATTCTCTGTCTTTAGCTCTTGACATTTTAATTATGAAATATCTTAGCATAGGCCTTTTTGGGGTTCATCTTGTTTGGTGCTCTCTGTGCTTCCTGTACCTGGATTTCTGTTTCCTTCCTTAGGTTACCAAAGTTTTCAGCTATTATATCTTCAAATAGATTCTCTGCCCCTGTGTCTCTCTCTTCTCCTTCTGGGACACCAATAATACGGATGTTAGTGCCCTTGATGTTGTCCCAGAGGTTCCTTAGACTGTCCTTGTTCTTTTTCTTTCTCTTTAGCTTGGTTGATTTCCTCTAGTCTTTTATCCCACTCACTGATCCATTCTTCTGTATCAACTACTCTGTTATTGAGTCCCTCTAGTGAATTTTTCATTTCCATTATTGTGTTCTTCAGTTCTGATTGGTTCTTTTTTTATATTTTCCAATTCTTTGCTGAAGTTCTCACTGTATTTATATATTCTTCTCCCAAGATCAGTAAGCATCCTTATGACTATTAGTTTGTACTCTTTATTAGGTAGCCTGTTTATGTCTGTGTCATTTAGTTCTTTTTCTGAGGATTTGTCCTGTTCCCTTATTTGGAACATATTCCTTTGTCTCCTCATTTTGCCTATTTCTCTATGCTTATATCTATGTTTTAGGTAGATTAGCTACGTCTCCCAATCTTGGAAAAGTGGCTTTATGCCTTATGAGGTCCAGCAATGTGCTTCCCTCTCGTAACCAGTTCCAAATGTTTCAGGAGTGTCCCCCTGTGTGGGCTACGTGTGTCCTTCTGTTGTGGCAGGATTACTCTTGCTGAACTGGGGAGGCTAGGCTGTCCCCACAGTCAGCTGGTTGAAGGCTCAGCTCCGTGCGGCTGCTACAGTCCCTTCAGTCACTTTATTGGGCATTGGGAGCCACACAGAATTGGCTGCAAGGTCTAACAGCACATTCCTGCTGCAGTTTTTCTGTTAAGTGAGTAGGTCCCCAGCGTGGCTGGTTGCTAGGCTCAGGGGCTCACAATTGCTGTAGGCCTCCAGCCTACAGGCTGTTGTCAGCTCTATCAGTAGTGCAGCTGGGTGGGGCTGGCCCCCACGTGTGGCAGCACACAATTATTTCAGGTATTGGAAGGTGGGGCAGATTCCCTATATGGCTGTTTGAGAAGCACAAATCTACTACAGCTGACAAGCTCCACCACCTGCTGGCCCACACACAGTCATGCCCTGTGCACACACCCTGCCCCAATGAAGCAGACCCACTTGCCCTGTGCAGAGGCCCTACACACTCTGCCAATGCATGCCTGCCCCTCACACATGCCCTGCCCCGCAGAGGCGGACCCACTTGCCCTGCTGCAGAGGTCTCACACACCTCACTTATGCAGGCACACAAATTGCCTCAGGCTTTGCTGTTGGGCAGGGCCCGTCCCTAGGGTGGACTCCCTGCCCTCACTGAGCTGGATTAAATCGGTGCTCTATTGGGTGGGGGAAACCCCTGCACTAACAGGCCAGGGAAAGATCTCCAAGGGCATCTGCCAGCATCTCTGTCAGTAGGCCTGTACTAGGTCACAATAATGGCTGACGCTAATGTCTCAGTCCCTGATGAGGTGGTCTCAGCCACCTTCTGCCTCCCTGAGATCCACCCAGAGCCTATCAAGCGAGTCTCTTTTCACCAAAGGACTGTGCACCTTTCTTTCTGGTGATTATATGTTGCTTTCTGAAATGGGTAAATTTATGCATGGGCCCTTTAAGAGCCAGCTTTTCTGGGGGATTTCCCATTGTTGTTAGTAGCCAGCAAAGCCAGATATTATGACACTTGTCTCAGATGTGCTGAGTTCAAAAGCTGCCTATTGTAGCATAGCTCTCCCTCTGAGATCCCCTGCTCCTCCAGGGAAAGCCTCGTACCTTCAGATTGCTCCCTGCTGTGAAGCGCTGCAGCTAGAGTGTGGCTTTTTTCTCTCGAGAAAGGTACTTCTGCCTCTTTCACCTCAGTCAGCACTGTCCTTTGTTGTGGGGGTTCTTTTTATCCAGTTTCTGGGTCTCTCTCAGGGGTAACTGTTCCAAAGGTAACTATAAATTTGTTGTGTCCATGCGAGGAGGTGAGTTCAGAGTCCTCCTACGCCACCATCTTCCCAGCAATCTAACTCTATATATCACATTTTCTTTATCCATTCATCTATTGATGAACACTTAGGTTTTTTCCACATCTTGACTATTGTGAATAACGCTACAATGAACATGGGAGTGCAGGTATCTCTTCAAGATAGTGATTTCATTTCCTTCAGATATATACCCAGAAGTGGGATTGCTGGATCATATGCTAATTTTATTTTTAATTTTTGAAGAACCTACATAATGTTTTTCCATAGTGACTGCACCAATTTACTTTCTCACCTACCATGCACATGGTTTCTCTTTTCTCCACATCCTCACCAGCACTTCTTATCTCGTTTTTGATAACAGACATTCTAATAGGTGAGAGGTGATATCTCCTTGTCATTTTGATTTGCATTTCCCTGATGATTACTGACATTGAGCACCTTTTCACACACCTGTTGGCCATTTGTATGTCTTCTTTGGAAAAACGTCTATTCAGGTCATTTGCCCATCTGTTAATTGGATTAATTGGCTTTTTTTTGTTTTGTTTTTGCTATTAAGTTTTATGATTTCTTTATTATTTTGGATATTAACCCCTTAGTTATATGATTCCCAAATATTTTTTCTCATTCCATAGATTGCCTTTTCATTTTGTTGGTTTCCTTTGCTGTACAGAAGCTTTTTAGTTTGAGGTAGTCCCACTTGTTATTTTTGCTTTTGTTGCTTGCGCTTTGGTGTCACAGCCAAAAAATTTTTGCCAAGACCAATGTCAATGAGCTTTTTCCCTGTTTTCTTCTAGGATTTTCATGGCTTCAGGTCTTACATTTAAGTCTTTAATCCATTTTAAGGTAATTTTTCTGAGTGGTGTAAGATAGGGGTCCAATTTCATGCTTTTGCATTTGAATATCCAATTTTCCCAACACTACTGAAGAGACACGTGCCTGATAATTTCTGATTGGATGAAAAACATTGTGAGGTTTATCTTGCTGGGTGCTTGATATGTTTGTATTCATAAAAATATTCTTGAGCTTTGTTCTCTACAATATGGTTAAGTTACTTGTAAACAGTTTAGTCCTTTCAGGTCTTGTTTTTAAGCTTTGTTGGTGGGATCAGAGCAACAGTTAGGCTATGGTTAATTTTTCCCTCCACTTTCAAGCAACATCATTCTTAGTCCTCTAACCAATGCCCTGTGAATCATGAGGTTTGAGGCGGAGGCTCTATCCTCTGCCCTCGTGAGCTCTGGGAACTGTTTCTTCTAATCCTTTGGGTAGTTTGTTTCTTGGCCTCTCAGGTAGTGTCCTCACACACATGTGATTGTCAGTATTCACCTCTGCAGATCACTGTAGGGACTTCATTGCCTGTTATCCAGTGTCTTCAGGGCTGCTGGTTCACATAGTTTGTCTGGTGCTTTAGTTATTTCAGATACGAGGGTCTCTGTTACTCCAACTTGGCAGGTAGTTCCCATTAACTTTTAAAAACTAGTGGGTTTGGTTGCTTTGTTTAAAAAACTGTGTCATTTGTGTGTCCCTTCCCCCTCACACCTGTTATTTCCTCTGTATTTACAGTTTTAGTATCATGCACATTACAAAATGCGAATTGTGACTAGGTGGGTGACTCGGGATCAAGGGAAGGTGCCCTGAGGAGAAGGATAAAAAGAAGCTCACCATACTTAGTACTTGAAGTCAAAACTCAGAACTGATTTCCACCAAAGGGGGTCATGTAGGCAAGCCCACATATTGTCACATGAACTCATTTCTAACATGAGTCATTAACATTTAATTTGAGTAAATTATTGTAAATGTTGTTCTGAACCAATACACTATACAAGCATTAAAACAAATAAACAAACAAGAAAAGGAAAATGTAACATTGAAAATGACGTTTCATATAATACCTTCTGTTGCCATGCCCCAACTTCCCATCTTCTGCCTCACCCCAAGAGTAAACTTCTCCTTCTGAAGAGAGGGCAAGACAGTGTTTTCCTCCTGAGTTCACAGCTACTTTCTTAATAAACACATGCTGAATGGATTCAAGTAATGTTGGGGTAGATACCGACTCTGTCCCTCCAATTCCTAGTCTGCCGCCTGCACCATACCCAGTGGCATACAGCTAGGACAAAAAAATTAATATAAGGATCAGATTTTTATCTAAATATCCTTGTATTTTAGTAATTAATAAACCCAATCAATGCCCTACACATTTTTACCACAGAGAAATGAAATTTAAAAATCACATAAATGTTTAAGACTTTATTTGTGCTTTATCAGAGCTCTACAAATGAAAGAAAAAGTTATGATTATTAGAAATCTCAAATTCACAAAATGTATTTTGAAAATAAGGTCTTTTTCCTGGAAGCATGTCTATTTTTGTCTAGAATATCAACTACAATTAATAAAAGAAAAACAAAAAAGATTTAATTATCTACTATATGCAAAACCCTGATAATAACACCCACATAAAAATTATATTTAATATTCCTGTAAGGCAGCATATAAATTACCCAGAATAGCACTCTTTTTCTTTCACTCTAAGTGGGTAATTGTTTTGAGACACCAAACATCTTTACCATTAATTAAAAAAAAAAAAATCAGACTGTCATTTCAAAATGCATATCAAACATCCCTCCTATAAAAATGTCAATGCCGTTTCAAATGTGTTGCTGCACTGACACAACAGGAAGGCAACCTCAAGGACTAAAACAGGAAGTGAAACCAAGAACTCAGGCGGATGAATGAGCCCCAAAGCCAGCTTCCTCTGGGAAGGTTTTGAGGATCTGGAGTGCACAGAGTGTGGGGGGTGAGGTGCCAAGCCTAAAGGGAGACTCTCTGTAGAAAGGTGAGGCTCCAAAGGGCTATAATCTCAGACTGTGAATGAGAACTAAGACAACAACAACGAAGAAAGCTGTGCTTCTTAATCTGAGCACTGAATGAGAAGCGGGGAAAATCTCTCCTGAGAATTCATAACCACAAAAGTTGATCGTTAAGTTAGTTTTCAGTTTGAATTTATGCTACCTATGGTCTAAATTCCTTAGGTGGAGAATTTAACTTACAATGTCTTAGGTTGGTAGTAACCCACAGTCATACATTCTCTTTTGATTAGTGATTTCAAACTAGGCCTCAAAGGGTATCTACATAAAGTTTTCCAAGGAAAATAGCTCATAGTTTGAAAAATTCACATCATACAAAAGGAAAGAAGGCACCACAAGTGCGAGTCCGCAGACCAACAGTCCAATATTATGTTTAAAGAAGTAGCAGCTTAACAGTATCCCCAAGGAACAAGAGACTATAAAATAACCACAGCAGAACTTCCAGAAATTAAAAAGATAATAATTGATATTAGAAACCCAGATGTATTAAACAGCAGATTATAAACAGGTGAAGAGAGATCAGAGAACTGGAAGATGGATCTGAAGAAATTATCCAGCATATGGCACAGAAACACACAGAGAAGAGGAGATAGGAAAGGAGGGTTAGAGATACAATGGATAGACCATCTCACTTGAACATCAATCAGAACTCAGAGTTTCAGGCAGAAAGCAATATTTGAAAAAAATGCTAGGAATTTACCAGAGTTGTCGAAAAGACCACTTCTCAGAACCAGGAAGCCCACCCCCCAGCCCTCACCACCTGACAATAACAAAACAAAACAAAAAAGGGCTGGAAAAATAAAAAGAAATTGACATCTAAATACGTCACAATGAAACGGTACATTACTAAAGAAAGATCTTAAAAGCAGCCACAGAGGGGCCGGCCCAGTGGCGTGTGGTTAAGTGCACGTGCTCCGCTGCAGCAGCTTGGGGTTTGCAGGTTCGGATCCCAGGCACGGACCTATGTGCAGCTTGTCAAGCCATGCTGTGGTGGCGTCCCATATAAGGTAGAAGGATATGGGCACGGATATTAGCCCAGGGCCAATGTTCCTCAGAAAAAAGAGGAGGACTGGCATCGGATGTTAGCTCAGGGCTAATCCTCCTCACAAAAAATTTAAAAAAAGCAGCCACAGAGAAAAGATTTATTACCTTCATTTGGGTAAAACTTAGTCTGACTGCTGACATCCCATTAGCAACAATGAAGGCCAAAAACCAAAACAAAACTTTTAATAGCCTAACTGAAAATAACGGTCAACTGAAACTTTCATACTCTAGAACAGAGGTTGGCAAATTACAGCCAATGGGCCAAATCAGGCCCACTTTGTAAATGAAGTTTTATTGGAATACAGCCACACACATTCATTTATATATTGTCCACAGGCTGCTTTCACAGTTGCAACAGAGACTTTATGACCTACATAGCCGAAAATACTACCATGCCCTTTACAGAAAAATGTTTGCAACCCTTACTCTAGAAAAGGAACAAAATAAAGATATTCTCATATAAACAAACAAAAACAATCAGAGGATTAACCAACAAAAGATCCTCACTAAAGGAAACTGAAAACATATGTTTAAAGTAAAAGAAATATAATTGTGGATAGAAGGTCTGAGGTGTTAAGAAATAATGGTGAGCAAAGATGTGTGTAACATTTGGGTAAATCCAGAAAAAACATGGATTATATATATAAAACAACAATAATAATAATAATGCCTACCCTTAGGGGCATAAGTTAGTGCCAAAACACAGCACAACAAAGAATCAGCATTTGTATTATTTGGGAGGAGGGTAGAAATACTAATTAACTTTAGATTTTAAATATGCAAGTTAAAATAATCAGGAAACTAAAAGATACAGAATTCTCCAGAGAACAGAAAAAGAGGGATACACTTCAACCCTTTTTATGAAGCTGGCACCACTTCATACTCTTGGCGGATGGCCTCTGACGTGGTTCCCAAGGGTCCCTGCTCGAAGGGATTCCTGCCCCCATGTAATTTCCTCTCCTTGAAAGTCACTAGACCTAGTGACTCACTTCTAATGGACACAATATGGCAACAAGGATGGACTGCCACTTCTGAATTAGGTCACACAAGACCGTGACTTCCATCTTGCTATCACTCTCTCTTGCCCCCTCCCTTGCTCGCTCTGAAGAAACCAGCTACCATGTTGTGAGACGGCAAAGAACTGAGGGCGACCTCAGCCAACAGCCCACGAGGAACTGAATCCTCCTCAGTACAGCCCTGAGGCAACTGCAGCCTGGTGAGAGATTCTGGGCTGGAAGACCCACCTCCAGAGTCCTGACCCAGAGAAACTGTGAGGTAATAAATGTGTATTGTTTTAAGTTAATTGTTGTAAGTAAAACAAATAACTAATACAGTACTAAGATCAGACAAGGAGTGCATAAGACAGGAAAATTATGATGATGGCACTCATGATTTTGGATCTCCCCAAAACCACAAACAAAATATTCACCAACACAAACCAAAAACCTATAAAATATATACTGACCAAGCTGGGTTTCTCCAAAGAATGCAAGACTATTTAATATAAGAAAACCAATTAATACAATTCACTATATTAATCCAATAATGGAGAAAACATCCATAAGAATATTTTTTTAAATGCAGAATGAATGTTTGACAAAAGTAAATATCTGTACATGAATAGAAACAGAAGGGAACTTCCTCAATCTGATATAAGGCATCTACTGAACCACCACAGTAAGTATGCGAAACATTCAATCACAGTGTTTCCTTTGCAGCCTGGACCAAGAAAAGAACAGACCCACTACCACCACCCCTGTTCAATATTATACAGCAACTTCCCCCAAGCACAAGGAGCAAGAAAAATGAAAAAAATAAAAGATAGGTAAACCAGAAAGGAAGGAACAAAATTCATTTACAGATTATGGTTCTCCATAAAGATACAAAAAAATCTTGAGACACATAAGAAAGAAAAGAGTAGAATAAGGTCACTAGATGTAAAGTCGATACATAAACATCAACTATTTCCACACACCAGCAGCAATTCATTTTTTAAAAGATAGCATTATGATAGCAAACAAAAAAGGAATACATCTAACGAATTACTGTAATGCAAACAATTATAATATACTTCTGTATGCATGCTGTATTTCAAAATAAAAATTTTAAAGTTATAGAACACATTACAAATCATACAGAAATATTCTAGAACAATGACTGCTTCTAGCACAACTTAAGTACTATTACTCTTGAGATAATGTTTCAGTACAGAATCCTGACACACACTATGGACCAAACAATGCACTCTAGACACAGTTGTCGCTCAGTTTTAATGTCCATGTGACACAGAAAATGCACCCTTACCTTCCCATCAGCTGTCACTGCAAAGAGAGTCTGTTCTCCTCCAATTAACTGCACGGGTCTGAGAGTTGCAAGGGCTTCACATGGGGTGGGAACTTTAACTTTTGCACCTTCAATGCCCCCAAGCTGCCCCCTATGATTGTGTCCCCATCCATAAATTGTTCCACTGCCGCCAGCAGAAAGAGTCCAGTCATCTGGTCGCCTACAACAAACATTAAACGAACAATGGACATGGGAAGAACTGCCTGTGAAACACCTTGCTCTCCCATACAACATTATTTCTTGCTTCTAATATAATAACCTGTTCATCCACTGCACCAGTTGTTCATCTTGCTCTCTCTTAAAAATGTCGTGGCTCTCATGGAGAACATCCATGTTTTCGCTGTCTGCCATTAACTCACGAATTTTCTTAGCCACCTAGACAACATTATTATGAGATTATAAATCAAACACTCATCTCTCAAGAATAAAATAAATACTATTAAGGTAAGAAGCCAGGAAGAATCCTCAACTGAGAACATGAGGGAATGCCAACATCAGCACTGATTTTATGGTTAATAAGCAAAATCAATATGATTATATCAAGTCTATGATAGTAAAAGAAAGTCTAGGCGGTACCATTATGTCTTCAGTTTACTAAAAGTAAACTTTAACTGAAATTCACAATGTCACTTCATTCACTTTCACCTATGTGCTTTTTCCTTGAGAAATGTTGCTGTGTCTCATAATATTGTCATCTTTTTATATTGTAGCTGAATAAAGAAAACGCTTTTGCATTCCAAAATAACATGCAATACCTCATCGAGAAACAGACGGGGCAATGGTGTTCTTTTGTCCAGGGCCACAGCAACGCGGGAGGCCATGCAGTACCTTCGAAACCAAGCCCACTTGTGTGTCTCAGCACAGCAAGGGAGAGTGTCTAGTTCCAGGTCACAAGCAAGAGCTACCAGTACCTGCAGCCACCAAAAATTAACACAGGGACACTCAGAAATGCAGCTTACATTCCACTTCACCAGCACTGCACGCCAAAGACGACCACCATCACAGGGTTTCCGTGGGTCCTCATTCAGGAGCTCCTATTTCAGGCTGACTGCCAGTCGCCCAGCAAGTGTTTTCCCACCAGTGATGTGAATTATTCCTACCCAGTTTCTAGCAATGCACCTGACACAGAGGACCTCAGATTCACAACTGCTACAACACTTGCTGCCTAAGTCAACGCACCTCAAAGCATGCTAATACTTCAAGTATAAGGGCTTAGATCATACAGTCATTTTTGGAAATTTTTCATATTCAACTTCAGCAATACCTACACCTGTCCTCAAGGAGGCCTGAAACTCGATACACTGCACAGAGCTCTCTGTGGCTCTTCCATCACTTTAAAACAAGCCGAGTATTACCTTAAAGAACGGGCTGTGGAGCAGCTGTTTCCCACCTCTCACAATAGGATCTTCATATTCAAACTGCCTTTGCAAAGCTTCTGGGAGGCCTTTCACCAAAGCAGCAAGAGCACTGCCTGTAAAACTCTAAGAAAATAACAAAATTATATCCTATTCCAGGAACCTAAAAGGCAAAAGTTGAGTGTTTGGTTTCTATGAGTTAAATGTTTTATTATATTGGTACTATTTGCCCTAAAAAATACATATATTAATATTTTCAAAGAGGAAAAAACCTAAAATGACATAATGAGTAAGAAAATAAAAAAGGAGCTTGAAAATTCACTTCAGAAAGTTTGGTCTCAATTTCAGTATAGCAACTCCCAGGGAACCAGTTCTTTTCTGGCCTACAAACCCCTGTCTCCTAAAATGGTTAGGATTAAGCATTCTTTTAACAGTAACCACCTCATCCAGCAAAACAAAGGGGATGTGGTGAGTCAGACCCACTGTAAAGTACAACAGACACGATCCTATGCTCACAGCCATCGACACATTGCTGTTTTTAAAATCAAAGTCCAGCCCGCACGCAGTATATACAGCAACATAAGAAAGTCTGGATGTGACAACAGCCGCCTATTCTGATGTGGAATTTCCCAACTCTTCTCGGTGATTTAGAAGTTTCAATTATTAAAGCATTTTATTCCCAAAGGGTCAAATGTCTAGAAACTATAATGTAATGTTCCATACCAAAGCCCTTGTTTCCCCGTCATTATCTCCAAGGAGCCTGTTTATGTTAATTGATTGCCCAAATTCAGTTGTAAGCAGCTTCCTCAGTCTCTGAAGGGCCCACATTCTGTGACTGGCAGCTGAAATGAGTAGACAAAAACTATCAGAAGTTTGACCATCTTTCCCATTGAGTACGACAGACATGACGATAAAGGTGCCGTTTACCTAAGGCGCTCAGCTGTGCGCACGCTGCCAGTGATGCCGCGAGGCGAGGGACGATGCTTCTGTTTGAGGCAAGATTGAGCCGGAAGTCTAACAGACATGTCACCAAGTCCATGGATGGACAGGAGAGGACGCAGCGATCGGAAAGAAGGTCTTTAGGGCCTAAGAAAGGAGCACTATAAATATCCCTATAACAGCTAGATCTTAAGTTAGCATGAGGGAAGCCATCTTAGGGAAAAGAAGCAATATTAACTGTGACCCTGACTCAGTAGACTCTGAGAATGCACTCTAGCCTGCACGTAGCCTAGATGATTAAGCACCTCTTGCTTTTGCAAAATACATGATCTGCTAGTTCTACGACTTGCTTACGATATCTCCCAGCTGTGATAAGTCAATAACTTTGTTCTCCGAGTCCCCGAGGAACATGATGACCTCCAGAAAGAAAAACTCTGTGTTGGTACCCATCACAAATGACAGAAGAAAGAGATAACGTGGCACCTTGAAGTTCGTCATACCAGATGATCAACATCCCTAAATCCCCTCTTCCCTGCCCATTTCCCCCTATGTTAACTGCCTCAAGATTCTGTACGATTTTAAAATGGTTCTTTAGGACACTAGTCCACCATCTTCCAATTATGCTAGCTAATCGTACAAACTTTACCTTCTCAAACACCGACGCGTCTGCAATTGATTGGCACTAGATTGCGGCAGGCAGAACGAGTCCCTTTTTGCTCAGTTACATCCCCGTACTGGACAGGGCGAGAGCTACCCCACAAGGAGACTTCCACAAAACTGACAAATAAGGACTGGGCCTTGTCCACCCGGATGCCATGGTTAGGGGGGTGCTGTAGTACGGCCACTGTCTATGTCACATAACTACGCTCGGTACACTGACACTTTACCTGAAAATCAAAGGGCTTAAGAATTGCAACCAGCAACAGCTTCTTTCCCATTGGGTGGGGATGAAGTGCTAACACCCTAACAACTGGATGACTGCAGCGGCTCTTTGCAGTTCTGATCTTTGCCCTGGTGGGACCTTGGGCAGTGCTGGCTCCCAACACAACAGGAGAAGGCAGACCACAAAGTATTAAATGCAAATGGTTTGTGTGTGCACCTTGCTTGGGTCATCAAGCCTTTGTCCCTCTAAGCAACCCCCTTACCTGCAGCTGGCATGATGGGATAGACTGTGAAGCGCCAGCCCCACCCATTCACAGACCCGTCGCTGATGAACTTCCACCTCAACTCATCCCCTGGGATGCGCAGCTCGCTGGACCAGTCAGACCACTCTCGGCCTGGTGGAGAAAAGCACACCTTGCTGTTAGTTTCATTCCATCAACACTAACTTCTTCAGATACAAAGCAAAATCATTCACATGTCTGAAGAACAGCAGGCTCCTCTAACCCAAGTCTTCCCAAATTTGAGTTCACACCATTCTTGGTGAACCACATTTTAATATATACCACCCTTCAACACACACTGCACCAAGTACTGGGGAAACATGGCAGGCGGGCACCACCTGATGGAAACACTCACACAACTACAATGCAGTGTGAGAGGCCTGCGGAGCAGCCAGCACCCACATCCAGATCAGGGGCCCAGGCAGGTTTCCTGGGGAATGTCTGAGATGATGGCAGTTACCCAGGTAACAGGAGAAAGAGCCCTAGTTTTCTCCACAGAGGGTGCAAGTGTGCAAAGGTCTGAGCAAACAGGGCGTCCCTGGGACACAGGGGCAGCTCAGCACGGAAGGGCTACCCTGAGGTAGAGTGGAGCAGCACAGGCAGAGCCCGGGGCTTGGGGTGGCATGGAGGGGAGCCAACGAGACATCTCTGTGGTATGCTACCCCGACCAGGTTTCTACTTAGAAGGGCTGTCTGGAGCAGTGTGGGAATGGCCTGGAGGGGCTTCCTGCTGGAAGCAGAGAAACGAGGCACATCTGACAACACTATTGAAAACTATTTCGACATTCGTCAAACTGCCAGGAAAAATCCGTGTTCATCTGTAACCACATCACTTCATTCAAAGCTTTAGACCAGGGTTTAAATAGGTAACACCTTGTGAGTAAAGTTCTGTGGGGACACAGCCAGGTCCATCGTTTACATTCAGTCTGTTGCTGCTTTCACTACAAAGGCAGTGGGGAGTAGTTATGCCAGGGAATGTGTGCGAGATGGAGGATAAAGAAGTCTGAAAAAGATACACACACATACATACACCCCTACACTAATGATTCTAAAAAGCCCAGTGAAAGAGCATTTAACAAGCACCCCAGATAAAGTGATTTGCTCAACGTCATGGCACACATCAGCAGAGCAGAGACAGGTCTGGAGGTGATGTCTCCTATCTACTCCAGCGCTGTGTCTACCACATGTACAGAACGCTCACTCTGCGCAGAGCCCAGCCCTCACTGCAATCAGTTAAAAAATGAATCCCTTTAAGAAGTTTTGTAGTATGTCAACCTTTACCTTGCATGAGCCTGGCACTCCCACATATCTTACAGCACACTCTCCCACTAGTCTCCCAGGAGGCTAGGACTCCTGTGTCCATGACAAGGACCAGCTCTCATGCCAGTTCCCCAGTAGTCCCAACCAGTGGTGAGGTGCACTTATCAGTTGGATAATTATCTTATTGAAAGTACTCTAAAGAAGCAGACAAAACCTACTATATTTTGCAGCAAAATAGCTTATTGTCCCTTCCTTAAGTCTCACATAAAAAAGAAGTAGTAGTATTCTGTTTAGTAATGTTAATGATTCCATCTTACAACGGTGAGCAGATCGTGCCCTGTTCAACCTCCCTTCATACCTGACCGCACCGAGACAATCCTATTGACACCATCCATGACTGTGAGAGGATCATGGCGCCTCTCTGTGGAGCACTGCCGGTCAAACTCCACCCTGAGTCCTTCTGCACCTGGAGGACAAGTGAGCACAAAACACAGAGTCACCACTCCCAACTGACATACCACAGACAAGGCCAAAAGCCACAACACACCATGTAGAAACAGTGAGACTAAAATGTTTAACAGCTAATGAAAGCAGAAAGTCAGGAAGAACTGACCTCAAAAACAAGAACCTAAGACTGACCACCACCCTCCCTGCACGCTGCATCCCACAGAAGTCTTTGCCTGCAATGGCAAGGCCAGAAGACACTTCTGCTTGGCCAATTCATTTTGTGCTCTCACTTCTGGGCAAATCTTCATGCTGCAACTCCAATCACCAGAGCAAGCTTTATTATCCTGCCCACTACATTCAAAATGCCATATAAAATCATATCCCTCAAGCATTTAACATTAGATCTAGAGTCTTATATGGGTCAAATTAGCTTACAAAAGAATTAATGAAGGGCAAGACCTCAGTTATGCTGGAGGAAAGAGGTTGGCAAATCCTCTTCCCCCAAAACAACTATAAAACCACACAAAATTCTAAAAAAACGACAATTCCAGGGCTCTGTAAATCCATTAAAGGCAAACAACAAATTGAGAAGTATCTACTCATGAAAAAACTGCTAAACTTGAGTAGAGACAGTGAGAACCTATGGTGTTCTGGCCTGGGCTGCTCTCATCTGAGCTGGAGTACATTCTCACCAGGACAAGACTCTGCCTCCAGGGGAAGATGACTGGGGTAGAGGAGGGGACAGAAAACACATGCCAGGGCAGTGCCAGTAAAAGGTCCAATAGGTGAGCCTGCATCTCTACTGGCCCAAGGACATGGTGTGACTGGGTGAGTGTCAGACCTGAGAACTAGCCAGAAATTTAACAGGGAGATTCTAGGAAGAAGTCAGCGAGCACAGAAGGGCTAAATGAGGGCGTCATGGAGGCCTAGACAAGTCAGGGCACAAACACACGAAAAAACTGCCAAAATGCCAGACTGAAAACTGCCAAACTAGTTCCACGCCCTTCCCACCCCCACCCACATGGGGAGCCATCAGCAGAAGGGGAAACCAAGAGGCCTGATCACTAAACCAAGCAGATATGAAGCAAACCCTAGAAGTCAGGCTAGAAAACAAAAATGAGAACAGAAACGTGAAGCTGGACATCCGTGGCTATGTGCTGTGGGGGAGACAGATTTCAGAGAGCAATTCCAGGCATGCTACAAAACAAACACACAAAATAACCCAAGAAACACAGCAAGAATACAAATCTTAAACAAAGAAACCATCAGAATCCAGATGATACAATATATTATCTAAAATGTCCAGTTTTCAATAAAAAATTATGAGACATGCAAAAACACTGAAAAGTATGAGCTACGCTCAGGAAGAAAATCAGTCAATAGGAGCTAACTCTGATGGGCCAGAGGCAGGATTTAGTAGACAACAACTTCAAAGCAGCTATAATAAATATGTTCAAAGAGTTCAAGAAAACCAGAGAAAAGATGATAAAGGAAAATATGATTATAATGACTCAACAAATACAGAATCTCAATAAAGAGAACTATGAAAAAGTACTAACAGGAAATTTTTGAGTTGGAAAGTATAATGACCAAAATGAAAAATTCACTAGATGGGCAAAACAGCATATTTTAAATGGAAGGAAAAAATATTCAGTCAACCTGAAGACTATATAATTTCTATTACTCTATCTAGAGAACAGGAGAAAAAAGATTAAAGAAAAATGAGCAGTCTCAAACACCTGGGGGACAACATCAAACATACAAACATGTGCACAATGGGAATTTCCCCCCAAAAAACAGGGAAGAGGAAAAAAGGGGGCAGAAAAAGTACTTGAACAAACATGGCCCCAAACCCATTAATTTGATGAAAAACATTAATCTACAGTTCCCCAAATTAATAAACTTCACGTGGAATAAAGACAGAGATCCATACCCAGACACATTATACTGAAACTGTTGAAAACCAAAGACAAAGAGAAAATCAAGAAATCAGCAAGAGACACAGACTAACATACAGGGGTACGAAATATAATTAATGTTTACTTCTCCTCAAAAACAATGGAGGCCAAAAACCAGTAGGATGACACATTTGAAGTGATAAGAGGGAAAAAAAATTCTAACAACTATGAAAACAATCCCTCAAAAATGAAGACAAAATAAAAACATTCCCAAATATGCACATGCAAAAGTAGAATTCATTGCTGGCAGACATGCTTTAGAAAAACCACGTAAAGTATTTCAGGCTGAAATCAAATGACACCAGATAATAACTTGAATTCACAGGAAGAAATAAAGAGTACTGGAAATGAGAAATGTGTGGGTCAAGAGATAGGATAAGTATTTTTTTCCTTTCTTTTTCTTAATATTTTTAAAAGACAAAAGGATATATAAAGCAGAGCTTAGGAAACTATAGTCCATGGGCCAGATTTGTCCTACCCACTGATTTTGCAAAGCCTGTGAGCTAAGAATGGTTTGTTTTTACTAAATGGTTGGAAAAAAATTCCAAGTAATACTCTGTGACGTGAAGTTTGCCAATCCCTGGCATAATGTAATGATTATTATATGCTTATATTTCTAACATATATGGTAACAAATATGTTGCATAGATTTGTAACATATAGATGCAATATGTATGACAAATAATAGCAAAAAGGAGGGCGGAGAAAATAGAACTATACAGGAGAAAAGTTGATACATTTTACCCGAACTAAGGTATTATCATGAACTAGACTGCAATAAATTAAAACGTATATTTTAATCCCTAGAGCAACCACTAAAAAAAGTGGTTGAAATTCAACAAAAGAATTAAAATGGTACACTAAAAAATTTTTGTTTAACACAAAGAAAGCACTAAAAGAAGAACAAAAAAAAGACATGAGGCATAGAGAAAACACAGTAAAACAGCAGATGTAAATCCAACAATATCCACAATTACATTAGATGTAAATCGCCTAAGTATGCCAATCAAAAGGCAGAGATTGTCAGGCTGGACAATAAAAAAAGCAAGATCCAACTAAAAGATGCATAACCAGAGACAAACTTTAAATTCAAAGACAAAAAAGCTTCAAAGTAAAAGGATGGCAAAGATCTAGCATGCAAACAATAACCATAAGAGAGCTGGAGTGAGTGGCTATACTAATATTACACAACATAGACTTTAAGACACGAAATGTTAACAAAGACAAAGAGGGACATTTCACAGTGAAAAAAGGGTCAAACATCAGGAATATTTAACAATACAAAATACATACAAAATTAGGTAAGCACACCTAACAACAAAGCCCCAAAACATATGAAGAAAAAGCTGACAGAAATGAAAGAAGTAGACAAATCCACAATTATAGCTGGAGATTTCAATACCCAACTTTCAACAACTGACAGAACAAGTAAATAGAAGATGAGTAAGGATACAGAAGATTTCAACAAGACTATCAACCATCTTGACGTCACAGACATTTACAGAACACTCCCCCCAACAAAAGAAGAATGCACATTCTTATTAAGCAGACATAAAACATTCTCTAGGATAGACCACATGCTATAAAACAAGTCTCAACAAATTTCAAAGAATCTAAACCATTCAGTGTATACCCTCTAACTATAAGGGAATTAAATCAGAAACCAATAACAGAAAGAAATTTGAGAAATCCCAAAATCCTTCAACACTTCTAAATAATCTATGGTTCAAACAAGAGATCTCAGAAAGGAAACTAGACATATTTTAGGCTCAAGAAAAATGAAAACACAGCATTAAGAAACTAGAAAAAAACCAAATTCTACCTAAAGCAGCAGAAAGAAGAAAGTGGTAAAGATCACAGTGAAAATTAATAAAAGAAGAAACAGAAAAACAACTGAGGGGGAAAAAAAAAAAATCAATGAAACCACAGTTGGTTCTTTGAAAAGATCAACCAAATTGATAAACTTTTAACATGACTGACCAGGGGGCAAAAATAGAAGACACAAATTATCAAAACCAGGAAAGAAAGAAGGGACATCACTACCATGGTGTAAGAATATATTTGATCTTGTCCCCCATGCCTGGCACAGAGCTCCTAAAACTCTAGAAATGTCATTTATAAGCAGCTCTTTTGAGCCCACCTGAGTTTATGCTAATGAGGTAACTTAGGGTGGGGCCCCTAGATAGCCTCAGGATGGGGCTGGTCACCAGAAAGACCAAATGATTAGAGGGTTGGAACTTTCAACCCTACCAACCAATCTCTGGGAATGGGTGGGGGGTTGTTGCAGATTAAGTTCCATAAAAACTCTTGAACAGGGAGATTTGATGAGCTTCCACATGCTAGGAGGGTGGAGCACCCCAGTTCCACAGGGACACAAGTTCCTGGCTGCTCATCTGTATCCTTTATAATAAACTGGTAAACCTAAGTAAATGTTTCTCTGAGTTCCATGAGCCACTCTAGCAAATTAATGGAACCAAAGGAGGGTTTTTAAATCATGGAAACCTCTGATTTACAGCAAATCGGTCAGAAGCATAAGTAATAATCTGGATTTGTGATTGGCATCTGAAGTAGGGGCAATCTTGTGGAACTGAGCCCTTAACCTGTGGGATCTGATGCTATCTCCAGGTAGATAATGCTAGGATTGAGTTAAATGGTAGGACATCCAGCTGGTGTCACAAAATTGCCTGATGTGTGGAGAAATCCACACATCTGGTGTTGTAGTAGAATTCTGGAGTAGAGAATATACACAGGAGTGTGTTTTTTCATTAGAACCGTCAATCCTGCAGAAATTTAAAGGATTTTGAGTGATACTATGAACAAATTTATGCCAACATATCAGGCAACTTTAGATGAAATGAAAAAATTCTAAAAAGACACATTTACCAAAACTGATTCAAAAAGAAATACAACATATGACAAGATCTACCTTCTCACAAAGAAAAGCCCAGGTCCAGACAGCTTCACTCGTGAATTCTACCAACTATAAGAAGAATAATACCAATCCTGTCACCAACTAGTGCCCCGAGGAACTCACGGGTGGGTTTGGAAGCATTTAACTGTTTTTCCAAGTTGTCTTTTTATGTTAAGGAGACACAACCAGCAACCACCCTGAAGCTAACCTAGCATCCCTACAAGAGCTACGCCCATGACCTTGCCTTATTTTTAATGTGAAGATCTCTTCAGGAGGAGATTAAACCTCATTACCATAAACTGCAGTGTACCTGCCTCTCCCTTTTCAATATTCATTCCCATTCCCCAATAAAAGTTCCTACTTTCCTTTGTTCGGGGACGCCACAACTTGGGAAATGATTCCTCATGGCTTCCTATTTGCTGCAAATACACTTTACTTTGTGAGACAACTTCCACTGGTGTAGAGTCTTATTTAGCTCACCAGGAGGCAAGCCCACTTGGTTCAGTATCAATCCTACACAAACTCTTTCAGAGAACAGAGGAGGAGGGAACACTTTGCAACTCAATCTGTAAGGCCAGTATTACCCTGATACCAAAACCAGACAAAGATATCAAAGAAAGGAAAGCTACATAAATAAATTAAAAATTTAAAAAATAAAGAGAAAGAAAAGCTACAAACCAATACTGTTCATCAAAACAGACGCAAAAAATCCTTAACAAAATATTAGCAACATATAATAAAGATTATACATTGTGCACAATTGTGATTTTACCAGGAATGCAAAGTTAGTTTAATATCCAAAAATGGACTTATGCAACGTGCCATATTAACAGAGTAAAGGACAACAGACACAGTATGTCAATAGACACAGAAAAAGCATTTGACAAAATCCAATACCCGTTCATGATAAAATCTCCCCCACAAACTAGGAATAGAAAGAAACTTCCTCAACCTGATAAGGGCATCTATGAAAAACCTATAGTTAACACATTTAATGCTGAGAGATTAACACATTTAATGCTGAGAGACTGAACATATTCTCCCTATTGGAACAAGGCAAAGATTTCCCCCTCTCACTCCTCATATGCAATATTGGTTCTAGCCAGTCCCTGCTCTAGTGTGAGACAGAAACAGATGGTGTCTGTTAAATGTCACAGGGTATAACTGCTATGAAAAAGGAAGTGTGTGAAATGAGGTTTGGAAAAGGCTCTTTTTGTGTATGGTGGTTAGGAAAGGATTTTCTGAGCAGGGAAGATAGAATCAGAGATCTATAACTAATTGTCCAGGGGAAGAATATTTCAGGGAGATGGCAAGTATGAAGCGAGACAAATGGCCTGAATCTGGAAAATATTCAAGGACTAGCAAAGAAGACCGGAGGGGCCAGGAGAGAGACGGGGGAAGGAGTGACGTTGGAGAGGTGACTGGGGCTCATACGAAGTCAAGCAGGCCATGGTCAGGGGTTTAGATTCTATTTTAAAGTTATAGGGGTGTACTGGTGGGTTTTAAGCATAGGATCAGTATGTTCTGACTGGTTTTAAGAGAATCTCTCTGGATGTCATGTGGGGAATTGATTCTGGGGGACACAGGAGGTTAGCAGTGGAAGTGGGAACGTAGTCAGCCAGCTAGTGTATGACGCTAGTATAAGAAACCAGTGAGACCAGACCGTTGGGCCCAGGATGGTCTGGAGTTGGTGAGAAATGGCTGAATTTGGAATATATTTTAAAAGTAAAAATGACAGGATTTGCTGGTGGACTGGATATGAAGTAAGAGAGAAACAGAAAAGTGGAAGAGGGCTACCAGATTTTTGTCTTAGGCAACTGCTCAGTGGAAATACCTCCTGTTTTTAAAATTCCTATCATGAAAGAATAATACCTTAAAGTTAAAAAAGCTTTTCTGAACCCCATCTCATTCTAAAAGTTTAAGAAAACTAGTTTCACATAAAAGTGAGCAAGACAAAAGTATCAAGGTAAAATCCAATACAAAGTTATTGTTAGAAAAGAGACAATAAGTAACAGAATAACATCTCTATAGACAACGAAAGCAGGCCAGAAAGATGTGCCTGCAAAAAAGATCAAAATTGTGATCTATTAGTTCAAAACAAGTTAAAAGAAATCAGGACAATGACACAAGCTAATGATAAAATTCAGGGAAGAATTACAGGAAAAAAAATTCAGAAAAGAAGACTAAACTAGAAAGATCATAAGAGAAAATGAATACAACAGATAATGCTTTAAGACAAATAGAAGGAGAAAGGGAGACAGAACTAAAAAACATTTGAGAGAAGTAGCAGCCTACGTGACTTTAAAAGGCATCCAATGTACGATGGTGACCACGTGTCTGTGAAAGAAAACTAAAGCAAGGATGCCAACAAACACTACAAACTGTCATGCAGGTAAACTGTCCTGAAGGAAAAGACTTGAAACTACATTTTAAAGGAACACACCCCTTATCTGAGGATATTGCCTATAACAACCAATGTAAAAACATATTCTAGTAAAATTACCGGAAAAAACCACAACTTATAAAGGGAAAAAACAGATCATTATCACACTTTGACAGGGGAAGAATATGTGATCCAAGGATTTACTATCCAGAAAAGCTAATTTTCAAGTGTGAGCACAAACTCTTGTGGACAAGCCCATCTCAGGGCTGCTGTCCTCTGAGCCCTGCTGAGGAGCTGACTGGAGGGAGCTTCAGACAATCACCATGAGGAAAGACAGACAAAGGACTTGAAGTGAGTATTAAACTGAGTAAAACTAAGACTAAATGAAGATTAAAAGGAAGGAAGAACAGTATCTAATAGCTATCATGCTCTGGTAGATATAGTGCAATCATTTAAATAAAGTTGGAAGAATGAAGAGAGCATAAACAAAAAAATTTTTTTAACTATTTTCAGTAACTATTCATGTTTGCTAGTATCATGAGTCTGTTGTGTATGTAATGTGGGATAAAGCAAATGAATAATTATGAGATATTCTAATTCTGCCATCCCCTGTCTTGGAACCAGGATTTTTGTTATGGAAGAAAAGTGACACAGATGTAACAGAAGAGGGTAAATAGAAACCTTGCAGCTCTGAATTTGAATCTAATGTATCAGCAGGAACTCAAAATAAAGTCAGTCAGTCAGTCTGTCTGTCTGTACCCATTCATCCTATCTCCGTCCACTGAAAAAGTCTAGAAACAATGACAGCCCAGTGATCTGAAATGCCATTTCCACTAAAAGACACCAGGGCAGACACCAGGTGGAGGGTAGAAACTACACGACAAGCCTAAAGCACCTTGTCATATCAGATTGCATGGAAGTTATCAATGGACCACCAGAGTCATTTCAAGAGCTAAACTCAAGGGGCTCCTGATGTCCAGAGATGTGACAATTTGAGCCGCAACAGGATAATAATCACAATGAATTAAAGCCCATCATATATGATTAAATCCATGAGCTCATAACGATACAAAAGAAAAAAAAAACCTAACTAGTCACCTTCAAAGAACGATAGGGAAACAATTCACTCTCTTGACAATGAAAATAGAAGAAAAGAATCAAGCTTTATTCTGTCTTTCTTACACAAACAGCACACCTGAGTAACCAACTAAAGGGTGAGCGAAAATGACTCTTTATAAAGAATTCTAGCTAATAAATAAGAAAGAAATGAAACAATTAGAATAGCACCATTTTGCAACTCCCAATGGGCGCTGAGCATCAGTAGCTGCTGAGCTCACAAAAGGAGAGACAAGCAGATACCAGGTGCTTCCAGATGCTGGATCACAACCACCAATGGTCTTGCCATCGGGGCTGAACTAACTGGGCCTGGAATCAGGGCAAACCTGTAGAAAGACAGGGCTGAGGAACAGACTGCTGTGCAGCAGGAGTGTGCAAATCCAGGCTGCAGGGAAGCCTGACAGGTCATAGGCCAGGTTCCTCAACAGGTGAATTGTTGAAAAAAAGGAAAAAGAAAATAAAGGAAAAAACTACAGGTTACATGAAACAAAAGATGGAAATTATTAATTAAAACAGACTTAAGAAGAGGATACACACTTGAGTAATAGAAACTGTACAGAAATGCAAGTCAGCAATGGCTCCAAGTCAGGACAGCGTCACTTTATGGGGGACAATGGAAGGCTTCTGGAGACTGGCACAGGACTACTTCTAGACCTGAGTTTTGGTGACTAAGGCATCCACTTGATAATTGTTAAGCTAAACACTTACTTTGCATGGTTTTCAGTATCAAGTTTTCTTTTGCAAAAAAAAAAAAGTTCTTTAGAAAAGGAGGGGAAAGTGATTCTAAAGCAATTCTGTAGCTTCTTTTCTATAAAACAGTGATGGTTGCTTCTCCTGATGCAATTACAGAAATGAAGCTGTTCTACAGGCAGAGACCCCGTCTCTTCCCCAGGGCCAGCTCTGAGTACCTGGTATCTTCACTGTGCCGCTGGAGGAGGTGTCGTCCGTGTAGGGGTGGCTACTCTCCACCACCACGGGCTGAGAGGACAGGCGGCCACTCTGCGAGTCTGTGGCTACGTCCTCCAGCTCGGTGACACAGAGCTCCAGCAGCATATCTGCCACCTGGGGAGGAAGCAGAGATACAAATCAGGAGGTCGTCAGGATGCTACCCCTGCGCATCCTGCTCCAGATCTTTCTGCAGGGACAGGGTACAGAGTGGAGGACTTGGGGGTTTGAGAAATCTAGTTTAAATCAAGGCCCAGTTTCCTTGCCTATAAAATCAAGACAGCACAGAGACGACAGAGGCGCTGTGAAGCTTGGAGATGATCTATATACAAGTAGTCAAGAGGTGCCTGACACACACACACAACACTCAACATATGCTGACTGATGAAATGCCTGTGATCACACAGTTTCTTTTTACACCAAGACAATATTACTGCACTTCCTAGTGAGGAAAGTCTGCCTCAGAACAAAAATATCAAAGGAAGGAGCAGATGGTAAAAATGATCGAGATCCTAGAAGACACTGGGGGTCAAGCAGGAGGGAACAGGAATGGAGAGGAATGATCAAGCCCTCTAGGCCAGACGGTGGCAGACAGAGTAGGTGAAACAAGGGGCTACAAATAACGAACACAGTGGGAGACTTCTCAACCCAGGACCTGAAGGGTCAGCCCCCATACCATACGCTCTCAACAATCCATAATGTTCTTATTTCATTCTAAAATTTTAGTGATTCACACCATTTAAATGGTCAATATTGGTGATCATAAACTCCTTGATTGTTATTTTTAAAAACAAATGAGAACATGTTACTATAGCAACAATATATTAATCTCCAAATTTTTGTAATTTACAAAAAAATAAAACTATTCTCTATTCTTTACTTAACAGGAATAAATGATTATTTTTCTCTATTTTTCCTCATATTTAGATAACAGATTAGCTTAGTAAACAGTTTTATTGATGACAAACTAGTACCACTGCCATCTAGGCATTATCATTATAAATTCAAACGTCTTTTTTTTAGGAGTCCCAAATATTACATCAGGGTAGGACACAGCAGTAGCATCTTGCCACTGCCAGGACAGTTTGAAGACAATCCTATCTGTTTCTGCCTTTCCATGAACCTCGTATGCCTCACTGAGACAAAGGTGTTAGCATCGCTAAATCCCTGCACAGCCCACTAGGGTCTTCTGTGCTTCCGAACCTTCCTCTACAAAGACCGTCAGTCCCCCAGGAGAGGGTGACAGAGGGGTCACAGATGTGGCTCTGCCCTCAGAGCACTCAAGGTCCAACCCCGTTTCTACCACCCACCAGCAACTTGAATGTCCTTGAGCCAGTAACAACCTCTCAGAGCCTCAGTTTTCCTCATCGTTGAACAAAGGGAATATCTACCCTCTGTACTGAGAGAATGCCCCGAGAACTGGGCCTGGCAGGTTATGTGTGTGACAAATGCTGGGCATTATTACTTTAAACCCATGTTCTTCTTGTTCATGCTCTTTCCTCCCACAAATGCAGTAAACTTCTAAGAAAATTAATATTTTGCTTGTGGCAATTCACCCTGATTTAATCTCTCAGAATTATGCCAAGTAGCTTGCCTTGAAAAACTAGCAAGTAGGAAACCTATAACTTTTTAGTTCTTCCTGAATATGATTAAGAAATAACAAGCCATTAAAATATCTACCAAACAATTTACTATGTTTTCAGGACTACGCAACTATACGTAAATACTTTATGGTTTTAGTGATGATGATATGGGGCCCAGAGAGATATAGATAATGTATCTGCACAGGCATCAGACCCCCTGACATGGCCAGCTCTGAAAAGACAGAGCAAGGCTGCTGATAAATAAGAGTCCTTAAGGAAGCCCAAGGACTTTAGGACCGATCAATCGTATTTCTAAGATATATTGATATGATAATAACTTTATACCCTAGATTAGCCACATGTGGCTATCAAATTTAAATTTAAGTTAAGTAAAATGAAAATTTCAGTTCCTCAGGTGCACTAGGTATATTTTAAGTGCTCAACAGCCACATGTGGCTGGCAGCTACCATTCCGAATGGCTCGCGTACAGAACATTTCCCCCAGGGCAGAAAGGCCTATGGGACCCAGTGCTAACAAATATTAAAACCTATTTTAAAGCTGTAATAGTAAAACACTGTGATATCAGAGCCTAAGGACTTAAACCAACGGGACAGAAATGAGTTTGTAAATGGACCCAAATACACACAGGAACTTAGAATATGATAAGTGGATTTCAAATTACTGGAAAAAGCAGATTATTCAATAAACGCTGGGGCAATACGTTTGTCATCTAGGAAAAAATAAAGTTGGATTCCTACTTTATCCCTTACATCAAGATAAATCCCAGATGGCTCAAAAAGGTAAATACAACAAATAAAATAATAAAAATGATTAGAAGAAACTTGGGAGAATTTCTTTAAACACTGCCATGTTTTCAACATAATACAAAATCCAGAAGCCATAAATGAAAAAACCTGGCAGTTCTGACTTTGTAAAAATTAGAAACTTCTAAATGGCAAAAAATATCAAAATGATGTCAAAAAGGAAACTAGGGGGATAACTGCAGCACATATGATAGAGAAGGGACTTGTTTTACAAGGAGTCCTTCTAAACTGCTATCCGCTATTATAAAATCAAGGAGAAGACAAGGTGTGAGGTCACCAGCAACACCTCACTGCCCATCCTGCCCTGCCCAGCCCACGGCTCACCTGTGGGTAGGCCGTGCCCATGCCAGACAGCACGGCTGACAGCACATCCCTGCCCTTGTCCCCCGCCCGGCTGCACACGGACAGCTTGAGCAGGTCCACCACGACACGGGTGTCATCCGCGACCAGCAGGCTGGTGAACTCATCCAGGGACTGAGGTTCTGGGCCTGATGCTTTATTTTGGCTTTCAACATCCTAAAAAATCCAACAATTAAAATGAGTAATAATATGTTAAGAAATAATCATTAGTTTACCCATAAACTCAAAGGATACATGACTACCAATGATGAATGAGGGAATTTATGAGGCATTTAAGACCACGAAATACCAGATTAAGAAATGACAGACCCCTAAAATCTCCACCATGTACTGTGCTTTCAAGACCATTTAACTGTTTTACAAGTTAACAACAGCATCTGTCAAAAGGAATGTCTAAACTATAAAGAAATAATTATACTGTCACCAAGTCTGTATCACAGGTGTACGTTACAAGGGGAGGCTAGGAATAAAGTCACATCATGTAAAATCTACCCCCATCCTTAAGACATGCTTGGGAACTTTCTATCAACTAAATTTGTATGCTGTACTTTTACATATTTTGTCTACATCCTCTCCATAATTCTCCTTATTTATAGCAATTCGTTAACATGTAAGACATTGTCCATAATCTCTTGTTCCTTGGTTTCTTTAAAGGAAAATATACAAAATAAATCGTCTTAATATTCCCCTTTTACTTCCCATTCACAGTATGTCAGCTAAGACATATCACACGTGCGATCATTTACCTCTTTCTCCTCTTTAGCAGAGGAAAGGGGCTGTTCACCTGTGGCAGCATCACTGCCCTCCCTGCCCCCCACCCGCCCACTTGTGAGGGTACCCCACCTGGGATGGCTACCCCACAGCCTGCCGCCCACCACACAAGAGCCTCTTGGAGATTGGCAATAGGGTTTGGCCTATAGAAACAAATGGGGAGCTGTCAGAGCTGGGAAATTCCACAGCTTTGGAGCTTAGAGGGAGCGGGAATTACTAAGACCCTGTCCTGAATGGGGGAGGACTCAGACCCTTCCGCTTCCCCAGGCAGAGGTCTGGCTTGCCACAGGAAGAATCAGATGCCAGAAGTGTCTCTTCTCTCTTGCTTTCTGGATCTCAGCAAAACCAGTGCCAACTCTTTCCAAAAACAGAAATGAGTGAGGGGAGCACAAACCTCACTTAGGAACCTTAAGGGGAATGTGACCCATCCAATGTGCAAATTCTATTGGACGTCCAAGTTGGCCCTGGAAACTAGACTTCTCCAACCTAGGAACACGGTTTCTTCCTTGAAAGAAAGAGACCCTGCTTCTACCTCTGTGTAGATACCCAGGGAATTCGTAAGTGAAATTCACCAGAAACAATGACAGTCCAGAATCCCACTCACTGAAGAGCAGCAAAAGATTCAGTAGAATATATTAATCATAGGTGACACCTTCAGTTTTACCATTGAAATAGTACCCAACATTTTTCAGGTGGGGGTGTTAGAAAAAAAAACAGAGAACAATTCTACAAGGAATTCACAACAATTCTAAAGGAATTGCTAAAAAAGAAAATCATAGTTGCATAACCTTGAATGTGAATTATAGCCTATTACCAACATGAAAATTATTTTGCCACAATTTATGAATCAAACCAAAACTGAAATGACAGGAATTTAGGGGTATTATCTGGATAATGCCTATGCCTCATGAATAAATTGGTAGGAAAAAAATCATACCATCTCTTTTCTATCTAAAAGCAAAAATTTTGCATAATTCAGAATAGTTTCTGCATTAAACCCTCATTCTAGGAGATTGCCAAATATCAGAAGCTGAGTCTAGACACCTAATTTATAAATAGCGATTTTCTTATTACCACAAATGGTTATGAATAATTTCCATAGGACCTATTTTTGCCAGCAGTAATAGCATAATAAACCAAGAGCTCCAATTAATTTAAAATAATGCTTGTTTGTCCCCAAGGGGGGCATGCTGGCAAGGGGAAGAGTGTGAGCAGGTGAGACGGCCTAGCATAGGCTGCACCTGAGTGGGCTGGGGAGGGTGTCCACCTGTGGGGGTGGCTCGTGTGACAGAGCCAAGGCAAATAGAAGGTGTCCCTGCTTTGGACCAGCCAGTATGGGTGGGAAGGGGAAGTCATGGGTCAGGCAGGGTAAGAGGATGTCCCTGCAGAGGGCAGACTGATTTTGAATGCCAGAAGCTGTGCAGGGCAAGGAGGGTGCCCATGTGGAGGAGTGGTGGCAGCCAAGATGGGAGACTGGCTACCTCAGAGGAAGTAAATAAACTGTCAGTAACAGGAGCCAGGTTTCTCCGTTTCAGAGAAGAGAGTTATAAATACAGAAAGAAGAAAACCATAATGAATCCTGGGCAGTCAGAATTGATTGTATTGCTGTGAACTGGTGGTTTTTAATATATGCAGACATATAATGAAATAAATATTAATGTATATAGCTATTGTGTGGGTATATACACGCACACACATTTATTCCCTAGTCTGTCCACTAAGAGAGCTTGTGAACAGCAACACCCCAATAGCAGTGAGCACATGAAGGCCCCAATTTTGGCTTCTAAATGCCATTCTCCACTAAAAAGAACCAAGACTTCTTGGAGAAACATCTGATTTCTGTGCTGGAGCATAAAACATCTTGTTGAGCCTAGAATTTTGTGTTGTGCCAGAAAGCAAGGCAACTCTCAAAGAATGATGAGAACATGTTAGAAGGACAGATAAAATTCTACCAAATAATTAAAGAATTAACACCAATCCTTCACAAACTTTTCTAAAAAAAAAAAGAAGGAACACTGTCCAACTCATTCTATGAAGCCAGAATTACTCTGATACCCAAACTAGGCAAAGACATCACAAGAAAACTACAGATCAGTATCCTTTATGAATAGAGATGCAAAAATCCTCAACAAAATAGCAAACCAATCCAGCAACACATAAAAGGACTATATACCTCAAATATAGAAAGGGAGAGAGCAAGGACAAACCCTGTGGCATTGGACTGGAATGGAAAATATTGGTTTGAATGGCTCATGGTTTTTATAAGATAGATAAGATGCCTAAGGAAAAATACACGCTCATGTGCGTGCATGTCTGTTTGCTAAGAGGGCCTAAACCAAGGACACCCAGTAGCAATCAGCTTACCAAGCTCCCAGATCTTGTTTCTAAATTCTATGATCCATTCTATGATCTACGAAGAAATGGCTGATTCCAGGGCAAGGGCAGGGTAGGTGAAAGATGAGTCTGGAACACACTGTTGTGCCAGAAAGTAAGGAAGTGCTCAAAAAATTATGGGGACCAGTCAGAAGGAAAAGGAACCAGCCAAAAAGGGCTCCCAATGGCCAAGTCTGGGACAATCTGGGTGTCAAAAATAGAAATATATGTCATTATTTGAATAAAATAAGATCCCATGAAGTTATACCAATATAGACAGACAGACAAGACGAGAAGGGAAAGTTCTCCCTTACAGGAGAACGGCAACAATTACCTTCCAAAATGAATGACAAAATCTGAAAAATTATGATGTGACAACTACCACAGTAATAATGGATTCAGCTAGAATCATCAATAGATACCAGAAACTGGTGAGTGAAAATATGAGGAACAAGGTATTTACATAGCCTCAGAGTACCTCCCATTAATACTTATTAACACACTTTTATTAACTCCCAGTGGAGAAACCTGGCAGACACTCTTAACTAAGTGGTAAGAATTAATGTCACCAGTAATGCAGCAAATCAACAATGCACACACCCCAATGCACTGATAAGAACGCTGCATTGCTCCTGTGGTGTTTCTGTCAAAGGAGGGACTAAAGAACTGTTACACGTTGAAGACTAAAGAGACGACATGCAACTCTGGGTTGGGTCCTAGACATATAAAGGATACTATTGGGACAATGAGCAAAATCTGAGTAAGTCTGTGGGTTAGAAAGTAATCCTGGATCAGTGTTAACATCCTGATACTCAGGAAATACGCACTGGAGCACTGAGGAGGAACAGGGACTGTGCCCTGCAGCTCTCCTGCCAATGGTTCGGAAATGCTAACAATTGGAGAACCCACGTGAACGGTACACAGGAGTTTGTGTTCTATTTCCATGTACTACTTCTGCAACTATTGTGTATATTTAAGATTATTTCAAAATAAAATGTTAAAGAAAGCCTCTTGACCTCTTTGGTTTTGGTCATGGTTTCTGCAATGATGCTGGCAGCTCCTGGGTCATCTGTCACCGGGATAAATGGCCGAGAAGAAGCTGAGGAAGCAGACGGGGTCACTGCGGAGGGGGTCACGGCATCCTCAGAAGAAATAATCTAGATTAAAAATATACAGGAAGAGGAAAAGCTCAGCAACATGGCACACTTCCCACACAACTCCAAAAAGGCTTATCTAAAACCCTTTGAGCTATCTGGAATGTCCCAGATTTTATAAAAGTAATAAGGTGCTTACACCACCAGCTACCACCTCCAGTGGGGTCTGGGTAGCCCTGCAAAGTCAAGCACATTCATATTCTCAGGAAAACCTATTAATATTCACAATACGTCACATGAAGAAGACTAAAATGAGCTCACATCTTTGACTTCAAGCTGGGTTTTTCCCCAAAATAAGTCAGAAAAACTTTTGGCTTTCGGAGCTTCAAGCTTTCAGAACTGCAGATAAAGGACTGTGAACTTGCATTTAGCAACCTTAATAAATCTATTTCTATTTAAGCACCAAAAAATCTCCTTTTTAACAGAATATTTTCTAATTCAAGCTAAAAATATAGCAGTAGGCACAAAACCACTCTCAGTTAAGTGAAAGAATGACTTATACTTTCCTAGCACAAAGTAGCTAGCTACCTTTTCCTTTCTGATCTAATTTTGCTTTATTGCTTTATCATTTATTTTTACCTCTCCTCTCTTCTCTTGCCATGGATTTGGACTCAGTCTGTCTTCAATATCAATGGGCAGCACACATTCCTCTCCATTCATGGGACTGGCCATGGCAGACACATCAGAAGCGGGTGCCGAAGAGAACGAGGGACACTCCATCGGGGAGATCATGCCGGCTGGCATCAAGGCCCCGACCACCGCGTCTCTGTCAGGAGAGAAAGCCAGGCCTGCAGTGAGCTGCTCTTCACCACTGCAGGACAGCAGAGTCAGGGGGAGGGACAAGCGCTCCCTGAAGGACTTCCTCATTTTCACAGGATACATAGAAAAGAGTTCTGGAAAAATACTGGCCATTATTACTACGTATTCATCTGCTAAAAGCTAAAATGTTTACTCTTGATCTTATTTATTTGAATGACCATAGTGATGACAGGTAAAAAACTGCCAAACATAAAAGTCAGACCAGAAGAAGCCTCTGGATTTCCCTGAGAAATCCCTCTTGGGTTGTTGTTAGAACCTGACGGTAATTTTGTGTTTACTGAAAGCCGTGAACCAATGGCGCTTCACAGGAGGCAGCAAGGACTAAATGTCCTCTCAATGACTGAGTCGGCCTTTGGTCTGTAACTAATGTTCCTGTGTAAGTGTTTATTTCTGCTCATCAGGACCATAACCACAATACACTGATAGATGGGCAACTTAGGCTGTGAGAAAACAGCAGCAAAATATTGGAAAAGACAGCACTATTGACACTCTGCCTTATTAAGTATTTGAGTGAAGGGGATGACAAGTGGCCTTAAACATTACTGTATATTATTATCAAATAATTCTTCCTCTCGTCCCCTAAATATTAACGCTTAGAGTTTACTGGCCATAAAGAATTCCGAAAACGTTCTTTAACTTGGTTTTCTGATTAATATTTCAACCCCCATTAAAGAAAGCATAAAGATACCATTATTCACGTTTAAAGGGTATATGAACTAAAACTCACAGTATTTAAAAATAGTAACAACATTCTCTGAGACATTTGATCAATCAAAAAATTACAAAAACCCAAAGCTTACATAATTGCAGGTTTTTAAAAGTTAGCAAACAAGCCTACCTAGCATACATGATTTGCAATGCTGTAAGAATATGAGATAAGGCCTGCTGTTTGGCCAGATTTCCATCCAGTGACAGGAGAATCTTGGCAAGAGAAGGGCGATTTGGTTTAGAATTATTTGCACCACTGATTTTATTACTGGCAGCAGAAGAATCGGCATCTGAAGGCACACCTGGAAAAGAAAAATAAAATTTGGGTTCAATTTTTAATATCAAAGTTTGTTCTATTTCTATAATCTGACCTTTCAGTTTAGTTCCAAAATAGATTGCAATCTGCATTTTGCTATTTCACAGATTAGGTCTTCGGTTCATTAATGGTCTTTCAAAGTAAAAAAAACCCACTTTTTTTATCTTATCTATACTTCTATAAAGGAGCTATTTTCTGCAAAGGTTCACTGTAACTGCAAAAAGATGTAGATACTTTTGCGTAGTGTACTTATAACAATTTATGTTATACATATGTAAGCTGTGAAAAGGCTATAATAACTACCTGTATTTACTTACCATTGAAATGCAATACAAAAAATAATCCAAAACAATGGAGAGAAGACAAGATATTCACCAGTAAACAGTCTTATTGGACACATGTTCCAGCTCATTGCCCTGAGAGTTCCCAAGCCTCGCCAGGGGGAAGGAAACCAGGTGGAGCCCAGTGGTGTCCATGCATAGAGGAGGGGGAGCTCAGAGTCAGGGAGGTTCACAGGATGGGACCAGAGAGGAGAGAGTTGCCCGGAGAGTGTCCTGGAGATATGGAAGTGCCCTCACTCATCCCACCTGAGGATGAAACAAAAGCTGAGGGGTGCCTACGTGAGAGGGACCTATCAAAAGCCAAAGAAAGAGCTACATGAAAGGACTGGAGGCCCAGCACACAGGTTGCAAGAACACCAAGGGCCCAGCAAAGTACCAACTCCTGTCTGCCAGACAGGAAGACCTCATAATTCACAGGGCACTGAGTAGAGTTCTCACAAAGGCCGTGCCTCAGTGGTGAGAAATACCAGGTCTGAATCCACTTGATAAGTCCAAAACCAAGACCCAAAAGGATCAAACTGTTTCAAAGTAACTTAATTATATTTAAGCTCAAGAAGATTTATGGACATATAAAAATCTCCAGCAAAATCCAGAGTAAAACTCAGAATACATGGCATCCAACCAAAAGTTACCAGGTAGGCAGAAATGTAGAATTAAGAAATAAGAAGAAAGAAAATAATTCAGAAATAAGAAGAAGAAAAATCAATTGATCTAAACAACCCTCAACAACTAAACGACTGACTCAGACGTTAGAATCAGCAGACAAGGAAATTAAAACACTTATTATATCTGTATTTCATACGTTCAAAAAGAGAACTAGACATGGAAGATATAAAAATACCCAAATCAAATTTCTAGAGAGGAAACTCCAATGTCTGAGATTAAAAGAGTTTGGTGACATTAACGGCACATTAAAAAATGGAGAAAAGACTAGTGAATTTGAAGACAAAGCAACAGAAACTATCCAAAATGAAATGCAGAAGAGAAAAAAAAGTAAAAAAAGGGACAGAGCATAAGTTACCTGTGGGACAACTTCAAGAGACCTAATATATGTGGAACTAGAGTTCCCAAAAGAGAGGAGAGAGGAAGGTACAGAAAAAAATTAAAAAAAAAAAATAGTGACTGAGAACTTCCAAATTTCATGAAAATTATAAACCCAAATATCCAAGAAGCACAATGAACCAAAAGAACCATGAAGATAACCAGGAAGTTGGGCACATTTGGTTCATTATAAGGCACATCGTAATCAAATTGCCCAAAACCAGGGGGTAAGAGAGAAAATCTTAAAAGCAGTCTTCAAGACACATTATGTGCAGAAGAACAAAGATAAGAATGACAGCACATTCACAATGAAAACAATGCAAGCTAGAAGACAGTGGGACAGTTTCTTTAAAATATTGCAAGAAAAAACTGTCAACCTAGAATTCTATACCCAGCTAAAATATATTGCAACAATGAAGCAAAATAATGAGTTTAGACATAAAAAAGCTGAAAGGAAGAATCCCCAGCACATAAAGTCATAAAAAAGGAAGTCCTTCAAGCAGAAGGAAAAAGATGCCAGGTGGAAACATGGGTCTCCACAAAGGAGTAAAGAGCACTGGAAATGTTAACTACGTGAGTAAATACAGAGACCTTCTCTTATTCTTTAAATCATTTTAATACATAACCTGATGTTTAAAGACACCTAATAAAAAATACTGTGATGCTTACAACATACACAGAAATGTACGACAACAGCAGCACAAAGCCTGGGAGGGAAGAAATAGAAATCTACTATTGTATGATTCATATTCTATATGTGACATAGTGTAGTACCAGTTGAAGGTGGACCATGATAAGTTAAAAGTGTATAATATACCCCCTTAAGGCAATTGCTAAAATAACACAGTGAGTTAGAGCTCACAGAAAACAGAGAAAAAATTAAATCATAAAAAATGATTAATTCTTAGGAAGGTAGGAAAAGAGAAGAGAGAGAACGATGACCAGAAAGGACGAACAGAAAACACACAGCAAGATGACAGATTTAACACAAAGACATAAATGATCACAGGAAGTGTAAGGAGACCACATACCCCAACAGAGATGGTCAGAGCAAATTTTAAAAGCAAAATCTATATGTTGCTTACAAGGAAGCCCCTTTTAATATAAAGACACAAACAGGTGAAAAATAAAAGGATGGAAAAGCTACCATAGCATATCATGGTCTATGGAATAGCATGGTTTATATAGCATACAGCACTGATCAAAAGAAAGCTGGAGTGGCTATATTAGTATCAGACAAATTAGACTTTAAAGCAAAGAGTTCTGAAGCAACAGGATAAAGAGGGAAACTGTCATAATGACAGCAGAGTCAGTTAATCAAGGAGAGAAAAGTAAATGTCTTACATTAGAAAAGCAGGAAGATCCTAAACCAACAACCTAAGCTTCTAATATAAGAAACTAGAAAAGAACAAATTAAACCAAAAAAAGAAGAAAAGGATTAACAAAGATTAGAAGAGAGATCAGTGAAACAGAAAACAAGGGAGAAAATCAAGGAAACCAAAGAACCATTAGTTCTTTGAATTAATAAAACTGATAAGCCTCTAGACAAACTGGAAAGAAAAGATAATTACCAATATGAGGAATGAGAGAGATGATATCACCACAGATTCTATAAATATTAAAAGACAAATAAGCAAATATTGAGATCAACTTTATGCCAATAAATTCAACAACTCAGATGAAATGAACAACTTCCATCGAAGACATAAATCTTACTAGAAAAGAAACAGATAACCCTGTATCTATTAAAGGAATTAAATTTGTGGTTAAAAAACACAAAGAAACCCCACAAAGATAGTGCAGGTATGCACAACTGACTCAAAAACCTATACATGAATATTCACAGCAGGTTTTATTTGTTAATAGCCAAAAGCTAAAAATAATCCAAATGTCCTTCAGTGTGTAAATAGTTAAACCATAGAACAGTATTCAAGTAATAAAAAGCAATGAACTATTGATACGTCAACAACTTGGATGATCCCCAGAGAAATACAGTGAAAGGAAAAGGGCAGTCTCAAAATGTGATGCACCGAATGTGACATGAAAAGAGCTGTAAGTTAAGAAGACCAACATGGAACCCCTGAGTAACAGAAACCGGAAAGGACAAGACTGCAGTCAGTCCTCAGCTTCATCTACCTCAGAAAAGGAAACAGCACAGGAAGGTGAAGTAACTTGCCCCAGTTCATACAGCGGGTGAAGCCAGAAGACCACATTTCAGTTATTCATAAAAGCAGACGGCAGTGGAGACTAAATGTCCCCTCATGAAAGATAGAGGAAAAAAAAGGTATTTATATTAGAATAAAGAAAGATGAAGTTCCCTTAAAAAATCAATTGTACTTCTATACACTAGCAAGGAGCAACTCGAATATTTCTAAATAGCAAGGAACAAAAGAAATTTTTTAAATACCATTTACATCAGTACGAACAATATGAAATATTTAGGGATAAATATGACAAAAGATATGCGAGACCTGTACACTGAAACTACAAAATACTGCTAGAAACATTAAAGACCTAAACAAATGGAGAGAAATACTACATTTCTGGGTTAGAAGATTCAACATTGTGAAGATGTCCATGCTCCCCAAACTGCTCTATACAGTAAATGCAATCAAAATCCCAGAGAGGCTATTTTACAAAAACTGACAAGCTGATCCTAAAAGTTATAGGAAAATGCAAAGGGCCAAGAATACCCAAAACATATTTGGAAAAAAAAAAGCTAAAGAATTACCATGGCCTGAATTCAGGTCTTTTATATAACTTATTGGTATTGGCATCAAAATATAAAAATAAATAAACAAAACAGAAATGAGAGTCCAGAAATAGATCTACACATACATAGACAACAGATTTTTGACAAAGGTGCAAAAGCAATTCAATAGAGAAAGGATAGTTTTTTCAACAAATGCAATGGAAACTGGATATCCATATATCACCCGCCCCCCAAAAAAACAGAATTTCAATGCATACCTCACATCATAAAATTTAACTCAAAATCAAGCACAGGACTAAATTCTAAAACTATATAACTTATATAAGAGAACATAGGAAAAGAATCTTAACAATCTTGAGTTAGGCAAAGGGTTTTTAGATACAACCCCAAAGTATGATCCATAAAAGAAAAAAATGGATGAACTAGACTTTATTGAAATTAAAGTTTTCTGCTTTTTAAAATTCACCTGTGAAGAGAATGAAAAGACAAGCCACATTGGGAGAAAATACGTGCAAATCATATATCTGACAAAAGACTTGTACCCAGAATATGTAAAGACCACTCAAAATTCAATAAGAAAACAAACAACCTAGTTTTAACTACAAGCAAAAAGATGAATAGCCACTTCAACAAAAAACCATATATGGATGGTAAATAAGCAAGATGCTCAACATCATTAGTCATTAGGGAAAAGCAAAGTAAAACCACAATGAGATACCACTACACAACTACAACAATGGCTAAAATTAAAGACTGATCAATCTTTCACAAAAACGTGGAGCAGCTGGAGCTTTGGAACAACCACTCTGTAAGACAGTTTGTAGGTATCTTAAGAAGATAAATATGCACCTATCGTATGATCCAACCATTCCTCTCTTAGGTATTTACCCTAGAGAAATGCAAGTGTACCTCCATATAAAGACCTGTACACCAATGTTCATAGCAATTTTATTTGTATAGTCAAAACCTGGAAACAACTCAGAAGTCCATCAACAAGCGAATGGGTGAACAAATTGCAGCATATCCATAAATGAAATACTATTCAACAATAAAAAACAATGAACTATTGATACATGCAACATGGATGAATCAAAAAATAATTAGGCAGAGTGAAAAAAGTGCGATTAAAAAAGTACATACTGTATGATTTCATTTATATAAAACTCTAAAAACTGCAAACTGATCTATAGTGACAGAAAGCACGTCAGTGTCTGTGGGAAGTAGGGAGGGTGTGATGGGGCCCAAGGAAATTGGGGGTGGTGTGTACATTCACTGTCTTGACTGCAGTGATGCTTTCACAGATGCACACATGTCAAAGCTGATGAAATTACACTTTACACGTGGAAGGGCTACTGTATGTCAACCACACCTGAATAGAGCTATTGAAAACACCAAGCAGTCCAGCACAGTGCCTACACATGTCCAGTAGTTATTACAAAGTCTTCTCTGTTAGCATGTGTACAGCATTGCCAGAGTTGACTTGATCATGACACAAGAATCTGCATCATGCTTCCTTCTAAAATTTTCATTCCAGCATGAACAAATCACAGCAAAGCAAACCATGATTATTCTGCGGGTTTGGTTCAGAAAGCAGTTAACATAGTGCTACAATCTCTAATCTGGTCGTGCTATTACCATTAGACGTTCTATCTGCGACATTGCTGTACCACACAGCAGGATCTCATATAAAATACAAATCTGCTTTACCTAAATAGGAAGCACCTAAAGGGTCTCTTGCTGTCTGGAAGAGGACAGGCTCATGGACAGAGGGTGTCGCCACATCGACGGTTGTCCATGCCACACTGTGTGAAGACCCGCAAGCCACTCGCGTGATCTTCTGGCCTTCTAAACCCTGCACAAGTGTGGGCTTTCGATTAACTGTGGTTGTGCCATTGCCCTGCTGGCCATGGTCATTGTCACCCCAAGCATACACCTGTACAGGAAAGGGGGAAAAAAACAGAATTTTTCAACATTTCAGAACATTTTCCTTAAATTTACTTTAAAATTCTTGCCAATGACTATAAATGAGTATTTACTTAATATCAATCCAATGAATTCATCTATTCTGTTTTGTTATAGGAAGCAAGGAGATTCTCCTCTTCGCCTAAGTGCAGTAACACTTTTTCCTTTACTTTGCAAAGAAAAATGATCAAAAACAATATGTTCACTTTTCAAGTAAATCACTTCTTGGCTTTACAGAATTAGAAGGTATACTTCATTTTTAATTTATTTTGATTAAAGGTACATATATCTCCCCATCAGCTATCAATTTCTAAAGTAAAATACTGCTAATACCTTAGCAGTAGGAGCACCTTCAATGAGATAATCTCTTCCCATTTCCAAGTGGACTTTAGAGTGGGGAGTCCACCACTTTAAAACATGCATCAGTCAGCAACTCTTTCCCAGGTGCCCTGAGCCTATGCTGACAACCGGGCAGATATATACAAGAACAAAATGCACGAAGCCCAGCTCTGGTTCTTCAAGTACCAAGATTCATCTCATTTCATCACAAGTTACACTGGGGACACGAGAAAGACTTATCACGACCTCAGCTTACCTGCCCTGCGTCTGTGACCGCCAGGCAGTGCAGGGCCCCAACGGCCACGTGCACAATCTTCTTCCCTCTCAGCCCTTCCACCACCTGTGGCTTCCGCACATGCACATCAGAGCCGTGGCCCAGCCTGAAGTAATCCCCCTTACCCCTGCAAGGAGGTCAATAGTGCCCATTTTAATATACAGCTATAGTCTGGCAATGCTCCACAGGAAAACACTCATTGTTTACAGCATTAGAGCCATCTCAATGGTAACATCATACAGAGTGCCTAAGGTCTTTGAAATTATGTTATAAAGTAGTATAATAATAATAATTCAAATTAATTCACTAATTCTGTTAGCAAGATCCTAATGTGTGTTTTACAATATTTAAGTTACTGCTGTAGGTTTTCATACAAAGAGATTAAAAACATGACAAAGAACCTCAAACGCCTCTTAAAAGTCCTCTCTGGTGTAATTGTCTCTCAAGCTGCCTCTGGGTCATGATAGTTAAGCTAAGGCCCAAGAGACTGTCCAATGTCAGGTGGGTGCCCCACTTCTTTTTGATTTAATAAAATAAGCTTTCACAAGAAACACAGCTAAACTTTTTCAGGATCAAAGAAAGCAGAAGTCTGTTTTCTGCCCATTTGGTCAGTAGGCTTCTGGCATGGTAAAAAAGCAGAAGAAACTCTCTACACAAACCTCACCTAAACAGGAAAGACATGTTGGGCTAAAATTTCTCTAGCGTTCTTTTCTAAACAACCCAGTTATAAAGGGCAATTTCTTCTTATAACGTTGTCACTAATCCCAAAAAGATCGTTTTACTATCTTTGAAAGGACAAAGATATCTTGATGAGTAAGAAAATGAAGGTTTTACCGTCCCCTCAGGGTGGTGTGGGGTAGGGTCGAGGCCCCCCCACACAGACACATTGGTGGGTGACAGGGAGTTTACGTACCATGTCCACACCACTCCCGACTTGGTGAGAGCCAAGGAGAACTGAGCACCGCACTCGATCTGGCACACTCCCTGTCCATTTAGTCTCTCAATGTTCTGGGGAATGTTACAGCCTTCACTTCCTCCTCGGCCCAATTTTCCAAAGTCACCATCACCCCAGGAAAATACCAAACCTAAGGTTTAAAAAAAATATACTTCAGGCCAACTCTTCACCATGTTCCTACGCGCCCCAGAAACACAGAATCAGGACAGGAGCTCACCTTCATCAGTCAGAGCCAGGGTCTGTGCATCTCTACTTCCACACGCAACCTGGATTACTCTGTGACCAAGAAGGACTTTCACCTACTCAATTACAAATGTAAAAACAGAATCAAGCACAGGCACTAAGAAAGCAAGGGAAATTTTTTCCACAGATTGAAAGCCAATAATGCATGTTTTTATGAACTTTCCTAGACTTGAAGCTTATCTTCTCTTGAAATCAGCAGATGGTAAGCTTTCTGTAAGCAACAAAAATGTGTATAATCACCATTTTGGGCTTCAGTTGTGTTGTATTATCCCCATGTCCCAACCGGCCATACTCTCCGAGGCCCCATGTATACAGTTCACCGCTGGACGTGAGGGCTGCACTGTGTGAGCTCCCACAGGCAATATCCCGGATACGCTTGGTTTTCAGGGCCTCTATTAGCCGTGGCTTGTCACAGTTCCTAAAGCAAGATTAAATAATATTCCCTATAATCAATCCAGTCTTTTTTTAAGAAGACAAAAAAGGACACCTACACTGACCCACATTTAGTCAAAACATCTGTAGATCAACTTAACTATCAAACCTTAAAACAGAACAGGTGAGGCCAAACCACTTTCATAGATATTTAAAAAAATAAATTTAAATTCTATTTTCATAAATAACCTATCCTATTTAATTTTCTGCAAAATAACTATCAAAAGGCATTCATTATTATCATCAGTAACAGTTTCTTATTAGCAAGTAATGAAAATATTCTTACATTCTGCTGAAGTGTCCAAGTTTGCCATCATCACCTTCACCCCAGGAAAATACTTTCCCATCGACAGTTAAAGCCGTAGCGTGCCGGCCACCTGTAATGTTCATACAGAGATGGGCTGCCAAACTGGTTTACCAAAAGTTCACAGCATAAATACCTATTTTGCCTGGCATGCAGTATGTACTCAATGAACATGTGTTGAATAAATGAGTAAATAGGATCAACATTTCAGTGTGACAAATACATAAAATAAGTAAACTTTTATTAAATTACAAAGTTTAAATCCTAGAAACAATTTCATTTGCAAAGAGGCAAAATAATGCTGCTTATTAATGGGGTTCCTATTATATTAAATATATAAAAGATCAAAATTCAGATGGTGAAAGTAAAAACAAGTACATTTGTGATTAGGCAAATTATCAAATGCAGTGGCAATTAAGCTTTTGAGAAATGCACCCCAATAGTGGAATTATTTAAGCAAAAGTACCATCACTTGCAATTAAGGCACTATACTCACTCTTCCCACAACACATCAGCTCATGCTCTTTCCCCAGCATGGACCATTCTCTCCCAGTCCATCCACCCTACCTCAGACTGAAGAGCACTGTCTTTACTGGTATTTCCTGTCACCTGTGTCCCTGCCAGCTCCTGGGCTCCCAGTCCCCCCAACACTCTTTCTGCCCTATTCCTTACCAACAGAACCCATACTATCGAGGGCAACAATGTGCTCAGCTAAAAACTACACTTCCCAGACTCCCTTGCCAGAGAAGATAGTGACAGAGATGCGATGAAATGAGTGAGGCCTCTGGAAAAGCTCTTTAGAGGGGCTGAGTGGGCTGGAGGAAACGCCCGTCTTATGCTTGCCTAGAGCCGCAGAGCCATCTGTCAACGAGGGTGAACAGAAAGAGCAAGCCTGCGCCCCTCATGGGCTGGAGCTGCTGGACTGGCCTTGGACCCCACCTCCAGACTTGCGTGGAGGAGAAGAGTAAAACTGTATCTTGCTCAAGCCACTACTGTTCGGATTTTCTGTTATATGGGGTTAAATCTAACCCTATTTGGTACAGGCACAAACTGATTTTTGTATCTAATTCAGTTCCATTCCTCAGAGACCAGCACAGTGCTTTGAAAGAATACTCAATAAAGGTTTCCTAAATTGAAGGAGGGTGATTTTTTTTTAAAGGATCTTTCTTATCAGTGGGGTTCACAGAGACTTTGGGAGTCTGATGAAAGTTATATAGGCTCTTTCTCCAGAAAAATAACACATATTTCAGCACAGAACGTGATGATTTCAAAGATGCTATGAACCTGGGACCACAGCCCCAAGACTGAAAACCCCCTCTTGGAGCAGTAGGCCCCACGCCTGGAATGCCAACAACTGCTGGTTTCCAAAAAGCCTTGTGTAGCAACAATAATTCAATTCTAGACCACCTGGAGATTTACATTGTCCAATTTTTATTCCTAATAATTAAGTAAAACTTGAAAAAGAACACAAAGACACCTTAGGGAAAACTATTCAAGGGCCCTAGTTATTTGCAGAGCATGAGCAACAGGCTTATCTGCACACAAGTGCCATCTCGGCCTGGTACCTGAGTGAACGGCCACCTTCTTGACCACGTAACTGCTGAGAGCCGTGACCTGCCGGGGGATGGGCACAGTCCCGCTGGAGATGCCCAGCCCAAGCCGGCCATTCGTGGCCTCTCCACAGGCGTACACCTTCCCTTCCACAGTCACTGCAAGGAAAAGAGTGAGGAGAGGGCTCACTTTTTACAACCTAACTATGTTTTTAGTGCTAAACGTGATTAAAAAATTATTTAATACTAGAATAATCATACCTGCAAACAAACTTTTAGAACCACCAGCCACCTGTACTACATTCAAAGCAGACAGTGTCTCAGAGAATGAAGGAACCTTTATCTAGAACAGAATGTTTTTAAAAAGCAAAAGAAAAAGATCATTTTATTTATACTTTTAAAATTACAAGTAACCTTATTAAATGATATAAGGAATTACTGTTAATTTGCATGGTTATATTAATCAAAGTTTTTTTCTCTTAGAGAGACACACTAAAGTATTTTAAGGATGAAATGATATAATGAGATTTACTTTAAAATAAACAGGAATGGGGGTGTGAAGAAAATAAAGACAAAAAACGTGACCACCTGATGGTAACTACTGAAGCTGGTACAGGGACATGAGGGCTCAGGTCCCTATTCTTTCTACCTGGGTACGTTTGAATATTCCATAATAAAAGATGAAAAATAAAATACACATAATGTAAAGATATAAACAAACATCTGGTAAACTACGTTTTATTTCAGGTCACGTTCTGCTCATTCTTGTTGATTCTGACATCTCAAAGAAATTATACACTTAAATTTCCCATTGTGGATGGGTGTGATTTAATTTAAAATTCCTAAAGCCTTTGTCTAAGAAACGCTTTATGATTCTCCTGTGTCAAAAACTATCAAATAGTCACTCCTACAGTGGAAGAAAGGATTCTCATGATGGCCGTGGAACACTAAATCTATCCTTCACATGCGAACTCCAGCAAGGGCCCTGTGCTTCAGGATCCCCTAGACAGCCCCACACCATCACAATGGAGACTCCCAGTGCTTACTGCCCCCTGCTCACCTCCAAATGGATTCCAGGGGCCTTAAAACACAAATGTAATTCAAGGCAGTTCAAATAAAGACAAAAACCCATCTTACTTGAAAGGAGAGACTTAAATAAATGAGTTCTAACTTTCCTTCCTTCTCAGCTTCTCAAAAATGCAGGCAATAAGGGATCTATGATGGGGAAGTCTCACAGAATACTAAAAGGAAGCAGAGAAGCTCATCTGAAAAGAAACTGTTTCCAGGCACTAAAATTTGGAGGAATCTGTTTTATGGTTCCTTGGTTAAAAAACACTGAGTAATATAAGGGACACGGAATTCAACTTTGGTTCAAATGCATCGTTTTGTTGTACCTACTCTTTAAAAAATCACATCTTGCTCATCTTTGTACCACTACGGCATTTTTCACACATTACTTTGTTCGTGGTAAGCAAAAATGTTTATTGTATGAAGGCAAGATAAATATCATTACAGTCTAGAATTTCCATCTATATGCCTGTCAGATCTTTTCAAAAGTGTATTTTCTAGTTGATAAAACAGCAATAATGCAGCTATATCTAAAGTGCACTATTTTCCAAAGACAGAGGCTTTTCAGAAACTAAATGTGATAATGTCTATGAGTTCATGTCAAAAATTACTTTAGAAAAAACAACTTAAAAAACAACAGATAGAAGGTAAAACCATTACAAAAACTTCAAAAGAGGTCTGGCTATCGTTGGGCCAGCAAAGCTCCTCCTCAGTCGTGTGATGACAGGTGACACGGGAACTTCAGGCAGAGGTGGGATACCTTAGAGCCTTTCAGCCCGCCCAGCTGGTCCTTGTCATTCAGTCCCCACACAAACACTTTGGTTCTTATTGTAGCCGCTGATTCCAGCCCTGCAGCCTTCTTTCTAATAAGACTAACCAAAGAAAAAATAAAGATAGAAATACAGGTCATTCAGCATAAAAAACTTTCAAAAATAAAAAGGAAAGCAACCTCAAGCATGCAAAGTTTGCTGATTACTATGAGAAACTCTTAAAGTTTTGTTTTAATATAATAAAACCTCAAGTATATATGGGAGTAAGAGTGCCAGAGAGTCCAAATCTGTAGAGACCAGCATGTTACTAAAATTTAATTGTAGCTTTTTATTTTTGGTGGACATCTTTCTATGATACACTAGGCAGCTCTCTTTCTTCTTAACTACCAAGTTGAACATAACAGCTACTTTACTGACTCAGCGTGGTTCCTGCCCATCACCTGGACAAACAGCTACTATAGATGTAACTGGAGAGAACACTGGTTGGATGGTCCCATGAGTCACCACTGGAACTGGTATTGTGGCAATGTCCCTAAAGGAGACATCTGTTTGGTCATTCTTTTTCCCCTAAAGAAATAACAGATGTAGCCATATGACCCTGAAGGTACTACTCTAACACAGACACATGTCCTGAGGCACAATGCTGTTTTCTTCCCTTACAACCTCTGCCAGCTGGCCTGCAGGTCCACCTCCCTTCTCTTCCGGGAGCCCTGCCCTGCACCTCGGGGCTCCTGAAGTGTAGGTCTGGCAGCTGGCTCCACCACCTTGTTAGTCCTATCTCCTGACCTGCCCTCAACGGATTGGAAGTTGAATCAACAAAGCACGCCAATTCTTGAACTTGGGGAGATCATAAAGTGCCCAGGACAGTGTGAGATTTTCTTGGTTGTTAGTCTGACGTCAAGTGCCAAGGAATTGCTTCTTCTGTGTTTGCAGCTCTTGACTTTCATTTGCTCTTGTTCTATTTTTATCAGCTAGGATAGACAACCGAACACTTCACAGACCAGGTTCAAAATAGGTAAGATTTTTAACATATTATATACTAACAAGTATTTAAAGGATCAAAACTTTATGGTTTGGGGATAAAAATGTAGGAAAACTCTTTCATCTGATACCAGGCACAGGAGAGCAAGTACACTGTAATCACCTGAAATACCTTGTAACACATTATTAGTCAAAAATATGTACAGGACACCAGGAGTGATATTCAAGATAAGTAACAACTAGTACCATCTAAGTATGAACCATTCGGAATGGAGGCCAGCCACGTGTGGTCAGTGTACACACGTCCTAGCTGGGTGCCTGCTTAGTGGGAGACTGCTTGGATCACTCATTCACACTGAAGTTATTAATGATGAAGACGGTAAATTTTATGTTATGTGTATTTTATGATAAAAAAATTTTTTTTAATTTAAAAGTTAATGATAAAATACTTAGCAAAAAAGGCTATAAAATATAGACCATACCATTTCCATAGGAAAACACAATTAGGGACAGATAAAAAGAAAACTACAAGGTTACCAAAATATTAACAGTGATATTTCAGGTATAAAAATTAAACATTTTTATTTCACCTTTTTAGTGGTATTTTTCTAAATACAATGTGTTTTTGCATTAAATAGTTCCCTAATAAATTATAATTTTTGAAAACTCAACTAAAACTTACCAAACATTCAAAATTACACTCATTATGAGATACATTCTAATTAAATATTTACTTTTGAAAGTGAGAATTTTGGAATCAGCACCACCAATAACAAATGGCTCTCACCTCCCACTGTTGCCTTTTTCGTCTTCTTCCTCTTCATTATCTGAAGCTAAGAAAGGAACTGCAGCCAAGTCTTCCTCCTCTGCACGGATCCGTCCCAGCAGGATGAGACCATGGATTTTACAATCAATTCCTGAGCTCCTGCACTGCTTTATCGCAATTTCAATATACCTGTGATACTAGACACAAAAACAGTGAGCTACAGACTTTTTAGAATCAAACACAGTAGATACCTCAAGTGGAGCAGGAGATTTGAGACCTGGAATGTGTGGAAAGTTAGAGTTCCTTTACTAACTTCTGGAAATATCAAGCAAATTAGGCAGAGTTAATGCAGCCACATTTGAGTAGAGTCTATCTTTAAAAGAAGTCATTAATTCACCAAGTACGTCTATCCAAGGCATGGGACTCACACTGATTTTCTTACTAAAATGAAACAGTATGATAGCCTTACTGAATGACTGCAAACCTTTCTGTCTTAAAGCTTTCTTAAACCAAGATGTATTAAGAGATTAAATGTCAGGTGGTTCACAGAGCCTTCATAATTTTTAAAACATAGTAAAAATAAATGAATATATACAAATTAGAGAAAATAGTACAAGAAGCCCCGTGACCCCATCACCTAGTTCAACAACTATCAACATATGACCAATTTTGTTCATATATGGATTATCATGAGAAAATTCCAGGCAGCACATTGTTTCAAAACTTCAGTATGTATCACTGAAATATGGGCACTTAAAAAATATATCCACATTACTATTATCATAGCTAAGACAATAATTCTTTATATCATCTAATATGCTACCAGCGTTCAAATTTTCTGATCGTCTCATAAACTTCTTTCTATGTTGTTGGCTTGTTCAAATCGGGATCCAAAGAAGACGCAACCTCCCTCAATTACACCTCTGCCATTCATTTGTTAAAGCTGGTCTCTGTCCTGCAGGAAGCCCTCCATTCTGATCTGGCATCTATAGTATTCCTCTATCCTCATATTTCATGTGAACAAAGAATGACACACCAGGAAGCACACACACCACCAGTGACTCCTTACTGGCTCAACTGGATCTGATCAAACCTCAAGATCTACCTATGATGTCACAGGAAGCTCAGGTTGAATAAAACCATTGGGTTACAAAAGACAAACTGAGAAATTAAAAACTCTACAGGAAAAAAAGACCCAGTTTCTTTCTTTTGCAAGGAAAAACCAAGAGAATTAAGAATTAAATGAAGTGCAAAGTGCAGGCATCATTTGAATCATGATTCACACAAACCAGGACATTTATGGGATAACTGGGAAAATTGAAACACTGGCTAGATATTGTATAATATTAAAGAATAATTGTTAGGTATGATAATGGCACTGTGGTTACATTTTTCAGTCTTTGTCAGAGATGAATATTGGAGTACACACTATTGAAATAAATTCATGTCTACAACTTGTTTTAAACACTCAAGGATAAAAAAAATGGGGGTGGGGGGGACACATGGAAGGAGATAGTGAAACACGATTGGCAAAAATGTTGATAATTGTTGAAGCTAGGTGATAGGTTTATGGGGGTTCAATATACTTTCTATTTCTGGTTATGTTAGAAAATTCCCATAACGAGCCATTTTTATAGGAAAGGCAATGCTAGAGAGTCCAGTAGCTTCACAGAAACGATATTATTCTAGTTCTTAAGTTAGTTGGAGAGATGGAGAGTGGATCATGAGTTTTCCAGTTACTCACAATGCTTCATATTTCTCATATATATGATAGACACTATTTTGTACTTATCAAATGTTATATAATAAATTGCTTTAAATTGAAAATTTATTGGATTAAAGTTGATACACCCTTTATGAATAATAATCTTAGTTGGCTACTGACAATTAAATCTGTAGTTATTAATTTACTTAAAATACAAAAACATTCAGGAGTATAATTAAGACATTAGACAAGCTGCATTTAGTTACCTAGCAATAAGTTAAATAAAATGCACTAAAATTCAATATTATCTTTTCTCAGAAAATTAATTAATTAATCAGTATATCACAAAATAGTTCAATGACATTCAAAAATGAATGTTGTCCCACATTTCTATTTATTAAAGATTGGAAGAAAATAAACAAAATAAAAATCTTTCAGTGTACAAAAAGGTTGGATCATCAAATCTTGGACCTGGGAAAAAGAGTTGGTATAGTCCAATAGACTCTAGATACAAGTTACCAACCTTTCACCCCTGAATAAAGTTAACCTATGGCTGTATATCAGCTTCTTTTAAGCAACAGACTGGGATCACCTTGAACTTGTCTGCCCTTATGTAGGCAGACCAAAAAAATAATAATAACAATAATGAACAGTGAACTGCATTTAAAAATTTAAAAATAAACTCACTTATAATAAACTTTAGATAAATAACAAGTCAATTATTTAATATCTTTATTCACTATCATTATACCAATTAAACAAGTCCTCATGAGACAACAGTATAGGTAGTACAAAAAACTGTTTTAATTTGTATTATTTTAAATATATTTAAATTAAAATAGTGTTGACATCTGTGTGGAAGGATTTACTGGAAGATGTGAGAGACAGTCTTACTGCTCTGTTAATGTACGGGTGCTGTTTAAAAGAATCTCCACCGATTCTCTTAGAATTTTCAAGAGATACAACAAACTTGGATTCATTTTGAAAATTACCTTATTACCAATCAAAACACACTGATAACTCAGCACTTCATGACAAGTTCAGCACTTGATGCCAACAGGTGTGAAAACAAAAAAGGAATTTCAGTGTCACATGTATGGTCAGAAAAAACCATTGCACACCAATAAATATTTAATGAACATGAAACTGCACTGGATACAAAAAGCAACCAGACATAACTGGTAACGACTTTGGTAGGAACATTTACCTCTACTTCTTACCAAAGATAGCGAGAATGAAATTTATTTTGTTTCCTTTTCAAGCTGATCTGATAAGCAGCAAATTCAAGTTGTGTACATGTCAACTTTTCAAATAAATACAATTAATTAAGGGAGAAAAATGGGCCAATGTTAGTACAGAAATGTTCAAAAAAAGTCACCTCCATTGTCATGTGCAAACCATCAAAGAGGAACACTATCAAACTCACTTACCTCTGTGCAGTCATTCAGAAGGGACACTGTGGTGTCAGTGGGGTTAATATTGATTGTCTTCAGTTCAATTAGATTATTTAGGGAATTTCCACCTAGGGGGAACAAAAGGGTAAAGGAATCAGATGAAATAGTTTTTATGGTATGATAGAAGATACTTTTTGAGTAAATTAATTCAATTACCTGACACCACAACCAGGGATGGCATGTAGCTACTGTCAGCAGGATCTACTATCATTTTTAACCTATGAACAAGAACATCTGGGAAAATCTCCAAACGAATCCAATGCTGTAAAAAAAAAATGCATTCTCAGTTAGTAAAATTCAGCTATATTTTAGCTACTAAAATATTATCACTAAAGCTTGAATCTACACGAGACTTTTTTTAATATATAATCTGGCATGAGACAGACAGAATTTGCCTTTAAGCTGGCAGAAACAAGAGTATTCTACGCCATCGCTTGCTTTTTAGAAGAAAGTCTCACTCTAAGCCCCAGAAACGTGTTCCACTCTAAGCCCCAGAAACGTGTTCCACTCTAAGCCCCAGAAACATGTTAATAAACTCCTCTTGACCTAGGATGGTCCCTTTATACCCATCAAGCAGTGGATCATAGAAAACACTAGAGTCAACATGGAGAAAAAGCCCCTCTCCAAGACTGACCTGCATGTCCAAATGATGGACACCCACATGTCAAGGCAATTATGATAGCATTCCAAACAGCAACACATATTTGTTAGGATATATTAGAAAAACTTCTAACCAGAAGAGAATCTGAACACATACATTTTATATGGGGGAGTAAAAAAACACCACCACCCTCTTACACCCTCTATCAATTGCTCAGTTAGATAAAATCTGTTACCTATATTGTTTAAAATCTCTGACAGTAAAAACTGGATGGTATACTACTCTGTAACTTTAAAATAATTATGAACTAAAATATAAAATGAGTACTGACAGGTGCCCTCACAGTATAACTTACTAGGTTTTTCAAACTTCATTTTGAAGCTCTAAAAGGCAAAGCCACCTAAATAAAAGTGGTTCTGGAAGTGCCCCCAGGAAACACTACCTTTCCTTGCGACCCAGAGGATTGCCAGCAGGGCTCGCTGCCGTCAATCAGACGAGAAGCCTGGTTCACGGAGGATGAGACATTCAGGCTCTTCACCATCCGGGACCAGCTGTCCAGCAGCATTCCTGGCTGACTGTTGTGACAACGCTTCAGCTGTTTTCCAGAACGGCCACAAAATATTGCAGACTGTCCTATTTAACGGTGGTGAAATAGTGTTAATACTTGTGGGGCAGAACCTTCACAACCAAGAAATAAAGAATATTACACAGTGATGAGCTTCTTACTTCAAGAAAAATATTAAGTTTTCAAATTAAAAGGAGCTAACAGATACCTAAAATGACTTCAAAAAACCTAGTCAAGGTATTTTATACCAATTTATGAGATGAAGTTCATATAATGCTATGATTTATTCCACTTGACTCTCTCAAGTAATAACAGAGTGATATATTTCCAGATGGAAGGACACATATAAGCGGGGCGGGGGGGGGGGGGGAGTTTAGTAACAGTGCTTATAGAAAACGTTCTCATTAAAAATGCTTTTTATAAATGCAAAGCGAAACAAATTTGTAAAGAGTTTCTACTTCCATTAATGGCAAATCTGGAAATTCATCTAGCCCTCCCACTGAGGAGAGAACATTTCAAGATGAATAAAATTACAAAGTATCAGAGTTGACAAGACAGTAAAGAGATGAAAGGAAGTGTGCAGGTGAGCTACACTGCAGGTCAGAGGCTGCTTTTCCCGATGGTATTGTCAGTTTCTAAGAAGAGCCTCGAGAGGACGCATGGTACTTCTGACAGCCTCATGGGGGTATGGTGGCCAGGAACCACCAGGAGAGAATGGTATGGCCAGAGAAAAACCCACACTTGGGTTGGGATCCCCACAGGAAGAATCCTAAGAGTAAGGGTAAGAGTGAACTATGCAGGGTTGTTTTTTTGTTTGTTTTTACAGATTCCGCTCAGCATGAAATCATCTCGATCAATGAAACTGGTCTGAGGTAAGCCCAGAGAGTTACTTACCCCAATTATCTGGAGGACCAACCCTCTCTTCCCCAGTCTCTGAAGAAACATAATATCTTAGGCCTCAAACTGATTCAAGAAATAATTTTTTAAATACAACGCAAAGTGCATAAGGGCATATGAGGAGACAAGAAAACATAATTAAACACCACCAGAAATGATAGATGATAGAAACAGACCCCACAATTAGAGTTATAAGACACAGATTTTACAATAACTGTACTTACTATGTTCAAAAAGATAAGACATTAAATATTTCAGCAGAGAACTGGAAACTATTAAAAAAACAAACAAACAGAAAGACTAGGACTGTTAAATACAGTAATTAAAATTAAGAACTCAATGAAGAGATTTATCAGTAGACTAGACTCAGATGAAAAGAGAATTAGTAAAAAATATCTAGAAAGAAGAACTGAGGAGTAAAAATTTAGCAAACATAAATGAGAAGGTGAAAGACTTACAAGATAGAAATAAGGTCTAACACCAGCGAAAGAGGAGGCCCAATAGAAGAAGGAAGACAGAATAGGGCAGAGACAATATCTAAAGAAATACTGAATGACTGAAAATTTTCCAAAACTGACAAAAGATATCAAGCCACCAATTTTAAAAGCCCTACTTTGAAAGTTGCCGAGAGTAGATCTTAAATTTTCTCACCACATACACAAAAAAAGGTAATTATGTGAGGGGATGGATGTGTTAACTAACCTTTACTGTGGTAATCATTTTGCAATATATATGTGTATCAATTCATCACATTGAACACCTTAAATTTACACAATTTTGTATGTCAATTATAGCCCAAAAAAAGCTGGGCAAAATAAATAAAAATAAAAAAACCCTACTTACCCCCAAAAAAGATAAAGAAACACATCGCTGTACATATGTAAAATTTGTGTAAGATAAAAACAAAAGAATATCTCAAAGGCAGACTAAGGGAAAATACAAAGATTGATTAGCTTTTTAATGGAACAATAACTACACTTCCAGCTGACTTCAGCAGAAATAATATAAACCAAATTACAACAGAATAGTATTTTTAAAGAGCTGAAAGAAAATTCTCAGCAAAAATATTTTTCAAATAATGGAGAAATAAAGACATTTTCAGATACACAAAAACAGAATTCATAACCAAAGAGACATATTAAAGAAAATACTAGGGAATATTCTTCAGGCAGAAGAAAAATGATATTTGGAAAGTGAAAGATACAGAAAGAAACAGAGAAAAAGTACAATGTTAAGTATGTGAAAAAATCTAAACAAATACTGACTATAAACAGTAACAATAATGTGTCTGGTCTGGTTAAAAATGTACGTGTATAAAATTTTAAAACACGATAATAAAAACATAATTTAAATCAGAATGAGGGTAAATAAAGTTAAAGGGATCTATGGTCTTTGCATTGTTGAGGAAGAGGGTAAAAATACTAAATAATATGAGACTTTGATAAGTCAAAGAAGGATGTTACAATATCTTGAGTAACTGCTAATACTAAAAATGCGTATAACATATACACTACTAATATGGCATATAAATATACACTAAAAATATGTGTAACTTCTAAGCCAATAAGTGAGGGGGGAGTTGTGAAATAATGAAAAATACATCAGTCCAAAGAAAGGTGGAATGGAGAAAGGGGAACAGACAACAAGAGGACAAATAAAACACACCGAGAAGTTGGTCAATTTAAATAAAAGTGTATCAGTAATCGCCTTAAATGTAAATACCTAAATCATCCAATAAAATGACCCTAAATGTAAATCCTAAATGATCCAAACAAAAGATAAAGATCATCATATTGGAATTAAAAAAATACAACTATCTACAACTTACAAGAAATATATCTAAAATATGGTAATACAAAAAGGTTGAAGGCAAAAGGCTAGAAAAAGATACACTAAGCAAACACTAACTCAACCACAGAACTGTAGGAGACTTTCTTTTAGGCACACATAAAAAATTTATAAAATCCCATCATGTGCTGAGTCATATGATCATATGCAAGTTTCAGAAAATGCCAAAGATCAGAGTACAGACTCTTAATGCAATCATAAACCAGTAAGAAGATACCTAGAAAATGCTGATATGTTTGAAAATTTAAAAACCAATGAACACAAGAAAATAACTCCAAAGGAATTTAAAAAATACTGTGAAATGTATGTTAATGAAATATTACTACATATCAGTATTGTAGGATACAGCTTAAGCCTTAAAGATAAACTTAAAATTTTAAGTTTATATATTAGAAAAGATGAAAGTGAAAAATTAATGAGCTCAGCATTCACCTCAAGAGGACAGAAACAAAAAATCAACCTAAACCCAAATTCCATAGGAAAAAGAAAGAAACAATAAAGATACGAGAGACAGCAAATCAAAGCCAAAAGTCAGTTCTTTGAAAAGACTACTTAAATTTGTAAACCCATGGCAGGCTGATCAAGAAAAAACAAGAAAGTATTCAAAGTTAGGCTTGAAAAGGAGATAGCTCTACAGATTCTACAGCTCTCCCACATAAAGATAAGAGAATCTTGCAAATTAGGACTAGAAAAGAATTTCCTCAACATGATAAAGGCCATTATGAAAATCTCACAGCTAACATCATACTCAATGGTGAAAGATCGAAGGATTTCCCCCTAAGATCAGGAGCGAGATGAAGATGCCACCTTTGCCACTTCTAGTCAACAAAGTACTGGAAGATCTCGCTGAAGCAATAAGGGGAGGAAAAAGAAATAGAAGGCATCCAAATTGGAAAGGAAGAGGTAAAACTATCTCTGTTCACAGATGACATGTTCATATATGTATGCTTTAGAGTTCAAGAATCCACACCAAAAAACCTGTCAGAGCTAATAAACAAATTCTGCAAAGTGGCTGGATATAAATTCAACACACAAAATATGTTGAAAACGTGTAGTGTATATGTATAGTGTGTATTTCTCTACACTAGCAACAAACATACCAAAAAGGAAATTAAGAAAACAATTCTCTTTAAAATTGCATGAAAAACAAATACTTAGGAATAAATTTAACCAAGAAGGCACAAGACTTGTACAGTCATGCATTACTTAACAACGGGGACATGTTCTGAGAAATGCGACGTTAGGTAATTTCGTCGTTGTGTCAAGTTCATAGAGTATACTTACACAAACCTAGATGGTATAGCCCACTACAGATCTAGGCTACATGATACTAATCTCATGGGACTACCATAGTATACACCGTCTGTCATTGACCAAAACACTGTTATGCCACACACGACTGTACACTGAAAATCACAAAACGTTGCTGAAAGAAATTTAAAAAGATCTAAGTAGATGGAAAGACATCCCTTGTTCATGGATTGGAAGACTTAATATTATCAAAATGACAGTTTCACCCAAAGTGATATACAGATTCAATTCAATGCAATTCCTATCGAAATATTGTTTTTTAAAGAAGTAGAAAAATCATCTAAAAATTCATAATGAATTTCAAGGAACACCAAATAGCCAAAACAACCTTGTAAAAGAAAGATTTCACATTTCCCAATTTCAAAACTTAACTGGCAAAGCTATCCTAATCACAATGGTGCGGTACTGGCATATGGACAGGCAAATAGACCAATGGAATAGAATTGACAGCCCAGAAATAAACTCTCACATCTAGGGTCAACTGATTTTCAAAAAGGCTGCCAAGATCATTCAATGTGAAAGGACAGTCTTTTCAACAAATAGTGCTGGGAAAACTGGATACACAAGTAAAAGAATGAAATTGGACCCTCACATTATACCATATACAAAAACTAAAGTAGATCAAAAACCTAAATTTAAGAGCTAAAACTACAAACCTCTTAGAAAGAAACACAGAGGCTAATCTTCATGACTTTGGATTTAGCAATGGTTCCTTAAATTAAAAGCAAAAGCAAATATGACCTGAAATGCACAGGCAACAAAAGAAAAAAACAAATAAATTGGACTTCATTAAAATTTAAAACTTTTGTGCATCACAGGATCCCATCAAGAGGGAAAAGATAAACCACAGAATAGGATAAAATATTTGCAAATCATATATCTGATAAAGGTTTAATATCCAGAATATATAAGGGACTCCTACAACTCAACATCAAAAATTTAAAAATGGGCAAAGGACTTGATAGACATGCCCTCAAAAAAGATATACAAATGGCCAAAAAGCACATGAAGAGAGGCTCAGTGTCATTTGTCATTAGGGAAACACAAATCAAAATCACAGTAAGATATTACATTTCACCCATCAGGACGGCTGTAACAAAAAAAAAAAAAAGTGGAGAATAACAAATGTTGGGGAGGACATGAAGAAATTGGAACCCTCACACATTGCTGGTGGGAATATAAAATGATGCAGCCACTGTGGAGAACATTTTGACAGTTCCTCAAAAAGTTAAACAAAGCTACCACACGACCCTCCAATTTCAATGCTAGTTTTGAAAATAGGGACTCAAACAGATTTCTACACCAATGCTCACAGCAACGTTGTTCACAAAAGCCAAAAGGTAGAAACAACCAAAATGTCCATTAATAGATGAATGTATAAAGAAACTGTGATATATACATACAATGGAATATTACTCAGCCATAAAAAGAAATGAAGTTCTGACACATGCTACCTGAACCCTGGTAGCATGAACCCTGAAAACATAATGCTAAGTGAAATAAGCCGGATACAAAAGGACAAATTTTCCATGCTTCCACCTCTGTGAAATACCTAGAGTCATCAAATTCATAGAGACATAAAGCAGATTAGAGGTTACCAGGGACTGGGGGAGGGGAGAATGGGGAATTATCACTTAATGGGTACAGTTTCTGTTTGGAGTGGTGAAAAAGTTTTGGAAATAGATAACGGTGACAGTTGTGCTATATTCCCTGAATTGCACAGCTAAAAGTGATTAAAATGGCAAATTTTATGTTGTATATATCTGCCACAATAAAAAAATATATTAGAAGACAGACAAATAAAAAGACTCACTCTCCATCTATCCAATTCCAGACCCCATGCAATGAAACAGTTTCCTGAGATCCTTTTAACACTCTTCATGGAAATACAAGCAAACAAACCCTATTATTCTAATTCCCACGGCCCCTCATTGCTAGAAAAAAAAGATAGCAAGTCATCAGTGAGTAGGACCATCTTTCCTGTTTCACCGTGCACAATGTACACTGCTCATCATATAAATATGAACTTTAAAAGAGCAAAATTAAATACATTCGTGCCCCAAATAATTCTCATTAATAATATTTTTGATGAGAGAGAGAACGTAACCATTCTACCATACCTGGTTCATTTATTCTGCCAAATGTATGCCTAGTGTTGTGTTTTCTGGTCTTGAAACACGTTTCACAAAAATCAAAGTCATCACAGTTTCTGCATTTGAATCTAGATCCATTGATAGGAAACATCTGACAGCCATCACACCTATTTTTAAAATAGCCATTGAGTTGATGAGAAAAAGATGATGTCATTTATTAAACTTAATTCCAAAGAAAACCATTCCTCTCAAAACAAAACTAGCAATGTAAAAAAGATAACTCACGTAACCCCAGGATGAACACTAGGCACCAACTCCATTTCTGATAACAGGCCGGTCCAGTGAGACTGTTGAGGAAAGTCGACAATGACATCTTTTCCATTGGCACTGAAAGCTAGGGCAGAACAGAAATTGCCTGAAACATCTTTATCACCAATAAAAACCTAAAATTAAATAAAACTATACCTAGCCATGTGACATTATATATCAGTTACTTATGTTTTACAAAGAGTACTTATCCTTTAGAGACACATACTAAGATACTTATGGATGAACTAACACATGATGTCAGTCAGGGATTAGCTTCAAAGTAACTGAGGGAAGGGTCATAGCTGAAACAACTTTGGCCAGGAGTTGACAATTGTTGAAGCCAGGTTATGGGTATATGGAGGCTCATTATGCTAGACTCTCTACTTTTGTATATGTTTGAAATTTTCCACAATAAACAGGTTTGTTTGTTTTTAATTACACCAAGTCAAAACTCCATTTAGTATCTTAGGGAATAAAACTCACGTTAATAACGTTAAGACATCTCTTGTCCTTTGGGTAAGAGCACTCTGCTACTTAAAACATTAACTTCTCAACCAAGTTCCTGTTTTTAAAATTTATCTTTGTTTTAATTTGTAAAACTTTTAAGAATCTCTTAAGAAAAATGTTAAACTCAAGCAAAAAGTTAAATAAGCCATTTGTTCTTATGTAACTGAGAAACACTAACACCCCTATCCACTGGGGAAGCACCACCATTGTGGCCTTTTTTAATCTAAGCCATTTGATAGTAAGAGAGTTTTCTACAAGGCTCAAAACAAAATAAAACAAAACATGATCTCTTTATGACTTCGAAAGAGTTTAAAAATAAAATAAAACCACATGCCTATTTAATTATTTCTCATGCAATTGTTAAAATGGACATAGTTTGCCTTCTAAAGTGTACCACGTAGTTGAGGAGAATTTCGTGTTTCCAGTTCCTAACTCCATCTCTATTTCTTAAATTCAACCCTAAATTTCTATACAGCATTAAAAAAAAGAGAAAAGCAGTCTCTGACCACAGGAGCTAGCCTGACACTCAGATATAGGCCATTTGGCAGAATGACTGACAGAACACCAACATCAGACAAGGCCACCTTGTGACTGTGATGGATTCAGACAAAAACAAAAACCACTCCTCAGTCGTGTCTGATCAAGTCCAAATCTAATCCAAACCACAAACATGACCAGCCGCCCCTGTCCTGGCTAATGGAAACAACTTGCCAATTGTAAATTCATCCTAGCTCCAGGATTAAGATATTTATTTACTTAGATAGCCGGTCTTCGATATTTATTTATATAAGACACCTAGTCTTAGAGTTTATTAAGATATCCAGTCTTAGAATTACCCTGCTTCCTTGCACCCTCCCCAAAATCCCCGACACAAGTCCCATTAGTCCTCTGTTACACCTGCTATGGAGATGCCCCATTTGCCAGGGCATGCATCCTCCCGAGTTGCAATGAGTTAATAAACCTGACTCTCTTCAACTACAGGTGTGTTTCTAGTCCAGAGGGCACTGACAAGCAAAAGAACACTACTTATATATCATAAAGTTTTCTTCACACTTGTTTTTCTAGACCTTGAATGAAAAAAAAGAGTTTATATTAGTTGATGAAAAGTTAACATTTGGAACTTTGTTCCCTATTAATATTACCTTTCACAACCCCCACACTTTGATGAGTCACGGATCCCCACTTGTATTTTGGTGTGGTGACTGAGGCTTTGACTCGAACTTTATCACCAATCTTGATGTGAGAAGGAGAACTTGGTGGAGGATAGCCTAGAGATTCCAACACTATAATTAGCATTCATTTCTGGGAACTCTGTTTCTAATGAAGAAAAAGCAAAAGAACTTAATAAAGAATGTGCTCACCAATAAGTTCCACGTGAATATACCTAACCCAGTAAGTGCCTCCTTTCTGCTGCCAATCACATTGCACGTTGAGGTCATGTAATCCATCTCTATCCAGTTTGATAACTTTGCCCACGTCTCCTTCACACACTTCTTCATATGTCCGACAGCATCTAACCATCATTCCCACCTACAATTAAAATTAAATTAAAAATCCAGCCCAGTGAATAAGTAGCATTATTCTATTCCTAAGAAAGGATCTCCTCTAGCACAAAGCGTGTGCTCTCAATATCATTTTACACTAAGTGGAACTAGGGATCTTTAGAAAACTTGCTGGCTTGCTGTCTGGGGCAGGAAATATATAAGATGAGCCTGGATCAACTTGTGCCATAAAGCAAAGGAGCTAGCAAAGATTAATGGGTTCACCCAAAAGGACAGTCTTCTCAAGAGAAATAATGGCTAAAACATATCAAATTCCTAACAGACAATAAATACATCATCATAATAATAAACAAAACAAAGGTTCCTGGTCACCTTTATTAAGTACCAGAGCACCAATTCACCATTCTGAAAATTGATAAAGCCAAAGAAACAAACAAACAAAAAAAACAAGCATTTATTCTGCCATTCCTATACAAACTATATTATAAAGAGTGGCCAAAGCCGATAAGCAAGGTTTCTTCAAAGAACAGAACTCGAGCTAAAAAATTTGGAAGGGATGACCAAGTTAGAAAAGCACTACTGTGCAACCCCTCCTGATGGGCCTAGGTGATTACACTAAAGGCTACTGAAGCGCCGAGATGAACAATTAATAGAGAACTTCTTAATGGATGGAGCAGGCTGACAAGATCTATCCCAGCGACACTGCGCACTGGTCCACATAACGCATTCTTGCCTAAGACGAAGCCTGAGTCCAGTCACCCTCCAGCTCTCACTCTGACTTGATAGGAAATGCAGAGGAGGGAGGAAGATGTGGGCCAACATAGTTTCAGCTACAAGTAACTGGCATGAAAAGGAAAAAATGAGGGAGACACTGTTCTAGGTTAAAAAGACACTTCAGAGACACATCACCCACACGTAAGGTGTATAATATTTGCGTCCAAATTCAAAAAAATTATTGTAAAAACCATTTTTGAGAAAACGGGGAAAATTTGAGCAAGCATTGAATATGAGATGATATTAAGGAATTACTGTTTATTTGTTAGGTAATGTTAGGTAACAGTAATGTCATTATGTTAAAAATAAACTCCTTTATCTATTAGGAATACATACTGACATATTTACAGGTGAAATGAGATGATTTCTGGGATTTTCTCTGAAGTACACTAACAGAAAAGAATTAAAACAAGAAAAGATTTAAGGTGGAAAAAGGACTATATAAAAAGCAAAACTAGACTTAAAATTAGATGGCAGTGAGAATGATATGAGAAAAGCAAGCAAAAATAGATTAAAGTGTCCACAATGGGAACAGTGGACAAGCACATGTCTCTGTGTCCCATCACTGTGGACAAGCCACCTTTTGCTCTTGGCCCCTCCTGCTCCTCTCCTGCTCCTCTGTTCTCTGCTCACTCGGCTCCAGCAACAGTGGCCTCCCTGCTGGGTGCTGCACACACCAGATGTGCTCTCTCTTGCCAGGCCTCTGACTTTCCCAGTAGCTGCTGAGCCAGCCCCTCAACACCCCGCAAGCCTGTGCACCCAGCTCACTTCTCAACACCGCTTGCCCCCACCACTGATCCCACTCCCTCTCTACCTCCCATACCTCCCATCCCTCTAGTCCGCTCTCTCTCATTTCCACAGTATGCACCACCTTCTAATAAATTATAGTCTGTTTGCCAGGTTTGATTACTATCTGTCTTTCACATCTAGAATGCAGGCTCCCTGAGGGCAGGGACCTCTGTCCACTGACGCTTGGCACATAGGAGATGCTCAAACATTTGCTCAATGAAAACCTGAGCAAGGCTCCTGCCTAAGACAATTACTCACCTGAATATTCTCTCTCACATACACAGCATAATCATCATTACTCAAGAAATCAGCTCGCTTTTTGTAAGTTTGGCTCTCCGTTACAACAGCACTAGTAGACTACAAAAGATAAAGACAGCTTTTTAAAATGGTGAACCAGATAAAGCTACTTAAAAACAAAGTATGTGAAATCTATAATATTAAAAACTGAACTATCAAATACTGTATTTTCACTATAAAAATCTTCACTTAAAAAAGATTAATAGTAATAGCACAGAAAGCAGAAATGAATCTCAAAAGCTACCAACATAGAAAATTTCTGAAGCATTTCCAAATTAATCCCATAAAACAATTTACTCAAGTCAGAAATCAGTGTGTCACATAAAACATGATTTTTTAATGAAGTATCTTCAAATGACAACCCAACATCATTAGATGTTTCAGCAAAGGTCTGTTTTAAAGCTAAAAGTAATTAAGGCACAGAAAACCCAGTCAGCACTTAGTAGTTTTGTTATGTGCCCAGCAGAACTGTAGAGAGGCCCCATGGAGCAGCGCAGAGGAACCCAGAGCACAGACTAGGCAGACACGAGCACAGGGGTGGCCGCAGGGGAAGCACTGACCATAGCGTAGGCTGTGTCGTCCACATCCTCCACCACCTCCTCATCTGAACACTCCTCAGACCCTGTGTCTGCATCTGAGAGATCTGTGACCTGCACATCGGCGTGGTCCAGCAGCCATCCAACCAAGGCCTCCACGCCTACAAGCAAACACATACAGCGCATCCACAGTGAGGACTCATAGCACCTGCCTGCCCAAAGGGCCTCTGATGTTGGTATTGCAAGATAAACCTACAAACAAACAGGGGTGGGAATGTTAAGCGAAACATCCACAAGGAAAATGCAGTACCTGGTAAGCCAGCAGCATTCCCAGAGGCACCAGTGAGCGACTTCAGCGCAAACTCTATGTTCCTTCTCGGAAATCCCATTTCCATGAGTTGAACCACAATAGGCAGAGCAGGAACAGGTGACTGCTTGCGCTTCTTTGCTCTGACAGGGCGAACATGCTGCACAGGGACAGGCGTCGTGGCCTCACTGGAGCTGCAGTCTTCAAACACCGGGCTCGATGGGTGAGTGGACTCCACAGCCAAACACTGACACACAGCCAACGCGGCAGCCTGAGGAAACAAGAGTGGAGCCGGGAGGTCTGTAGAAGTCAGGTGACTCAAGCAGTCTAAGAAAATGGAAATTATGGACTTCTACTATGAACTGCAGTGCAGAAGTAGGGAAAACACAGACTTACACGTGTATTTTAAAATGAATGGATAAAACATGTTAAAAAACGACAGACAAGTTTCATAGTTTAATGCAGAGGGGAGACTTGGTGGCCACATAACTCCTGCTTCAGCACATACGGAGCCTAGTAGATTAGCCAATTATCAATGTCCATTAAGGGAACCTTCACAGCAGCCCTAAGCTCTGAGTGTGAAACAAGCTGTGTAGAGTGAGAGGGGCCCGATGGGACAGAATGAAAGGCATCCTCCCCCCATCTCTCTGGGACCAGGCAGTATCCACAGTCTCCTGCTCTCTTCTCTCTGTAAGATAGGCCAGAGATGACAGGGGACTCTCTCATATACCACCAAATCAACTCTCAACAACTCAAGGGTAAAAGAACTGCTCTGGGATTAAACATGGTATAAAAAAACAAGGGAAATAAAAAATATTGGGAAACAAACTGCGACGACTCCATGAACACATGCATCTCTGGGGTCTGCAGGTGGGTCCCTACCTCCAGCACACTCTGATCCACTTGCACCTCTCTGTTCCTCATCTCCAGATGCTCTCAGAGCACCTAAGATTTGCTATTGTTTTTAACAGAGCATGTGAAGAAGGAATTAGGAAGAAACTGAGGACACCAATGAGCCCTCCAGTGCTTAGGAAGTGTCAAGGCCTAGGGTTTTGCTGTGAAGACTAAGTAACTCGGAAGAGACCAGCTTCATCCTAAAAGCTTACAATTCAGAACCAGACTGAGCTAGGAGTTCTGGTTCCGGTAATGGGGAGTTAGCGTGTACTGGATTAAACCTCTGCTGATGATAACTATGAACTCTGGATAAAATATTTTTAAAAACTGCTTGAAGGCACTGGAGAACAGCCAAAGCAATCAAAACTGGAACAGGTGCAATCCTTGACATAAGGGAAGCCAGTAGGCAAGCTGCTGACAGAGGCAGTGTTATGGGACTGTAGTCAGAGGCTGAATTCAGGTTTGCCAGAGCAATTAGAAAATGAGGGAGGAACTACAGAGGGAAAAACCACAAAATGTACACACAGACTACCCTCAAATCCTTGGCTGATTCCAACTGAGCATGTCTGAGACTGCTGGAAGGCTGGAGGGATTTCTACAGCTGCCCAGTGCTGGGGAGACAGTTTGAGGTCCAAGTCCAACCAAGTTAGAGGGAGCTAGCTGATCAAGACGTCAAGGTTTCCACTGAAACCACAGAAGAAATTATGAAGCCCTTAGAATTAGGGACCAGGAAACCAGGACTAAGGGCAAAACAAAAACAGACCATCATTAAAAAGTCTAGAACCAAGCCTCCACAGGACTGAGGAGAACTGCCAGGTACTGAACCATCTTCGAGAATAAAATTCCACTTCCTCCAGAGGCAGCTGAGGGAACCCAGAGCCAATACAACATAATATCCAAAACTTCCAGAATACAATAAAAATTATTAGATACGTGAAGAAGCAGAACCCATAATTGACTATAATCAAGAGAAAAAACTGCCAATAGGAGCAGACCAACAGGTGGCCCAGGTGTTAGAATTAATTACGCTAAATTTATTGTTTGCTATCAGAAATACGTTTTAAAGTATACAGACACATGTAAGGGGTGAAGAGATGGGAACTGTCAGGAGAGATATAAAACTATAAAATAAGAGGCAAATGGAAATATGAGATATGAAAACATAAAATAAAGCATTTCTTGCAGGGATTTACAGCAGATTAGACCCGACAAAGCAGACACTCTGATCTTAAAAACATAGCAAATACAAATTAACCAAGCAAAAAAGATTAAAAAATAATAAACTCACTAACAGTCTAACAGATGTATAATGGTAGCCTTAGAAAAAAACAAAAAGAGAGTGGGACAGGAAAAAATATAATGGCCAAAAAGTTTTCAAATTTGGTGGTGAAAAAAAAAAACAAGCCAGAAATGCAAGTAACTTCAGCAAATCCCACAGAGGATGGGGGAAAGAAACACACACACACACACAAGCACATCTTAGTCAAATTGCAGAAAATATTAAATGCAGCCAAAGGAAAAAAGGCCATTTCATAGAGAAGAATAAGAATGTTGGCTTAATTTCCATCAGAATCAATGGAGACAAAACAATGGATGATTTCTCTTCAGTACAACAGCCATTCCCAATTCTTAAAGGACAACTGTTGCCTTCTGCATCATTCCTCTTAGCACTGGGCACCACCAGCGTGATTCTGGGGTGCACTCCGCCAACACCCTTCTTCATTACTCAGTGTCCTCTTATCATCTCTACAGATGACTGGAAACACCACCACACTTGAACCTGATCTCTCATCTTAGAGGGTTTCAGACCTGACAAGTAGTTGGCATTCGGGCCAGGTCAGAAAAGGCATTACATTTCCTTCCCTCCTACCCTATGCCCAGCATTTCCTGCCCTCTCCCTTGCACCCCACCGTCTTCCTACACTCTGCGACTGCTATTAGCCCTGCCACTGGCCTGACACAGCTGCCTCCTCATTCTGGATCCCGCCTCCCCTCAGGGTCTTGGTTGCTGAGGATTTCTATTAGGGTACTTTCTGCCAGCCAAATTGAGCACTCAAGGTTTTGATTTTGTCTTTGATATTTTACCCAGAATTTTTTATGTATTACCTAGCAAGAAGGATATTTTAAAATACCTAGCCTTCCATGTTGCAGGCCATGAAAGTTCCCATCACTCTTAGACCCGGTCCCATGTCATCTCTTCTATGGGAACGTGTCCACAATCCCGGCCCCCAGACACATGTGCTCCGAAATAGGGTGAGGACCAAGAGCCTGGCAACAATAGAGTGTTCCTACGAAAGACTTTGGAGCAAGTGACACAAACAAGCCTGTGCAATATTCCTAAGTCTAATGGGGCTCCTTCGATAGTAATATTTCCTGGGAAAAGATCCCTCCACCAATATTTGAGCATCTGACCCATGTTGAATCTAGTTAATTTTTTCAAATAATTCACACAAATTCAAAATAAGGTTAAACTTCAATGCATTCATTCTCTAACTAGTATAATATTCTATGACAAATATGGTTAAAGCTTAACTAGTCATAAGAATTATTTTGGCATATCATTTAAAATTCAGAATCTATCCTTAAGAAAATACGCATCTAGGAAAGAAGTTCACAATTTACTGCACCGGATTAAAACTGCCAAGGCTGCCAAATGTACCTCAAGCTCCTGTTTGTCAAATATTGCCTTCACCGGGGATGGCTGGGTGGCTGAGGCCAGTAACTGCTGCAGGAGGATCATTGGGGGCTGTGGCCCTTCAGGAGACATGTCCCCAAGGTCAGGGGACGCAGCTGCTCCATCATCTGAATTTAAAAACAAAATATGCATGTGTTATATTTTCAACTGCAAGCATCTCTACTATTAAAGATAACGCATTGAGCGTGTTAAACCACATAAGATTTCTACCTCTTCAAGAGCTACACTACCAAAATCTTCAAGGCTGAGATACCAAAAACTAGCCTCCGAAGAATTTTCCACTCTCTCCTTTTTGGCCTCTGTCCTTCATTAGTTCACCTGTCTCCTTAGAGCCAACAAAAGCTGCCTCCCAGATTTCTGACCAAGGGCATCAGACACTCTCTTTCCTAGTGCTTGTTCACTCCTTCAGTCACCCCTAACATGGACACTCCCAAGCGTGTACTTCTAGTCCTGGCTTTTCCTGTAACTTTGTTCAGACCATAAACTGATACCAATACCAAATCTGCCATGGGGTCAGGGTGTTATCCTTTTGTCTGTTTTAATCTGAGGAGCTTAGGGTGAGGCAGTTAGCACTTCCCATTTGCTCCAGACTCACTGACACCCGGTGCCTCAAGCCAAGTCACTCTCACCTAGCATGTGGGTTTACTGGTTTGGTTTGGTGATAACTTCTACTAATCCTCTAGACCAGGGGCTGGAAATCTTTCTTTTTTTTTTTTTTAATTATTTATTTATTTATTTATTTGTGAGGAAGATCAGCCCTGAGCTAACATCCATGCTGAATCCTCCTCTTGTTTTTTTTTGCTGAGGAAGGCCGGCTCTGAGCTAACATCTATTGCCAATCCTCCTCCTTTTTTTTTTTTTTTTCCCCAAAGCCCCAGTAGATAGTTGTATGTCATAGTTGCACATCCTTCTAGTTGCTGTATGTGGGACGCGGCCTCAGCATTGCCGGAGAAGTGGTGCGTCGGTGCGCGCCCGGGATCCGAACCCGGGCCGCCAGTAGCGGAGCGCACGCACTTAACCGCTAAGCCACGGGGCCGGCCCTGGAAATCTCTCTGTTGGAGGGCCAGAGAGTAAACAGTTCAGGCTCACCAGCCACATGGTCTGTCACAGCTACTCAATTCTGCCACTGAAGAGCAACAGCGGCCAGAGATGACACGTCAACAAGCAAGTGTGGCTGTGTTCCCACGAAACTTTATAAAAACAGGTGGCCATGGGAGTGTGTCAAGCCCCGCCCTCGACAGCTCTGTCTAGAGCCCCCACTCTGCCCCAGGTGCGGGATGGTAACCCAGATTTAGCACTGCCATAGCTACTCATCCTGGTGACTACAGAACAGCCAGTCCAATTCCCTGGGCTCGGGGTTCCTTCTACAAGTGTGGGTTATCTTCAAGGTTCCCACCACCCAATATGGAATGAATCTGCACTTTCACTGGATTTACCTCATACTCAGAACGTTTAAACTAAATTCACAATACCCTCTTCTCTTAGGGTTAAGAAACAAAACAAAACACCCCACACTCCACTGGACTTACTAATTTTTGTCAAAGGCACTCCTCACTGTCCTCCCTATAACTCAGGCTTGAAACGTCAGCCATCTTTGACTTTTTACTGGTTTTCCATAAAGTTATCATCTAAAAGACTACACCATCACAATGTCTACTGGAACTTTCTTCCCACTTTTTATGCCTTCCCCTGGAAGACACCTCATCACGTGACACAAGAGTGATTCTCTCGTCTCCATGATCTCCCTGTTTCAAATACTTGTAGTACGAGTAATAGTAACACCCTGAATATCAATCCTTATCATGTGGATCCCTGCCACAGCTTTCCAACTCATCCTTAAGGTTCACTCTTCAAGGCAGTCTATCACATGACTTCAGCTGACCTCTCCAGCATTAGCCTCACTTTCATCGATAAACTCTGAGCTCCTTGCAAAGCAGAGTGCCTCGACACTCTCTCCAACACTCACTGCTCTATTTCTGTGCTCCTACCATCTCCTCCACCAGGACAGAGAGTCCTCGTCACCCTGCACCAAGGGTTTGCCACACTGTTCATAGGCTGCCCTCCCCAGCTCTCAGCTGCTGGGGTGCCCAGGACACCTGTGGAACTGTGCCCACACATCTCACAGTGTACTGGCCCAGACCCTACACAGAGCCATCTGTGTTCATTTTCTCCCCCGACCCTGATCCCAGAGAGGAAGAATCACAAACAAAAACTACCTTGTCCCCATAATACTTAGCACAATGTCTTTCAATAGTAGATGATCAAAAAGTATTTCATAGCTTTGGTTTTTTCCTATTCAAAGGGATATGAGCTCATTCTAGAAAACTGAAGTAATAAAGAAAAGTATAAAGAGAATAAGTCAGCTGAAATTCCACTGTCATTATTTTGGTAAGCAGATGAATCTATGGCCTATCTACGAACAGATAGACATAGTAATATGCTTTTTTGTTTATTTTATCATTTTCATGTTTCCACGGCAATGAACACATATACATATCATCATTGTGAATGCTGCCATAGTATTCTACTGTACAGATACACCACTTAATGATGGCATTTAGGTGTCTCCAATTTTCAACATAAAAACAATACCAACAAAGAAGCCAAAATGAGCATTTGTAAACACGTATCTTCATGCCTTTTTGTGTGATAAAAAAGGTCATCGCACAAGATGACTTGCTGGTCAAGGGATATACAGACATAGATATAGACAGATAGGCAAACAGACAGATTTAGATAGACGTGTGTGTGTTTGTGTGTATGCATTTTAAAGTCTAACATTTCCTCAAATGCCCATTAGATAGTTGTACCAACTTAAATTCCCACCAGCAATATGTTAACACAGTGATGCTTTATGTGTATATGAACCACCTTAGGGTCTTGTTAAAATGCAGATTCTGATTTCTTAGGTCTGGGGTACGGCCAGAGAGTCTGCATTTCTAACATGTTCCTATGTGCTGTCACTGCTGCTGGCCCATGGCCACACTTTAAACACTGAGGCAAGGAAAGCACTGTTTTCCCTCCCTCCCCACCAAATAGCCTGATCTTTGTCTAACATAATGACAACATCATTTGCAGTTCGTTGATTACTGGCCGGGTAGCACATCTTTCTTGTACATTTAGAAACCATCTCTATTTACCTTTTTATGACTGCCTGTTCGTGTTCTTTGCCTGTTTTCTACTGTAGTATCTGCCTTTCTTACAGATCTATCAGAGTTTCCTTAAGAGATACCTGTATGAGCAGCTGTGGCCTCCTGAACAGCTGGCTGAGACAAGATTTGCCTGAGCTGGTCCTGGTGAGAAAGCAGTGCACGACCAGCCTTCAGGATGTACAGCTTTAACTGCTGGCACCTCAGCAGGTCCAGGTCAACTTGTCCTGTGGGAGAAAAGGACTCAGCAGGAATGGCACACCCTGCTCGGGCTCTCCTCCTCACCAGTTGTACGACCCTGGGGAAGGCGCTCTGTTCCCTGCACCTCGGTGCCGCTGCTGCAACATGGCAGAAAGAATGACCTGCCCCGCGGGAATTAGCTGACCACGCCAAATACTGTCAGTAACGAAGAAACCGTCTTTCCCGGTATTAGGACTGGTGCTTCTGGGTGAGAATCCTCTACCTCCCCCAGGTCTTCTTCCCCCTTTCCTGTTCCCCATGCACCTACCTCAATGGGTTGGGGTAAGGATTAAATGGCTTAACACAGTTAGAACCATGTTAGCTATTAGTATAATCAAATGTTTCTCAAATTGCTGAAATTTCAACCAGATACAAATACCTTAACCTTTTCTTGCCAAGACTCCTCCAAGACAATTTTGTCAGATACTCACAACATATAGCTCTCTACCTCATCCAGATGGCGGCACCCCCTCGAGTCCTATCTAATCAAATGCCTGCATGATGCCTATGGGCCGACTGTGGAACAGTGAAGGAAGACACCACACAGGTGCAGGCAGACCACAAGCAGAGCCGGTATAGTCATGGCAGCAGCGCTCCAAAGCAGGACATGCTGGAGGCCACGGAAGGTAGCACCAGGATATGAGATGGGAGGGATGAGAGGAGCACAGGTGCCTCTTGGGCACTGGGCCTGGCTACCTGTTTTATTCACTGTGACGGGAAATGTTGGCTAAGGAACAAGGTTAACTAAATTCTGGACATGCTGTGGTTTACATGCACATGGCCCTCCAGCCAGAGATGTGAATTGGAGAGTCAGAGTTAAAGGTGGTCACCATCATAAACACTGCCACAGCAATCACAGGAGTGGGGAGAAAGGAGTGAGAAAACTCAAGAAGAGTAGGTAGAATAAGCCAGAAGTTACTGATGAAACCAAAAGGATTTCCAATGTGCACAGAATAGTCAGGGAGAAGAACTCTCCAAGAACATGAAGGGACAATGTAAGGAAAATCAAGGGAGTAGTATTCCAGACCAAAAGAAGGCAGAGTTCAAGCATGGATGGCCTCAGTCTTAGCCCACCGTCCAAAGGTACAAAGCAAGGCGAGTCCAAACACACACGCCCTGCTGGATCTGGCAGTGAGGAGACCAAGAGCAAAGCTCCTGAAGGCACTTGGGCCAGAGGGCCCCGGCTGGAGGGTTGATGGGGAAGGAGAGAGAACAGACTCTCTTCAGAATGCTTGCTTAAAATCAATGCTGGCACAGGGAAGCAGGGTCAGATTGGGGGTTCTCCAGGTGCCACCCCCACCACAGCGTCTTGTCTTTGTATCACACACTCTGATCAACATGCCCAAGGTTCCACCATACCCAATGTAACTCAACAAATCGTCAACCCATCTGAACTCAAAGACTTTAGCAATGACAGGAACTTGCTCAGACAAACAATAAACATTGTCCAAACACCACCAGTTAAGACCATAGCTGTTTCATCAAGAAGCACCGTGGACTGACCTGCAAAACCCTGTTTAGGTGATTTCTTTACTTTGTGCTTTTCCAATTTGCTTCCAGCGAGGTTCACCAACTGAGCCCAGACAGAGAGCATGGGCTCTGTGAAAGGTAGGTTGGTGACGCTGAACGCCACGGCGGGGAGCTGGAGAGACAACACAGAAACCTTCAAAGTGTGTCCAGTGAAATGCACACATGATATGTTGTGAAAGTTATCATAACCATGAGTCTTAATTTTGAAATACTAAATCTTTTTATATCTGAGAATAATAATTTTAAAAGATGACGTTAAAGGCAAGATAGAGACTTATATGTGTGGTAAACATAACCTTTAACTTCACCAACTTTTCTTTCCCAACTTTTACTTTTTACCTTTTACCAACTTTTCAACAATAATTACTAGAGTAGTGGCTATTATTTTCCAAGGTATTTTCTATACATTTCAAATTTTCTAAAATGTATATATATTCCTATAATAATCAAAACCAGTATTTTATAGAAAGGTAGAGTCAGATTGCACTTAGCTGACATCAAAGTCAGATAAATCACTCACTTTCCCTATGCATCCCTAAATCACAGATTTAAGATGACAGTAGCTGCTATGTAAGTCATATCACTCAACACTTAAGCAACTTCTTCATGAAGAAAGGTCATTTTTTTAAAGAAACCGTTTTTAGGTCTTTTTAAAAACTGAGTTGTTCAATAAAAAATAAACTTCATAAATTCACATTTTAAAATAATTAAAACTAACTTATAGTTACAAAGTACCTTCTAAGTTGCTACTGCCCTTTCGATCTTTTGACACTAAAATAAGACATATGAACTACTACACTGTATAACTCTGTGAGACAAGCCCTATTGATCACAGGAGCTTAAGGCAAACAAGGGAAGTAGGACAGATGATTTTCCTGAGGTTGGATGGCTTCCTAGAAGGCAGACATGGACTACAAGAATCGAGTTCTTCCCAGCATGGATGTTAGGACCCAGTTCTAGTATTAACACTCTTACTACCTAGTAACCAAGCACAAGTTCACCTACTGGTTTCAGCTGATTCAATGGGCAAACGCGACACGTCCGCATATCTGAGAACTGCACGGTGATTTTGCCCTTTGGGGTGATGCGAGTCACAGTGCCTTCTCCAAACTCATCATGCATCACTTGTCCCCCCAATCGCAGGCGACCGTCGATGCCCCCGATCACAGCCAAGACTGCCATGAGGCCCCCCACCTCCGGGTTCTCAGAGTCCGGAAAGTAGTCCTCTAACAAGGCCTGCAGACAGACAGCAAGCTTGAAGAAGAGAGCCAGGGAGCTACCTGTTTCTTACACACTTACAATTAAGGCAAATTCATTTTTACATTAGTTTCTTCAATATTTCCAGTAAAAATATTTTAAAATATATCAAAATACAGAGTATTTAAAAAGATAACTTCAAAGTTAAATCAACATTCTACAGAGAAAAACTAGGAGGTTTGAAAATGCAGCACCTACCCCCTCCGATGGCTTTCCGGCGCAGCTGCGGGTGACGGAATGGAGCTGCGAGTTAATGTACTTGTTTATGAGTCCGTTCCACTGACCCAGGGAGTGCAGCGTGCGGAGCAGCGCCACCACCTCTTCTGCCAGGGTGCTGCTGTGGGTGGCGGTCAGAGAGGCCTGAGGGCGGGCCCTCCGCCTCCTCAAAGTAGATTCTGAAAGAAACACCCGAAAGAGGAGCTACATGAAGCCCTGCTCACTTAACCAGGACACAAATGAGGAGGAAAGCCGCTCACCTCTGAGGAACGGGATGTCTGAAGAGCAGGTGGTGAGCAAGCTGCCCAAGAAACCAAAGAGCTTTTCTACAAGGCACTTCATGTCTCTTGCCCTTTCCGTCTTGTCCCATGATGGAAGTACTGCTTGCAGTAAATGTACAGCTAAGATCTGATAAGAGGCAATTTAAAATGGCAAGCATTAAAGAAAATGATTATCTTACAGATTGAGAGAACAGATTTTTATTTATTTTTGGTACCTCTAATGCAATTAATCATATGAAAATTCTGATATTCATTATTTTACAGCCAGATAGTCATACCCAAGTTGACTAATGATATGGATTATCACGGGTTAAAAAAATAAGCTACATTACAGATGCAGGTATCCATTTAATTAAAAAATAATTCCTTTTAGTTTCTTAAGACAATTATACCACAACTCCTGTGAAGCAGATGAGAGCAGCTAGTACGATTTATCATTTAACACAAAAGCAAGGTGATTAAAATTCAGCAACTTAACTTAATCTAAAATAAACAAGAACCTCAGCCCCTTGCCTCCAGAAAATCTACTTTATGTTAGATCTAGCTCTTTTCTGCACTCATGACTGAATACAGGCACCTAATTATGATAACGAGAGCATTGGTAACTTGATGCCACCCAGTAAGAGGCTCTGACATTCCCTAAAGTCACAGAGTGTGGACCAGCCTGGCACAACAATTACCTGCCGCTGCAGCGAGGCAGCAGTAAAGGGCGCGTGTCCCTCCACGACCTTCATGAGCAGGGCGATCCACTGAGGGGAGCTGAGGGCGGCACACATGTGCGGCGTGAGGGCAATGCTCCGCACAAAGCCCAGCGTGCACCAGCTCCGGTGCTGCTCCCGGCACACCAGCCTGTTTGCGGAAGCTGCCAGAGCAAAGCAAACTAGCTTGGTACCGAATTTCTAGAAACAGATACTCAGTATAATCTTTACTTTTAATTTACCTACTACATTATTTTCAATAATAAGCTACTTTACAAATATAATTTCATGAATTCCAAGTGAGAAGAGCAGGAGAAGACTTTCAAGTTAATTTAAGGAACATTTTACAAGATTTTTAAAACCTTTAAATGTAGTACTTCCTCAAACTAGGGAAGGCATTTCATCTACTTACTGTTTCTAGGCAGTAGGAAAATGATTCACAATTCAAACAGCACTTATTTGTGAGAGTGCATCTATTTTATATTTTTTGATCTCATGTGTTTTAAATATCCCCCATGATCTTGTTCATATAACCTGCACCATAAATTTCCAATCCAAGTTTAAGAAGTCTACATTAACAGATGAGAGTAAGAGGCTTTCAGGAGGTTTACCCAATTTGATTCTGATATAACCGTGACCCCATTTGCTCCTCCTAACTTCCAAGTCTCCACTCGTGGGCACCCTGGGGCTTCCACTTTCTCCTGGCAGTGGCCCTGAGGCAGGGGTCACACCACGTGACCTGCTCAGAACAGCCCCCACCCCCAGCTCACCTGCCCCATCACCTAGGGCCCAGCCTCCTGCTCTCCTGCCTAACAGGGACACTACCTCCTCACTCTCCCATTCAGTCACACTCACCCACACCCACACACACACAAACACATACATACTGACCTTCATACTCTCACACTCATACCCCTACCACAATCACACATGCTCACTCACACTCATAAACACTCCAACATGACCCCTTACTCTCTCATACACACATACTCACACTCACTTCCTCACTTCACAAACACACCCATACTCACTCACATCATCTCACTCTCACAAACTCTCATACACTCACATGCAGTCTCTCACAATCATTCAGTGACACCCAAACTCACTCTCTCACACAATCACAAGCACTCTCACACGTACACACATACTCTCTCCCCCTACTTTCTCAACTCATTTTCCCCATACTTAACACTCATATTCACACAAATTCAAACACTTTAATGGGTTTAATTATATCCCCCCAAATTCATGTTCACCCAGAACCTCAGAATGTGACCTTATTTGGAAATAAACTCTGCAGGTGTAATTAAGATAAGAATTGAGACGACACTATACTGGATTATAGTGAACTCTAAATCCAATGAAAGTCCCTATAAGACTCAGAAAAGGACACACAGAGACACAGAGGAAGTGGCCATGTGAAGAAAAGGCAGAGACTGGAGTGATGTAGCCACAAGCCAAGGAAGCCTGGAGCCACCAGAGGCTAGAAGAGGCCAGCAAGGATCCTCTCCTAGAGCCTTCGAAGGGAGTGCAGCCCTACTGACACCTTGATTTTAGACTTCTGGTCTCCAGAACCCTGAGAGAATAAAGTTGTTGTTTTAAGCTACTGTTAAGGGTTGAAGCACGTCCACACCAAAATTCACATGTTGAAGTCCTAACCCCAAGTACCTCAGAATGTGACCTTATTTGGAAATGGGGTCATGATACATATAATCAGTTTAAATGAAGTTAAACTAGATTAATGTGGGTCCCTAATCCGACATAACTGGCGTCCATATAAAAAGGAGAAATTTGGAGACTTGGAGACAGACAGACACACACACACACGGAGAATGCCGTGTGAAGATGAGGGTAGAGATCTACAAGCCAAGGAATGTCAGAGATCATCAGCAAATCACCAGAAGTTAGAGGAGAGCCTGGAACAGATCCTTCCCTCACAGCCTTCCAAAGGAACTAGCCCTGCCAACACCCTGACCTGGAATTTCTAGCCTCCAGAACTGTGAGGAAATAAATTTCTGTTATTTAGGCCACCCAATCTGTGGTACTTTGATGTGCCAACTCAAACAAACTACTACAGCTACCAAGGTTGTGGTAATTTGTTATGGCAGCCCTGGGACACTAACACACACACCCACGTGCACACACCCACTGACAAGCAAACACATGACAAATTCACAGCCCCAATATTGACTCTGTCGGCCCACAACTATTCACTGCATACATGTCTTGTCCGTCGTTCCACTTTCCACTAACATTCGCAGCAGTCCACACAGAGTTTTGGTGGCTTCACTCTGCATGATTTCAGCATGAACTCCCGCAGAGAGACAAAGAGTTTGCAGTAAATTAACAGTGCTGGTAAGCATCATTGCAGTGGGGTGAATGTTCCTTTCAATTTGTTCAGCTTCTGAAAAAAAGAATCAAAATAAGAAACCACACTCCCAAAGAGAACTGGAAGATGTCCCTACATGTAATTTAAGGGATTTAATATCACTTTTTTCTTTTTTTTACTGTGGAAAGAGAAGCAGCTCTTCACAAGATGGAATTGAAGATGCACAGAATGCTCACCCTAATCATCTCTGTCCCCACCTTCCTCAAAGAAAACAAGCCTTTTAAATTACAATTAATTTTTTTTAGACAAGCTCAGTATACAGGTCAGGAGCACTAAAACTCTTTTCAGGATTCACTCCTTTAGAAAGATAACTTTTCAAAGGTCAAAAGCTGTTTGCTGCCGAGCTGGCTACCCCCTGGATGAAGATGAAGTGCCAGCCTCCACAGAGGGGGAAGAGAGGCTCACACGTCCAGGCCATGACTTCTGGACCAGGAGGCACGAGGCAGCCAGGCCACTTTTCTGTCATGTGGCCAGGCCCCAACTTCCCTGAGTGAAGACCCTAGGCAGAGAGCTGGGAGGAGGAGGGGCACCTGGCCCAGACACGGTGCCGTCAGATGCAGTGATAACAAAATCAGCACCGACCTTCTAGGCGGCACTACAGGGCTTCACATACATTCCTCCTTGCAGCCCACAAATGACATGCATGGAGCACAGCCTTTCCCACTCACCACAAACCTGAGCTCAGCCTCCCAGGTTTCCTCTCCTAAGCATAAAAGTGATTTCGGAAGCTTGACTGCACTGCGCATAAGGCCAGCACTGAGCCCCACAAGGCAGTGTAGGCCTCTTGGATGGTTTCACCGAAACCAGCTGTGGGGAAGACTCATTCAAGTATCCGAAGCTCTTTTGGACAATCTAAAAAACCATCATGTAGGGGCCAGCCCCATGGCCTAGTGGTTAAGTTCAGCGTGCTCCACTTTGGCGGCCCGGGTTTGCAGGTTCAGATCCCGGGTGCAGACCTACACCCCTCCTTGGCGGCCATGCTGTGATGGTGACCCACGTACAAAATAGAAAAAGACTGGCACGGGTATTAGCTCAGGGTGAATCTTCCTCAGCAAAATAATAAAAAGAAAAGTCATGAAGCCCTCCTCCTACAACCTTGGATTCCCTCAGCTAGGATTTAACTTCCTGGATCCACTCCAAATTCTCATCTATGCTTTCCTTAAGGCAATAAAGTGCTGACTAACTCCACATAATGTGCAGCATTCTGAGTGAAGGACCTTGGAAGACAGGCAAAAGAAGGAGGAAGACGCGGCCCATGTTCTGACTGGGCTCACAGCACTGCCAGGCAATGCCTACTCCACCAGGCACTGGCTCACTACCTTAGACACAGGCTCAGAATCAATCCAGAAGGTCCACTACAGCTGAAGACTCAGCAAGCCCTGCACTGCCTCACCCTACTGCACTGTCTCCAAGGAAGCAGGAAAGTCAAGTCCGGCTAGGTCACCGGTTCCCAGGGCCATGCTGCACTCCTGGATCAGAATCCCCTGGGGCTTATTTAAACTAGACCTTCAGAAGCAAGCCCAAAGCTACAGAACGCTGTTTGCAGGTGAGTCCTGATAAACCATTCTCACTCCCAGAGGCAAAGGATGGCCAGCCAGCATTTGGACACAGCTTGCTGGGCACACTGGACTAAGTGGCCCCCAAGGCACCTACCCGAGTCATCTTCTGTGTCCGAGTCCTCTGCTGAGGGCTGCGTGGAGGTCGGCAGCTCCGCCAACTTGAGGTCGTACTTGCCCTCTTTCCCCATCCTGTAGGAGTTGGTGCTGCCTGTGTCCCACTGGACCCTGATCCATCCATCCTCTCCCAGTTCACCAATCACACGGCCGAGGCCAGGAGGAGGGCCATCCTGGGGGAGGCAAAACAAAGATCATTTATATGCTGCATGCCCATCCTGCCACACAGACATTGCCTGTAAGGGCAGCTGGATCACTGTCCACAAACTTCATGTCTGCAGACTGCTCCAAACCCACCTGCAACATGCACAGCTCACATCATCACCTTAAATGGAATGCCAGGAAATAACTTGCTCATGCTCCTTTACCCAAGAGGTAAGTAGGAAAAGTATCATCTCAATTAGTGCCGTCTCAAAGCCAATGCAGAGACAAAGCTTTCCAGCCTGATCCTGGTGCCCTGGTCCTTGGTCCCCTCAATCCCTCATGGGGCTTTGGAAACCTGACACAAGAACCAGTGTCTCCTTGTTCCCTCTCACTCTTCAGTGTTCCCTCTGGATTCTAAAAGGAAACCTCCATGTCTCGTTTCTATGAGTGAAAGCTGTTTTTAGGATGCTGCTACCTCTTCTGTGACACTTTGATTTCTGAGACGATTCTGGCGAAGCCCATGCTTAAAAAGGTTGAGAAAACCTAGATATGACAAGAATGCTATCACATCACAGGAAGGGGTACACTGTCCTCAGCGAGTGACTATGGTAATGATGCAGAGACAGACCCATGACCTCTACCTGGGGAGACCTGACAAGAGACTCGGGAGCAATGTGCTACAAGGAGAAACAACAAGGTGGTCACCACCCAAGGAACATGCCTGAAATTGCCGGGTCAGAGTACTTATTGGGTTTGTGGCCACCAGCTCACAGAGGTGGCATCTAGGTCTTCCAGCCTCAAAGCTTTCATGACACTATTATTCAGATGAGGTTCATTCTCTCCTGCTCACTCTTGTTCTTCTTCTGGGCTACACCTCAAATTGAGCCCATGCCAGGGAGTTTTCTGAAAATAGCTGCCATTCCTCGCAGACTTGATCCTGCCTAAGGTACTCCTATGGCAAGCCATTGTCACTCTCTACTTGTTTTGACTCTGTTCACCTGCCCAGGAATCAACAACCACGTTATCTGTCAATTGCACATGTCCTGAGTTAAGGTTGTTATTTATTCCAATTTCCACCCACTAATAGCACACAAGTCAGGATGTGCAGAAGGTGGCTAATGTGTTTAAATCAAATCTCTGAGTACCTGATCGCCCCATTTCCAATCCACGCCTCTCATGACCCTGGTCCCAACCTTCATCATGGCAGCCAGTTCTGGCCCTGAAACAGGGAGCTGCACAGGAGCTGTTTCCTTCCTTGTCTCTTCCAAAACTGTGGCAGAAGCTCCACGGGCAGAAGCATTCATGTCGTCTTCAACATTATCACAACTAGGGCCTAACAGGGCATCAAAAACATCAGCTGAACCAATAAGTAGTTACAATTTCTTAATCTTAATATCTTTTTTAAAAAATTAAAAAATTTACTGATAAGAATTAAGATTTAAAAATAGGTAAGGGGAAGACAAAATATATAAATATGTATCAGAAGACATAAAAGATATAAAAATGCTCAGAAGAGATAATTATTCTACTTCTAGGAATTACGCCCCCCTCCAAAAAGCAAAATGATTAAGTTAGAAAGATACTCATCACATATCTTTACCAGAAAAGAAAAACAAAAGATAACCATCTAAATGTCTAACCATGAGAAATTAACAAACTTTAATTATGGGACTGTGCAGAAAAGAGCCAAGAGAGCAGGCCTGAGACTGCCGTCCTTGGAAAATCCTCCTTGCAAGGCTGGCCCTTGGCTGGCCTCTGGGAATCTGGATTTTGGGAGGGCTCCCAAGATTCCCTAAATGACGAGAGGCCTCACTGTGCCTCAAATGTCTGCACAAACAAAACAGTCTCTGCTGAAACCTGCTTCCTTCTGGGGTTTGGAACTTGGGCACACGCCAGGCAGAGGTGCCTACATGACCTGCCCCAGTGAAAACCCTGGGCAATACACTTCTGAGATTTTCAAAAGCAATTTTTAGTTGCTAATGAGGTATTAAGAAATTAGATGTATGACTTGTAGAGGCTAACTGTTTTCCAGCCTGATGCATATTTTTGAACTAGTCATGTAAGCACAAAGGTTGACAAGATCAAAGAGCTTAGGAAAGCCTTGCTTTTTCTCTTGGACTTGGAACACTGGCCCTGCAATATCTCGGACTTTCAGGCAAAGAACGACATTATAAAACAATCAGATCTAACAGAAGCAGACCAAACACTCCACTCAAATAGAGTAGAATACACAATCTTCTCAAGGGCATGTGAAATATTCTCCAGAATAGACCTTATGTTACATGGCAAACAAGTCTCAATAAGCTGAAATAGACTAAAATTATACAAATTATCTTCTCTGACCACAATGGAATGAAACTAGAAACTAATAACGAAAGAAAACGGGAAAATTCACAAGTATGTGGAAATTAAACAACACAAAATTAAAGAACTAGCCAAGGAAAAAGTCACAAGAGAAATTTTGAAATACTTTGAGACAGATGAGAACAAAAACACAACACACCAAAACTTTTGGGATACAGCAAAAGCAATGCAAAGGGGGAAATTCATACCTATACAGATACGCACTGTGTAACAATGTTTTGGTCAATGACAGATCATATATACAATGGTGGTTCCATAAGATTACTACTATATAGCTTAGGTGTGTTATAGGCTACACCATCTAGGTGTGTGTAACTACACTCTATGATGTTCACACAATTACAAAATGGCCTAACAACACATTTCTCAGAACATCTCGCCATCGTTAAGCGATTATTGAAACAATAATCAAAAACCTCCCCAAAAAACAAAAGTCCAAGACCAGATGGCTTCTCTGGATAATTCTACCAAACATTCAGAGAAGATGTAATACCTATCCTTCTCAAACTATTCTAAAAAAGACACAAGAATACGCTGCCCTCAGGAAACATGTATCAGCTCCAAAGACAAACATAGGCTCAGAGTGAAGGGATGGAAGACAATACTTCAAGCAAATGGCAACCCAAAGAAAGCAGGTATTGCCACACTCACATCAGACAAAGCAGACTTCAAGATAAAAAAGACAATGAGAGACAAAGAGGGGTAGTACATAATGATTCCACCAAGAAGACCTAAAACTTATGAATATATATGCACTTAACACATAAGCACCAAAGTATATAAAGCAACTATTAATAGACCTAAAGGGAGAAACTGACAGCAACACAATAATAGTAGGGGACCTCAACACCACACTTACATCAATGGATAGATCATCCAGACAGAAAGTCAATAAGGAAACAGTGGCCTTAAATGAAACACTAGACCAGATGGACTTAACAGATATATATAGAACATTCCATCCAAAAACAACAAAATACACATTCTTTTGAAGTACACATGGAACATTCTCAAACATAGACCATAAGTTGGGAAACAAGGCAAGCCTCAACAAATTTAAGAAGATTGAAATCATATCAAGCATCTTTCCCGACCACAACGCTATGAAACTAGAAATCAACTATAAGAAAAAAGCTGGGAAAGTCACAAATATGTGAAGACTAAACAACATGCTATTGAACAACCACTGGATCAATGAAGAAATCAAAAGAGAAATCAAAAAATACCTGGAAACAAAAATGAAAACATAACATACCAACTCTTATGGGATGCAGCAAAAGCAGTCATTAGAAGGAAATTTATAGCAATACAGGCCTACCTCAACAAACAAGAAAAATCTCAAATAATCTTAAACTACACCTAACAGAACTAGAAAAAGAAGAGCAAAGAAAGCCCTAAGTCAGGAGAAGGAGGGAAATAATAAAAATTAGAGCAGAAATAAATGAAATAGAGACTAAAAAAACAATAGAAAGGATCAATGAAACTAAGAGCTGGTTCTTTGAGAAGATAAACAAAATTGACAAACCCTTAGCCAGACTCACTAAGGAAAAAAGAGAGCAGGCTCAAATAAAATTAAAAATGAAAGACGAGAAATTACAGCAGATACCAAGAAATACAAAGGATTATCAGAATACTATGAAAAACTACATGCCACCAAACTGGATAACCTAGAAGAAATGGATAAATTCTTAGAATCATACATCCTCCGAAAACTGAATCAAGAAGAAATAGAGAATCTGAATAAAACAATCAAAAGTAAAGAGATTGAAACAATAATCAAAAACCTCCCAAAAAACAAAAATCCAGGACCAGATGGGTTCTCTGCAGAATTCTACCAAACATTTGAAGAAGATGTAATACCTATCCTTCTCAAACTATTTCACAAAATTGAAGAAGACGGAATGCTTCTTAACTCATTCTACGAGACCAACATTACCATGACACCAAAACCAGAGAAGGACAACACAAACAAGGAAAATTAAAGGACAATATCGCTGATGAACATATATGCAAAAATCCTCAACAAAATGTTGGCAAAAAGAATACAGCAATACAGTAAAAAGATCACATATACACCAAGATCAAGTGAGATTTATACCAGGATGCAGGAACGGTTCAACATGTGCAAATCAATCACTGTGATATACCACATTAACAAAATGAGAAATAAAACTCACATGATCATCTCAATAGATGCAGAGAAAGCATTTGACAGGATCCAACATCTATTTATGCTAAAAGCTCTCAATAAAATGGGTACAGAAGGAAACTACCTCATTATAATAAAGGCCATATATGACAAACCCACAGTCAACATCATACTTAACAGTGAAAAACTGAAAGCTATCCCTCTGAGAACAGGAACATGACAAGGGTGCCCAATCTCAGCACTCTTATTCAACATAGTACTGGAGGTTTTGGCCAGAGTAATTAGGCAAGAAAACGAAATAAAAGAGATCCAAATCGGAAAGGAAGAAGTGAAACTCTTGCTCTTTGTGGACGACACAATTCTATATATAGAAAATTCTAAAGAATCCACCAGAAAACTATTAGAAATAATCAACAACTACAGCAAAGTTGCAGGGTACAAAATCAACTTACAAAAATCAATTGCATTTCTATACGCCAATAATGAACTAGCAGAAAGAGAAGTCAAGAATACAATCCCATTTACAATTGCAACAAAAGGAATAAAATATCTAGGAATAAATTTAACCAGGGAGGTGAAACACCTATACTCTGAAAACTATAAGACATTATTGAAAGAAACTGAAGAAAACATAAATAAATGGAAAGATATTCCATGTTCATAGATTGGAAAAATAAACATAGTTAAAATGTCCATATTACCTAGAGCAATCTACGGATACAATGCAATCCTAATCAGAATCCCAATCTTCACGGAAAAAGAACAAAGAATCCTAAAATTTATATGGAACAACAAAAGACCCCGAATAGCCAAAGCAATTTTGTGAAAAAAGAACAAAGCTAGAGGCATCACAATCCCTGACTTCAAAATATACTACAAAGCTATAGTAATCAAAACAGCATGGTACTGGCACAAAAACAGACCCAAAAATCAATGCAACAGAATTGAAAGCCCGGAATAAAACCACACATCTATGGACAGCTAATTTTCAACAAAGGATCCAAGAACAGACAATAGAGAAAGGAAAGTCTCTTCAATAAATGGTGTTGTGAAAACTGACAGCCACATGCAAAAGCATGAAAGTAGACCATTATCTTACACCATGCACAAAAACTAACTCAAAATGGATTAAAGCCTTGAAAGTAAGACATGAAACCATAAAACTCCCAGAAGAAAATACAGACAATATGCTCTTTGACATTGGTCTTAGCAGTATCTTTTTGAATACCATGTCTACTCAGGCAAGAGAAACAAAAGAAAAAATAAACAAATGGGACGACATCAGACTAAAAAGCTTCTGCAAGGCAAAGGGAACCAAGAACAAAACAAAAAGACAACCCACCAACTGGCAGAAAATATTTGCAAATCATATATCCAACAAGGGGTTAATTTCCGAAATATATGAAGAACTCATACAACTCAACAACAAACAACCCAATCAAAAACTAGGCAGAAGATATGAACACACATTTTTCCAAAGAAGATATACAGATGGCCAACAAGCACATGAAAAGATTTTCAACATCACTAATTATTAGGGAAATGCAAATCAAAACTACAATGAGATATTATCTCATACCCACCAGAAGAGCTATAATTAATAAGACAAAAAAATAAATGTTGGAGAGGATGTGGAGAAAAGGGAACTCGCATACACTGCTGGTGGGAATTCAAACTGGTGCAGCCACTATGGAAAATAGTATGGAGATTCCCCAAAATACTAAAAATAGAAATACTATATGATCCAGCTATCTCACTACTGGGTATTTATCCAAAGAACTTTAAATCAACAATACAAAGAGATTTATGCAACCCTATGTTCACTGCATTATTCACAATAGGCAAGACGTGGAAGCAACTCAAGTGCCCATCAACTGATGAATGGATAAAGATGTGATATATAAATACAATGGAATACTACTCATAAAAAAAGACAAAATCATTCCATTTGCAACAACATGCATGGACTCAGGGTATTATGTTAAGCAAAATAAGCCAGACAAAGACAAACACCGTATGATTTCACTTATATGTGGAAGATAAAGAAACACATGGATAAGGAGAGCAGATTAGTGGTTACCAGAGAGGAAGGAGGTGGTGGCAGGGCAAAAGGGGTAAAGGGGCACATATGTATGGTAAGTGATAAAAACTAGACTATTGGGAGTGAACAAGATGCGGTCTATACAGAAACTGATATGTACACCTGAAATTACACAAAGTTATAAACCAATATGACCTCAATAAAATAATTTGAAAAAAAAAAGAATAAACAAACATAAAAAAAAGAGAAGGAAATAATCAAGATTAGAGCAGAGATAAATAGAGACTAGGAAAACAACAGAAACAACAAAACCAAAAGTTTCTTTTTTGAAAAATATCAACAAAATTGACAAAGTTGTAAGTAGACTAACTAACAAAAAAAGAGAAGATGCAAATAACTGAAACCAGAAATGAAAGTGGGGACAATACTACTGATTCTACAGAAATAAAAGGGATTTTATTAGAGTACTATGAACAATTGTATACCAACAAATTAGCTAACTTAGGTGAAACGGATAAACTCCTAGAAACACACAAATTACCTGAACTGACTCAAGAAGAAACAGATAATATGAATAGACTTACAAGTAAAGAGATTGAATCAGTAATCCAAGATCTCCCAACAAAGAAAAACCAAGGACCAGATGGCTTAACTGGTGAATTCTACCAAACATTTAAAGATTCACACCAATTCTCTAACTCTTCCAAAAACAGAATAGGAGGCAACACTTCCTAACTCATTGTATGAGGCCAGCATTACCCTGATAACAATAAAACTACAAAATACTGCTCAACAAAAGAAGTTCTAAATAAATACAAAACCATCCCATGTTCATGGAATGAAAGACTTAATATTTTGGCAATACTCCCCAACACGATCTACAGATTCAACACAACCCCTAGAAAATCCCAATGGCATTCTTTTCAGAGTGGAAAAGCCAGCCCTGAAATTCACATGGAAATGCAAGGGACCAAAAATAGCCAAAATAAACTTCAGAAAGAAAAATAAATTTGGAGGACTCACTTATCAATTTCAAAACTTACCACAAAGCTACAGTGTTCAAAACAATACTGGCATAATGACAGACAAACAGACCAACAGAATAGAATTGAGGGTCTAGAAATAAACCCAAATACCTATGGTCAAATGATTTTTGACAAGGGTGTCAAGACCTTGGGAAAAGAAGAATCTTTTCAACAAACGGTTTTGGGACAACTGGATAACCAAAAGAAATAAACTGAACCCTTACCTCACACCATATTTAAAAATTATCTAAAAATGGACCAAAGACATAAATATAAGAACTAACACTATAAATCTTAAAGAAGAAAACACAGAGAAATCCTCATAACCTTGGATTTGGCAAAAATTTCTTGGATATGACACCAAAAACAGGAGCAACAAAAGAAAAACAGATAAATTGGACTTCATAAAAATTTAAAATTTCTGTGCAAAGTAAAACACAACCCACACAGTGGGAGAAAATATTTTCAAATCATGTAACTGATAACGGTCTAGTATCCAGAATATGTAAAGGACTCCTACAAATCAACAACACAAACAACCCAATTTAAAAATGGGCAAAGGATATGAATAGACATTTCTCCAAGAAAAATATACAAATGGCCAACAAGCATATTTAAAGAGGCTCAATGTCATTCGTCATTAGTGAAATGTAAATCAACCCACACTGAGATACCATTTCATACCAACTAGGGTAACCTTAATCCAAAATAAGAGGAAATAACCAGTATTGGCGAGGATGTAGAGAAACTGAAACCCTTGTCCATTGCTGGTGGGAATGTAAAATGGTACAGTGCTATGGAAAAGTTTGGCAGTTCCTCAGCAAGTTAAACATAGAATTACCATACGCCCCTGCAATTCCACTCCTAAGTATATAACAAAAAAAACTGGAAACAGGTGTTCAAACAAAAACTTGTATACAAATGTTCCTAGCAGCAGTACTCTCAATGGCAAAACGGCAGAAGAAAGCCAAATGTCCATCAATGGATGAATGGCTAAATAAGATGTAGTATATTTATACAATGAAATATTCTTTAGCCATAAAAAGGAATGATGTACTGATACATGCTAAATGAACTAAGCCAAATACAAATGGTTAAAAATTGTATGATTTTATTTATATGAAATATCCAGAATAGGCAAATCCAGAGACAGAAAGCAGACTTGTTGTTGCCAACAGGTGGGGCAGTGGGAAATCAGGAGTCACAGCTAAATGAGCAAAGGTTTGCATTTGGGGTAATGAAAAAGTTATGGAACTAGATAGTGGTGATGCTTGCACAACACTGTGGATGTGCTTAACGCCACTGAATTATAAACTTAAAGTGATTAAATGGGAAGTTGTACCTTATTTGTACTTTACCACAATTTAAAAAAAATGTTTCTTAGAGAGAGAAATCTCAAGGCAAAATCCTGACATTTTCATAAAGGATGTAGGGCGGTGCCGACCTACCAATCAGCCGAAGTGCTGTCTGTGTGAGGGCAAGGGTGCCAGAGTTCAGCAGGAGGTTCAGGTTGTTTGCGCCATGCTGCAGGGTGAGCATGCTGAGCATCACCAGGAGAAAGCGAGCTTGTGGGGTCGTCCCCAGGCTTGGTCCCGACGGATTCTCATTGGTAATGGTTTGTAGGGGGACAGGCTGGATACCTAAAGAGCATTGGCACCCATGTTAATTTCTCGTGTATGGATATAAGAACATATATGATGCAGAAAGCACTAACAATTTTTTAAAAATTCTGTTTTTCAGTTGATTTCCACAGAGTGTGGACATCCGGCAGCTCCGCATTGCTTTGCAATAATCCTACCAGTCACTCCATGTACAGCTATCTCCATTTGTCTACAAAACTTATTACTCTGCTCTTCTAAATATCTTGAGTGGCTTATTCATTTCATTTCAAACACAGCAGATATATTTCACTTCTCTTCCACAAAAATAATCCTGGCACTTCTCTGTAGATGCTCAAACTATCCAAGAAATTAAGTATTAATAAAGGATATACATTTTAGAGTAAATGGTGTGATAAATGTTAAAATGTAAAAGCTTTATATTAGCTTTATACTACAAGATTGTGCATTCTGTCAAATTTTGAAAGTTTTGTTTAGAATTTCAGAATGCTTAAAGCAGCTGAGATTATCAAACATACAAAGTTATTAAAATCTTCCCAAAAGCAAAAATCAGCATTTGCAAGTTTCTACAACACATAATTAAGAGCCAAACTATGAAATAATGCTCATGTGATCATTGACATGACTTCAATGGCAATTTTAACACAGCCTTTTAACCATCAGATTTTTTTTTTAACTCACCAAGCTCTTTAAATTTGGCATTTGCATCTATCAAAACATTTCGAATATTCTGAACAGCCCAAGCATACAGCTTTCCAAAAGTTACTTCCAGCAGCATCCGATTAAAAGGTGGGATCAAATCAACGTCCTTTAAACAATCTGTAAGGGGTTCCCTTTCAAACAAAGATAAAGAATTTTACTTAAAATGCTGCCAGACTTTTAACTTAAATAGAACAATGTTTTGTTGCCACAGCTTCCCTTAATTAAGAAAAAATGTTATAAAGTTTTACCCTATATCAATCCCCTCAGGAATAAGTCTTTGCCATCCACAGAACATAGCATACTGCACAGATGGAAGTAAGAAATTTTTGGTTGCCAGTTTTAAAATGGTATCTATCCCTTCCAGGCGAACCTCTGCTCTTTCCAACTGCAAAATATCAACGCATACAGTTAAGTGTTGGGTGTATTACCCAATGAAGAGAAGAACGTTCTTAGCAAATTTTACCTGTTTTAGTAGGCATTTTCTCATTTTTTCCACATCCACTGGCTCTTCTTTAAGGGCAAATTCAGCAATTGTACTGAGGAGTGCAGACTGTGGATAAAGACCCTGAACATTCTGCTTCAACCATTTGTATTTGTGAACACCTGTAACAGTACTCAGCAGTGGCTGCCATTTATCCTGACAAAGGAAAACCAGTTTCACCATTAGTTGACCCTATTGATATTAACATGTGCTCTGAAACAGTTACTCGAATAAAATATAAATAAATGCCAGTAGGTTTAAATTGGTAAAATATTTTAAATTTAGTAACTAATTTATGGTAAAAAGAACTGTGTCATAAAGAGGGTTATAAATGATTTTATAATCTCTATACTTATGTACTTTGGCCTGGGCTATCTTGGCATACAAAGCTAAATTAGCATTGATATTAACATCCTCAGGGACCAGGACAGTTTCTGGAGCAAAGGATATATTCAATGAATGAATGGTGAATGAATAATGATACAATGTACTACTAAAAGTAACAGGAAACACTTCTCCAGCTATGGATCTGACCAGGGCACCATAAGTCAAGTGCATTAAGCATCATGGGGGCAGAGTTACCCATACTTTTAATAACCCACTATACGCTCCACCCTACAGATGCTCAAGGTCAAAGTGACAATACTTGTAGATTCCTTTGCTATGTGCTGTGTTTCTATTCAGCTAGTCTCAGAATCACAGAAAATACTTCACCTTGGGTGATTTAATTGTAATGGGTCTTCTGTCCACATTTATAGGACTGTGAGGCAAAATGCAAGCTTCTTCTAAATCACTCTCTTCATTTCCAATTTTTTCTTCATCATCAGTAGATTCTGGCTTCTTAGGAACTACGTTTAAAATCATCATTCATTATAAAAATCATTTACTTAAATATAATTTAAAATTAAGAAATATTTAAGTTTGCATGAGGGTAAAGGACATTAATACTTTATTCAAAGAAACATGTGAACATCATTGTCAACTGAAATGCTCAAACTAATAAAGTAAAAACTATCACAATTCTTCTCACATGACATCTAGTAAAAACACTTTGCCCTCCATGTCACAGACAGAAAGACAGTGAGCGCTACAATGGGGAGAAGCCCTCAAGAAGGGGAAGCCCAGAGGTCAGCAAACGTTTTCTTAAAGGACCAGATGGAGTGATTAGGTAACCAGGTAGTTTATGCTGACAATGTGACTTAGGTGATCCCTGTTTCTGCTCTGGGGACTGGAGTCTGAGTAACTGACGGCAGTCGTGCAGGCCCTGCATGTCTATGTGACTGACCCCTAATAACAACTCTGGTCTCCAAGGCTCAGGTAAGCATCCCTAGCTGACGACCCTTCACACATCACTCCTGAAAGAACTAAGCACCCTGTGCAACTCCACTGGGAGGGGAAACTAGAAGCCTGGGCCCGGTTTCCTTTGGATTTCCCTCCATGCGCTTTTCCTTGTGCTGATTTTAATCTGTATCCTTTCACAGTAATAAACCATAACTGTGAGTATACCAGCTCTTCTGAGTCCTGTGGAGCCCTACCAGCGAATCATCAAGTTTAACGGTGGTCTTGGCAACTCCTAACACTGCACCAATAATATTAATTATTTATGTTACTTAATTTTCTTAAAAAAAAAAAAAAAAAACAGCTTCAAACACTACACAATTAAATATATAAACCCACAATTAAGAGGTGACAATGTGGGCTCAGAATCCATGAAGGCAATGGCCGAGTGATAAGGGGAATCATTCTCTATCAAGCTGAAGTGGCTGTCTCCTGAGCCTGTGCTTCTGCCTCGAGTTTACTGGCAACCTGAATCAAAGGGCTCTCAGAAGTGTTCTGCCATGATTTCCCAACCCAGGCCATCTCTAGGATTCAGACAAATTGTTGTGGTTTAAGGGTTTTCTCAGGAACAATCAATTCAGGATGTCTTCTAAAACAAGTTAGTGTTTGATGACATTGTTCATAACGTCAATCAAAAACTCAGTAAATTAATATTAATAAGCTGGTCTGTGAATAAATCAGTTTAATTCATAAGAATATAATCAAAAATTTCTGCAGACATTTATAATCACAAGTGACCAAATTCTAAAGTATTTTATGTATTTTAACTCAAATTTTTGTTATTTAATGCAAAAAATCTTTTCCATATCCCTAGACATTGCTTCCTGAAAATATTAGTAACTCTTCTATTTCCCTTTTATAGCAATTCTCTATGTATCAGAATATTCAGTATTTCCAAAGAAAAACATTAAAACATCTTTTTATAAAAATGGCAACATTAATTTAAAGATTAAACATTCCCAAATATCTCATTCCCAGGACAAGTGATTAAAAAAACACTTCTTTTTCCCCATTAATTTAATAAAGTTCATAGTATTTACATTTTTCAGCATCAATTTACCAGTGACCAAATCATAACACACACAATCCCTAAGTTGCATCATTGTCTAATGTCTTGGAAAAATAAGCAGGATTTGTATATTTAATCATAAATACACATAACAAATATGATGGCATTTGTGGAAACACCAGATGTAATGAGCAGTAGTGAACAGCTTCACTCAAAGCACAGACTCAATGATACCAAGGGAAGGCACACACTTTGATAGCATTTTTCTACCTTTGACATTCTTACCTCTCTTTTTCCTTCGTTCTCGAATTATCTTCTGAGCTATCCTCCTCCAACGAGGCAGGGAACTTAACATTTTAAACTTGGACATTATAGAGAGGTCATTACAAACTGCAGGTCTCAGTTCATTAAAGAGGAATCTTAAACGTTCAATGACTGGAGCGCAGACTTCCTTGTAAGAACGACCCTGTTCTTGATGTGTCTACAAAGTTAAGTATGAAAGACAACTTAACAAATATTTTACCAGCAGTCTGCAAAGCACAAAATAAAGAGAATCAAAATCTATTTACCTTAATGAGTGAGCACTTTGCTTGGTAGACGACTCTACAAACATCCACCACTGATTTAGGCAACGTTCTGTGCTTTACTTGCTCAATACCAAGTGTACCTGCATGAACTAAAGATAATGCCACGTGACCTGTAAAAGACATTTAAAAGAAAGGGTGGGGTAAGAATGAATGTGCATTGCACACCAGTAGAAAGGTCAACAGTATAGCTAAAATATCGAGCTTCATACCTAAATCTTCATGTTTTAAGAGGCAACATAACAGCAAGCGGCCGACCTCTTCCACAGGATGCTCGGGAGGAAAAGTGATTGGTGTGGTCAAGTGGCACTGCCTACAGTACCTTTCTATTTGACACAGAAAGTCCTGCAACAGAAACAGCTGGAGGTTAACTTCAGAGCCACCCTAGCACATCGTCATGAACCCTAAACTACGTGCCACAGCTTCTGATGCACTTGCAATCAGCAATGCTTCTAAAACCTCACTGGCATATTGAATTGAACCAGCCTCTCACCTCAAAACTAGCCCTCCAAATAATATGTAAACAAAGTCTGTGCTAAGCTAATCAAAGAGCATAAAGGTGTTCACATGTCGAAGTCCTAAGGTAAACAGAGGGACACTGAGGCAGCAGTAGGGGAAGGCCTCGCTCACCTTCACATTGTGATCCTGGATGTTATTGTCAGCAATGGCTTGCAGGAATGCCTGGGAATGGTCGCTCAGGGCCCGTCTGTGGGAGCAGAGTCGGGACTTGCTGGCAGGAGTGCCCCCAGGAGAGCTACAGTGGTCCTCATCTTTCTCCTCGTTGTAGCTGTAGTGGATCTGGCTGGTCTGCAGGCCTCCAGAGAAGATGGACGACTGAAGCCACTCTAGAAAGTGTATATGCAAACATTAAAAAGAAACTTAAAGGCACTATTCAGAAATAAATACAGGAAAAAAAAGATAAAAAACTGAATACCTGATTTAGGAGGTGAAATTCAGCATCAGTCATATGAAAGAGTCACATCTAACATATTTACATAGACTGGCTTATAATTTCTATATTTACATGAAAACAGGTAACATTTGCTGGTTATCCAACACATTTTAAACATAGTATCAGAACTCAGTGTAATAGTTCCAGTCCAACATTTACTGGATACCTGCTCAGGCATGGAGCTGTCTGGTTCCAGATACTGTTTGAAGACTGGGGCTTTGCATTCTAACAGGGAGAGGAGTAGTAAAGCACCACTTACACAAGTAATCACTCAATTCCAGTTGGGATAACTACATGCTACCAAGTACTACAGGGGGTACACGAGTGTGCAGCAGCAAGACCGGCACTATGCAGAAGGTCTGTAAAGGATCTGCTGTGGAAGTGACAAATGAGCTGAGATCTGGATGAAAATGAAGACACTGACCATTCAGATAGGAGAACAGCGTGTGTGAAGTGTTCTAGGAAGAAAAAAACACTCAGGGCAGGCCATATCTACCTAGAGCATTACTCAAGTAATAAGAATGAGAGACTACTGAACATACAACACACGATCTTTAGTAAGGGACAAATCCTTGGAGATCAGAGATCCAGTGGACTATAAAGGAGACATATGGGAGGCACAGGCAGGCCCCATGAGAACATGCCATCCATCAGTGCAAATGGGGATGCTCATTTTAAATGTAATGAAAACTGGAGGGAGATACCAAAAAATCAGTTTGTACATCATTACACATTTTTTTCAATAACTTTTGTTATCAAAATATTCCTCCAAAACCCAAGCAATCAAGTCTGGGATGTACTCAATGTTCTTTTACTGGAAATTTATATTTTAGAGCATTCAGAGGCATTCTCCAAAGTGCCACGTTAATTATTCTAAAACACAACTCTCATCATGACCCTCCCTGGCTCTCTCCATTTAAAACTCCTTCTTATCTCTCAAAGATACTGCTCTGATGGTGGCTTTTGCTGCCCTAGAATGGATTAGGCCCCCACCCACCACGGCCCACAGCACCTTCTGCTCCCCTCTACCCTGACACTTTGCTGTTCCTACCCTCTTTGCTGAGTTAAAACAAGCCTATCTTCCCCACAGTACTATAAGCCCTTGAGAAAGGGGCCAAGTCCGTCCACTTACAGGCTCTGCCGGCAGCAAAGCGCCTAGCACTCGCACCAAGGGTCTGCTCCAGAAGGCAGGCTGACCAGGCACCACAGCCATCCTTGCCCACTAGCCTTCTCCCCTGACGGTCCACATACACAAGCAGCTCAAAGCCCCTGCTTTTCTCAATGATACCCCTCACACACCAGTGTTTCTGCTCAGAAGGTTCACACATCCAGTTTGCTGGAACTCCAATTTCAGGATTGTTCCACCTCTGTGAAGCCTTTCTTCTTCTAGAAACACTTCCAAATGTCTCCATTTTATCCTCTACCACTGTGTTTCCTGACCTGCCTATAATGTCTGGCTCATCATCACGTAGGAAGCATCTGAAGGCAGAGGTGTGTCTAATTCCACACCTATTGTACCCTGAGTGCCTTGCATGGTAACTCACACAAGTAATTACTCAATAGATGCTTACTGGATGGTCGGTAGACAGATGGAGAAATGTACAAAACATGAGGAAAAATTTAAACCTGTCTTACGGGATATGGAGAAATTTTATTACTTTAGGTGATTACAAAGGTGGCCATCCCAAAATGCGTCTAATTTCAGTCTGGTAAAAACACACAAACAGAACACTATTCTCAATAGGAACAGCCAATCCACATCACGTGGATTTCTGAGCATGCAGGGAGATGAAAGCCAAGTTGAGCCCAAGTGGCAGAGGTTGTGAAAGTGAGACCATGCACAGAACCGACCTTCCTACACACTTATTAGCTTCCTCTGCTGCAACAAATTGTGAGAGCAAATGAAAGCCACTCACAGCTATTTCTAATTAACTGGTTTAGTCTCACTATTCTCATTTTTCCTCATCAACAACTGTGTTGATTCTTCCTCTCCTACTCTTAATGGCACTTTTAGCTCAACTAAAATAACCCACTAATCTGTTGGCAGAAAACAAAATTTTTCTTACTGGCGCATTCAACCTCAACCGGAGACAGCGGTGTGCTCATAGCTAAATAGGAAGCATGTAATCCGAGAAGCAGGCCCAGATTCCTCTCTGTGTCTATCAGAGGTGAAGACAGACTTCCCAGATCTGGTATGGTAACAACTTCTTGGTCAGGCTGGGAAAGATAAATTTTATCATCAGTCTGAGAAAACAGGGTTAATTAAAAACATAAAACCAAGAAGAGCAACAGCTTATATCCTTAAACAAGACGTACTGCCTAGAGGAAGAGAAACAGGTGCTCTGGGCACCCTGTTCCTACATCCTGTAATAGTGAGTTCATGCTGCTGCCAAAATAACAGAAGATATAAACCACACACACTCTACAAAGCAAACAGTAAGTGCATAGCTCTACTGGTGGAAAAACCAAAGCACAGATAAATGACTTAGCTGGAAAATTCCTTAGGGAATCAAATAGAAGTTTCCAGACTGATTGTATACAACGCTTCAAAAAATATACTGAATTGTTACAAGCATAAAGAACCCAAAAAGAAATAAAAATATGACATGACAAATATTGCTGTTAGTGAACTGCGAGCATACATATGGAGGAAATAAATTTGAATCAAAGAGCAAACCCAGTTAGAAAAGAAAGAGCTCAAATGAAAATCATTTTAAACTTTGCCAGTCACATTAGACAACTTACAAGCAAAGTTAATTTTCCCCTTCATAAAATGCTTTAAGCCCTACCCTTGTGGCATTTAATCAATTTTATTACCTCTGGATCCATACCTGAAAGCCAATCCCAAAATATAAACTCCAATGCTCATGAATATGTAGGAAAGACATATTTTTATTCTAAATAATTATTCTACTAGATAGTTTCCCCCCCCAAATATGTATTTCAAGATGGTAAGCCATTCCAAATTTCTACATAAGCTTACAATAAAATTGTAAAGATCACAGGATAACCTCTATTTTTTGTAGAACAGCGTCTGTATTTTTTACAAATTAACAATTTTTAAACTAGTTTTTCAAGAACAGCTCATCATAAATCTTCACGAGTAAATGTAAATTCATTTATGAAAAAACCTCTACAGGATCCTCATGTTTATCACTTAACGACTACCCACCTCAAAAGGCCCAGCTATCAGTACATCAGGGTAAAAACCACCTATCACAGATACACAATGACGGTCTCCACTGACAGCTACCATGCACTCAGTGCACAGCCTCACCTCCAGATACTGGCCAACACAGAAGGCATGCATTGACTCTCGAGTGTCTTCAAACTGCAAAGCAGCTTCCAAAGCTACCACTGGGTCTTCCCCTACAAACTGAGCTGAAACAAAAAAAACAAAAACAAAAAGGATTGTATGACTTCAATACAATCCGCCTAGACATCCATGGTAGAAATGGTGAGCAGGAAATAGATGAGGCAGGTTACCTCCAAAGTATAATGATCTCACCCTCTCCCAGGGCTGCCTGGACTAACTCAGAACTAGGAACAAGTTCCAACAAGTGTTGAACAAAAAAATGCATAACGATGAGAAATTCTTCAAAGGTGCCTGCATTCACACATCCAAGTCAGAGACAGATCAAAATGTGCAGGGGCTGGAGCAGTACTAAATCGATCATTTAAAAGCCAAATGCTCTGCCTAAAATGACCCACGCTACAACTTTTAACCATGAAGTAAAAAGTGAGGCCTTACCGAGAATACTATTTCCTGTTAGTGACTGCGTCTGGAAGTCCTTTATGTCATACACTTTCCCATCAATCACAGTCCAGAAGCCTCCATCTTTATTGTGGTTCTCCAAGTCAGCTTTGCGTATAAGTGTCACCTCCTCATTATTTCTACAGTTCTGACCTGTAAAAAATGACTCTGTATATACAGAAACCAAAATCAATGAATCAATAGATCAATAGATAAAACGACTACAACAAATTGTGTGAAAGAACTACGAGGAGAAATAGACAAATCCACAATCATAATGGCAGATTAATATACCTCTTGCTGTAGCTAACACCACAAACAAAAATTCAGCAAGGATATAGAGTGATTTAAAAGACAAAAACACACACAATACCGCATGAGCAGCATGAATAGCAAATCTGACCACACACCAGGCAATAGAGCAAATCTCAAGAATTTCAAAGAAATGAAGTTACAGAGCACTTGTGCTAACTACAATGCAGTTAAATCAGAAATAGGTAACAAAAATAAGGATTCTTTACATATTTGAAAATTATGAAATATATTTATAAGTCACCCCAAACTCCCAGAAAAAAATTGACTTTGGAAATTAAAAAATGTGTTGAAATGAACCATAATGAAAATACTACAGATCAACACTTTGACAAACAGCTCAATGTATGGTTGAGGGCATTTATACCTTTAAATGTATATATCAGGAAAAAAAAAACCAAAAAGTACATAATTTAATAAACTTCAATAAAATTCTAGTTCATAGGGATACTAAAAAAAGAAATAGAAAACCTCATTGGTCACCTTTGGAAGCGCCAGGACACCAACTTAATATTATGAAAAACGGTTAAGGGGGGGTGGGAGGAATCAAGCTAGGATCATGTCCTTCCTGTGCAAATTGTTACCTTGTGCTAACCAAACAGCTGAGAGCAAAGTGGCTGGGGAATCTGATAGAGGACAGACTGTACATAAACTCCCTGGGCCATCTGAACAGAACTGTAGGTGGGGCCACCCAGCATCACAGGCCTGAGCCGATTACACAGGATGCACACCGGATGACCTCGGACACACTGACCCGCCCCAACTGAACCCAAATCTCATCAAGCCTATACATGCAACCACCAGGTTAGAGAAAATGCAACTGATAGAAGATGTTAGACTAGAAGAAGAGATGTAAACAGCCAAGTTCAGAAAATGTGAAATTCTCCAGAACAAACGTCCTGCTTCTTTGAAAAATAAACAGTATGACCAAAGAGAGGGAGAGGAGGGCCTGGAGATATGCTGTTAGGGGAAAGAGACTAGAAGCACATTATCAACCAACTGCAGTGTGCAGACCTTGTTCAGATCCTGATTCAAAATAACCACCAATAAAAAGGCATTTTCAGATAATCCAGAAAAATTGAACACAGACTGTGTGTTAGATAAAGGAATCACTGTTAATCTTAGACAGGATAATGATATGGTTTTATTACCAAAAAAAAAAAGTTCTTATCATTAACAGGTAAAGTGTATTAAAACGTTTTAAAGACAGAGATATGCTAGATATGCTTTAAAATAATTCAATCAATCAATAAGAACAGTATAGAATGGTTGGGGAATGTGAATACTTGTTAATCTAGGTTCATTATACTAATATCTATGTTAGAAAATTTTCATAATAAACAGATTACAAAAACATTAGTGTGCTTATTAAGCATCACTTCTCAAAAAGTTAGAAAAATATCAGATTAAACCATAAGAAAGAAGAAATAATAAAGAACAGTGTGGTACTGGCATAAAGACAGACATTTAGATCAATGGAACAGAACAGAGAGACCAGAAATAAATTCTCACATATACAGTCAAATGATTTTCAACAAGAGTACCAAGACCATTCAATTGGGAAAGGACCGTCTTCAACAAATGGTGCTGGGAAAACTGAACATCCAACTGCAAACAAATCAGGCTGGACCCTTACCTTACACCATATACAAAAATTAACTCAAAATAGACCAAAGACCCAAAGGTCACAAAACAGATGAATGAAAATTTTAGCTATATTAAAAAATAAAAAACTATGCTCAATATCTTAAGGTTATTTTCCTCAGGACAACTGTTACTTCCTGTTTTAAGCTACGTTGTAAGGATGACAGTCTACAATAGGAGAAGAAAAAGCCCACCCTGCTTGAGCTTTCCTATAAAATGAAAGTTGAACCACAACTTTAATTAATTCTATGAGTCTGGGAAGTCAGAACCATACAGAGTATGGTTACTTAGACTCATTCAAAAACGTCCAAGCTCAAAACTTTGAGAAGACAAGCTTCATTCCAACTTGGTAAGCACTACAGACAGTACCTATATGGAAGTGCTCGGCTGACTACGACAATTCCATAACTCATTAACATCAGATAACACCAATCCGTTCAGAAAGTCATCCCATATCGATGTCTGCCTCTAAAGCTGGACCATATCTAACCACCTCAACAGTACCTTCTGGAGATACCTCCCAAGAAACGGTTTCCCAGAACTTTCTAAAATAATCCATTTCAGGATACTACAACCATTACTAACAGAATAATCTTCCTTAAATATAATCCAAATCTCTTCTGATTTGGATTATCTTCATTTTTCACTTATACTAATACCAGTGAAAATGGCAAATAATTAGTATTCCTTTGTCAAGTATTCTTTCAAATAAAAAGGCAAGAATAGCTTAGACTAGGACATAACTTTCCTCAGTGAAAGTCCTCTAAGTTAAGATGCCATACCCATGATGCCGGGCCAGGCTAACTCTTCATGATCATCCCTTTCCTTTCCTGGTGCCAGGTGGTTGAATCGATCCAGATGTTCTAACAGGCCACCCAGCAGAGGGACAGCTCCAGCCTCCTGCATGAGACCAGCATTTTTACTGAGCAGAAGCACTATAGAAACGACTAGTTCTGGAAGGAGAACTCCTACATTTAAAAAGAAAGAAAAAAAAGGCATTAAAATTTAAATAAAAGCATTTATCCTATAAAACCACTTTATAAGCTTGCTCTATGTTTAAATTCTGATAAATCACAAAGAAATGCTAGTCCTTTAGCATATTTCTACAGGATTATTTTATCTTTCACTTTGAAGGAGACAAATACGGGTATCAGACAGACCTTTTGAGTTACAAGGATACTTTCCAAAAGCACTGTTCCAACACAGAAGTATTAACTGAGTCTTTTATTCAGAAAACTAAGTTTACTATCAGAAAAAAGCACTCAATAATAATGCCATACTGTCACAGAATTAATTCGAAAAATTTTTAAGCAATGTTGGAATTTATTAAAGTCCTTAAAGGGGCAATTAATTTTTATGTTGCTGAAATATTAGACAATTACCAATGACCTCATTATTGAAGTGTTAATAATGGTGGTATGACTCTAAATCACTAATTATATTTACAGTGATACAATTTCTGTACCAGGTTGCTTAACAACAGAATATCAGTAACTAAGACAAACAAAAGGAGAAAGGCAACAGCACTAGAAAACGTATGAGGTAAAGGCATGCAGGTTTAACAAGAAATGATAAATTTTAACTCTCATCAATCTCTGAAAATAAATACATGTCCATAGGTAGGAAACAAGAAAGGTACCAGTGAAGTCCCCTTCCACAATGCAGGCCACCTCTGCAAAGTGCCGCCAGCTGGTGGAAGCAATGCTGGATGCCACGGGCAGGATATCTCCAATGTGTGTGCACAAAAGGGCTGTGTACTTCTTCAGCAAGGAACCCACACCCATTAGCTCAGGACCTTGAAGAAGGATTTAGCAAATTTCATTTCCACTACTAAAATTTACTATGTGAATAAACTGAATTGCTCCACTATTCCACTCTCATCTATACACCTTTTACCTATATTAATTTTCTCAAATGGGAGCTATTAACCCTTAGTCCTTGGCTCTTTTTATATCACATAATTTGAGAAACAGTAAATTTGGTTATGTTGATTTTTATACACTGCACTACACAGTACCTAGAAACTTTGGCTATATAAATACTAAAGTCATAACTTATAGAATTTTAAAATCTTATATCCAATACACAAATGTTTTCTAAGTCCCAGTCTTAATGCTTGTAAATTATTCCCAATGAACAAAAGTTAGGATCTCATTTTTCTATCTCATAAAATCTTTAACTTTTCTTCCTACAAGGTTCTTAATAGCTTTCCAGTCTTTGTGACTTTATATCTTTGAGATGATCACCTCTTTCAGAGTATATAGTTCACCTATTTCAATCCAAAATTTTCCAACATCTACAAGTGCCTAACTCTTTTCAGGAAGTAACTAAGTTATTTTAGATTATACTAGCTATAAAAATCAGTCATGTGTTGCTTAACGACGGGGATCCATTATGAGAAATGCATCATTAGGTGATTTCGTCATTGTGCGAACCTCATACAGCATACTTACACACATCTAGATGGTATAGCCTACTACACACCTAGGCTGTCTGGTGGGACCACCGTCTTATGGGACCACCGTCGTACATGCAGTCCATCATTGACTGAAGTCTCATTATATGGCACATGACTGTATTAACAAAAGCAGCAGACCTTTCCAGTCCTGACAGAGCGAGTTACCTTATGGAGAGCCAGCCACTACCTTTGGAGCTTGTGGAAAGTGTTCTACTCCACATCACGCGCAGAGCTGAGCACTTACATATCATCCTATTTTAATCCTCATAGGCACCCTTGGGTGTTATCCCAATTCTATAGGTGAGTAATCTACAGCCCCCAGGAGACTTAGTCCCAAGTCCAGCAGCTAAGAAACCAGAGCTGTAACTAGGACCTAGTCTTCCTCCAACGATGATTCATTCCTCCCACTACACTCAGCTGGCTTCCCAGTGTGACATACAAATACTATGTCACTATTTCATTCCCACATTATGTCAGTCTCCAACAGTCTATAACTAACACGTGGAATAAGTCTGATAAATCTTCTATAAGACTAACCTAAACATAAAGGATGCTATGCTACTTCTGATGCCTAAAGAATTTAAATATTAAGACAATGAAATAAAAAATATCAATGAGTCTAGTATAGAAATATTCATCCAAAAATAAAAAATGGTTGCAAAATGAAGTCCCTAAAAATTGGTGCATTTAACAGTATAAGAACCACACATCTGGGCATGCAGAATAGGCAGATGAAGAATAAAGAATTTGGTTTCTAAATAAAGAAAACCAAAATACCCATAAGACACTTGAACATTTTAAGCAACTTACTAGAAATATCTGAGATCTGACCAGTACTTTCTCCTGGATAAAGTTTACTGATAAGTAAGCGCTGGAAACGCAGCAACAAATCCAATGAAGCAGATCTTTCCCGACTATGTTGCTCAAAGTCCAGACATGATGAAATCCGACGGGCAACGTCTTTCAATCTGGCCACGGTCTGAGAAGCAATGTTTCTAGGCAGGGGAAAGAGGGTTGCAAATTTAGACAAGTTACGTCTGTTTAAAAAAAGGGGTTAAAAAAATGACAAACTAAAATCAGAAATACAGGTCATATACCCAGGTGACCTGCAGCTGGCTTCCTTCCCCAAATGTGGGTCAGATGTATCTGCAATAAGCCAACCTCAGTCAAAACCGAGCAGAGGAGCACCGAAGACACACAAGATGTAAAGATGCCCTTTGCTTTACAAATGTAAAGCAAGCTGCATGGAATGGTCCAAAATGATAGAAAACTCCTGTCCAATCCTTTGGAAGGAAAAACAACTTGCGTGATTATTTTTTGTCCAAAGCTGCAGTTCAAACATAAATGCGACACTACTCTTAAAGACAAGATTCACTCGCATTTCTGCACCTGCCTCACAAGTCGGCCTTCAGACCTACTCAAGTAATCCCTGGGGTGGGCCATGTGGGTGTACAGGGCTCAGAGAGCACAGGAAGGAAGACAAAGTGGGTACAAATAGAACAGGTCAGGGAACGGTGCCCCAAAAACATGGCAAGGAAAAGAACAAAGGCTCCAGTTTCAACTGCAGGATCTGACTTAAGCCATGAGCCTTCAGTAAACAGGAAGAAAGGAGAAGAAATGCGAGTCCTGGAAGGTACAATTAGATGAGTAGTAATTGTTCTGGTTCCATGAGCAGAATGCAAAGAACAAGGGCAGGGAGGTCAAGAAAAGACAAGGGAGGGTAATGGACACTGTAGGTGACGGAGTACCAGGCTGCTGGGACTAGATTCTGCAATGCTGGGCCACCAAGGTTTGGAAAGGATAGTGACATCCTGTTTGTCTTTGAGGAAGGTAACTCTGATGTCAGTGTGAAGGCAGATTAGAGGGGATGGGGAACACCAGACAAGACCCTGCCACCCAGGGACAGTCTCAGTGCCAGGTGAACAAGGCCGGATCCCTGGCACTGAGAACAGAAGGAGGAAGTGGGTTAGTGGAGGAAAAGAGCCACAGTACAGCCTGGTTCTGGGGATGCTGTCAAAGCAGCTCCATCACACCAGCTTTATCCCAGCCAGGAGGCAAGGGCCAGCTGGCTAACACCTGGTACAGCCACTGAGCAGGCAAGTCTGGAACCTCTGCACAATCCCAGGCCACAGACAGGCATTCTGCTCCACTTCTGCTCCACTCCTAATGTGACAGCAGGTTTGTGTAGAACCTCTGTCAATCATATCTGCCCCCACGGTTCATTCCAGAAACTAACAGCAGTGTGAGTGAGGACAGGAGCAGGAGACATTAGGAATCCCAACCCAACTCTTCAACACCCATCCACAGAGTTGCTAAGAAAGAGCAGCAAAGAGCCCTTGGCTGGTACATGGCGCCACTCCCTGGTCACACAAAACCAAGGTGGGCACTCACTGGGTCTCGCCTCTAGTTGCCGTGCACCTTTCTGCTCCACGACCTGGTAACCCGCCCTGATAACCACACCACAATAGAAGAAAGAGGTCTAGAATCCGGGTTTTATGCTATACACGAAGGAGTAAAAGACAGTAATAAAATACAACAAAACTTTTAACTTATTTCCTTAATATAAAATTCAGAACCATAATCAAAATGTGTAATTCTGATAGAGTTCACTAATTAAAAAATCTTCATAGCTCTGTATTTTCAAATATAAAAGGTTTTCCGTGGCTCCTTGCCAGCATAAGACTAAAGAGTTACTCTGAAATCTGTTTCATGGCTTATTTTTGGCAAGCTACAATTTCTTCAACTTGTTTTCCAAGAAATGAAAGGACACGCAATGTCTCCAAAATCTGTTACATCTTCAGACTATTTTTCTTTTTTTTTTTTAAAGATTTTATTTATTTATTTTTTCCCTCCAAAGCCCCAGTAGATAGTTGTATGTCATAGCTGCACATCCTTCTAGTTGCTGTATGTGGGACTCGGCCTCAGGATGGACGGAGAAGTGGTGCCTCGGTGCGCGCCTGGGATCCAAACCCAGGCCACCAGCATCGGAGCGCGCGCACTTAACCACCAAGCGACGGGGCCGGCCCCAGACTATTTTTCAACAACTGCATCACCTAAGTCAACACATTGAGTCTCCTTCAGTCACAAACACTTAAGGTAAGAAAATCAAACGTTAAAGTCTATCCCTACAAGGGGAGGGGCACATTATCTATGCTTGTGAAAAGAGCCTGGATTATAGGCATTCTGCTAGTGAGAAAGCTGTAGATGTTTTATCTAGTTTCCAAAACTTTCACAAGGTACTATTTACTTCCATACTTCAGTTTTTGTTTTGTGTTTTTCAAACAGGTACATCTTTATTATAAACCTGCTGTGGTGCCAACTCTTCCTTGCATGCCAAAGGGATCCAAAGTAAAGAAGAAGGTTCAGGAGACGACCCGTGAGGATGGTCTAGAGAGTGTTGTCCAACAGAAACATAATGCCAGGGAGCCATGTCATTTAAAATGTTCTACCAGTCACATTAATAAAGACAAAAAGAACACGTAAAATCAGTATTAATAATGTATTTATCCCAATATATTGAAAACATTATCATTTCAACATAAAACCAATAGAAAAAGCATTAAGATATTTTATATTATTTTTTTCACACTAAGTGTTGAAAAGTCAATGTGTATTTTATACATATAGCAAATCTCAGTTCGGATAACTAAATTTTCATTAAAAATACTTGACTTGCACTTAGAGTCAAAAAATGCACAGCTGAAAAAGTAAATTCATATGACTAATTTATTCCAAACATACTTAAAAGTTTTCTAATAGCTGAATCAGGTCTAAGTTTTTACATGTGAATTTTAATTAATAAAAAATAATTCAATTAAAATAACTGATTTTGACTTAATAAAAAATAAAAACTCAGTATCTCAGCTACACTGGACACATTTCAGGTGCTCAGCAGCCAAAGGTGGCGAGTGATTGCCAGACTGAGCAGCACAGGCGCAGGCGGGTGGACAGCCAGGTCTCTCCACACCAAGGGAACAGTCTGAGCCAGCAGGAGAGCTGGCCCTCAGGAGAACAGCAACTACCACCGCCCAAGGACAGCAACTACCACCGCCCGAGGTCAGGGACCCAGCACTCGCTCTCTGTCAGAGACACCAGAGGCCGACATATCCTCCTCAGCAAAGGGTGGGGCATTCAGAACTCAGAAAAGCCCTTCACAAGATACATACTTTACAATTTAAAACTTCTGCCTAGAACTTTACCTTTCAATTACAGAGCACTCAACGTCCGTTTTCTCATCTGATCCTTAATTACCTCTGCGAAGTACACCCTGCTCCTGTTCCGACTCCCAGTCACCACTCTGGGCAGAGTGCCACCTGCCAACTCCACACAAGTAGTCACAAATAGGAACAAATCTCAAGCTCTTTCCACTACCACCAACTACAGTGAGTTAATTCACTTTATTTCAATTTGTTATATTAAAGATCAGAATGTGAGAAATATTGATCAAAGGAAATAATCTCCATCAGATTAGAAAAACAAAACAAACAGTAAAAAGGTTTTAAAATTAGCATTTACTAAAATCTACATAAGGAACTAGCTCTAAAATGTCTCCCTTAAAAGTTCCCTGTGTGCCCAGTCAATTCTGGGGTTCCTGGGAGTGGAGAGCAGGCCCCTGCCAGCACACCACTTGCACAACTCGACACACATGCAAAGCCGCCTACTCTCGGGGCTCAGCTGCCCTGAGCCAACCTTCCAAGCTCTACTTTTCTGTGTAGAAAATAAAACAAACCATGAGCCAGGTTTACACAGAGCAGTTTTGTTAAGTAGAGGGGCAACAGTTTCTCATGGTCTAACAAATGCCTTCCAGAAACCACCTTGCTTTCTTGCTCTTTCTGAGTGGCACTGAAACACTGGCTGACCTTTTTCAGCATTTGCTTCTCCATTTGCACCTACCTGCTTCCTAATGAAGACAAGAACCTTTCCCTGCATTCACTGCACACGCCAACTTTCTCTTCTATGAAAACCTATAGAACCTCCAGTTCTACCTTATCCACTCCAACCTCTCACCTATATTTCAGAGTCTGCTCTTACCCTAAAACCCATCCGAGGTAATTTTCAGAGTATTTCCTCAACAGCCAAACACATTTGGAGACCCTAGTGCTAGATCTCATTATCCTAATATAAAAACAAACAATCCTCCTATTAAAATAGAATATATATAATACTATTTACCTAAGAAGCTGTTGAATGAGCTGAACCAGAGGCAAACACTGTTTTCCAGAAGATTCATAGATTCCTGTATTAATAAGATCTTTATCCAATGGAGTCCTACTTCTATGAAATGTCGAGGCATTCACTTCCTGTTCATCAATTTCTTTTTCCTTCTGTGCTTCTTTTTTGGCTTCAATATCCTATAATTCATAAAACAGAAACTGGTTACCAGTTATCCTAACAGCAAGTGTGAAGGCACCCTGGGCTGAGCCCTGATCCCACAGCCTAGGTGTCTCAGCCTCTGTGTGCTGACTCACACACCTGGTGACACTGGCCCACACCCACCTGTCAGAAATCCTGTAGCTCAGTTGCTCAGTTTTTAAACAGACTATTCATCCTACAAATCCAATGTCCAGGCTGCCACTGCTAATGGTCTCCAGCCTCCTTCTATAAAGTCCCTAAAATCTTTACCCCTGCTACTCGCTCTCACACACACCCAATGTGATCTGCCCCATACATACAGAGTCTATCTGCTTTCTAAATATGAAACAACAACAGAATGGGAAAATATATTCCCAAGTCATATATCTGACAAGAGACATGCATCCAGAATACAGAAAGAATTCTTACAACTCAACAATTAAAAGATAACCCAATTTAAAAATAGGCAAAGGATCTTAAAGACGTATCGTAAAAGAAGATACACAAATGGCTAATAAGCACATGAAAAGATGCTAGGCATCATTAGTCATCAGGGAAATTCACATCTGCTAGGAAGGCTATAATCAAAAAGATGGACAGCAGCAAGCACTGGCAAAGATGTGGAGAAACTGGAACCCTCATACATTGCTACTGGGAATATAAAATGGTAACACCACTTAAGAAAACAGTCTGGCTGTTTACTGAAACATTAAACATAGAGTTACCATAAAATTCAACAACTCTACTCTTAGGCATATACCTATAAGAAATAAAAACATATGTCCATACAAAAACCTGTACAAGAATTTTTATAACAGCATTATTTATAATAACTTAAAAGTGGAAACAATCTAAATGTGCATCAGCTGAAGGAATAAACAAAATGTGTTATATCTACACAACAGAATATTGTTTAGCAATTTAAAAAACTGAAGTACAACATGGATGCTACAACTAGGATGAACTTTGAAAACACTATGCTAAGTGAAAGAAGTCAGACACAAAAGGCCATATACTATACAAATCCATTTATGTGAAATGTCCAGAACAAGGAAATCTTTTGAGATAGATCAGTGGTTGTCAATGGCTAAGAGAAGCGGGGAATGGGGAGTGACTGTTAAGGGGCACAGAGTTTCTTTTTGGAGTGATGAAAATGTTCTGAAATTAGATAGCGGTGATGATGGTGACACCACCTCTAAATATAAGAAAAATCACTGAATTATACACTTTAAAAGAGTGAATTATATAGTATGTGAAGTTCAATAAAGCTATTATTTAAAAACATTTTAAAAGGAGGTATCTTTTGCCAGTCAAATGCAACCAATATTCCTGAGAACCTACTATGTAGCAAGCATTGTTCTAGTAACCAAATTTACTGTGAAAAAGCAAACAAAGTTCTTTACCTCTGGGCTTTATTTTCTAATGGCAAAAGTCAGAAGAGTCTAAACATAAATTGTCTTCCCCAGTTCTGAGGGGTGTGGGGACAAAGACCCTGACTCAGTGGTGGGACTGGAACTGGGCTAACCACTCCTAAGGATAAGGCAAGCAACATGGATCAGAAAGCTTAAAAATGTGCATGCTTTTGACCCAGCAATTTCATTTCTGGAACTTTTTCCTAATAATCATTCTTATACTCAATGACTTATTATCTACAAGAATGTAATTAAGAATTATTTATAGTAGTAAAGATATCTAAAACCTAAATGGTCAACAACAGAAGGTTGTTTAAAAAAAAAGAATGAAGTGATTCCCTTTCCATATGAAAGACTTCCCCAAAGCAAATGGACAGAGCACTTGAACATTCATCAGAGAAAACATAGCAACCTGAGGAGTGAAAAAGATCCAACTCAACAGATCATTGAGATCAATTCTGGCACCATACTCAATATCATGAGTAAATATCTGCATTTTTAAAAGTATGGAAGACTATACACCAAAAATATTAACAATGGTTACTCCTAAATGATGAGTTTTTTTGATTATGCCTTTCTATAGCTTCAAAACATTTTTGTTTTGAAATAAATGGCCTTTTGGCTATTCTTTAGGCACCTTAATTATTACTGTAGAGATCACAATCTGCATATCTCTGCAGCCACCCCCCTCTGCCCCCGCAGGTCCCTCTCTTCAGCAGTAAACACAGAATAAACATCTGTTAACTAAATTAACAGCTTGTAAAAATACTGCTTGGATCATGTCAAGGTTACTTGCCTGGCCCACAGGGGAACAGCAAACCTGCCACTCACTAGTCATGACACTTAGCAAATCACTAAACTTCTGTGGTACTTATGTCCACATCTATAAAATGGAATTTTAAAACAATTTTTTCCACTCAACACGGTTGACAAGGTTAAAAGAAAAAAACAAAGTAAAGTATACAGGACAGTCCCCAGAAACTAATAGGTACATAAGGAATGGTGGTTGCTACTAACACTGTTACACAGACGATTTCTTCTAATGTTTTTCAATTTAATCAAAGTATTTAAGTATGTTTTCAAAGATATTTTTAATACATTCACTTCATCTAATTTTATCAGTGTAAGTTTTTCAATCAAAAACTATAACAATGAAAGCAACAAAAGAAGCTATGAATGGCCAATAAGCACATGCAAATGCCAATTATAACCACATTCCCCAAGAACAGCAAAAGTTAAACAGATTGACAAGCATCATGTTGGTGAGGTCCAGAAAGAGCTAGAAGCCTCATGCAGGCTGGTTCAAATGTAAATGGCACAGTCACTTCAGGAAACTGTAAACACACACTTATTCCAGGACCCAGCAAATTCTAATTCAAAGTATTTACCCAAGAAAAAAACACGTGTTCACTAAAGGATTTGTACACAGCATGATCAAAGCAGCTTTCGAGTCAAAAACAATCAAATGTCTGTCAACAGGAGAATGGATAGACAAATAATCATACCATGGAATACTCCTCAACAGTGAAAACATAGTAATGATACATGCAACATAGATGATCTGAAAATCCTTATCAAGGCAAAATAAAAAAGACACAAAAGAGTACATACTACATGATTCTATTTATGTGACATTTAGAACAGGCAAAAGTAAATTAGTCTGAGGCAGGCAGGGGAATGTCCTAACTTCAAGTGCAAAGGGACACAAAGGCACTTTCTGGGGTGATGGAAATGATTTCTAAGATGATTGGGGTATTGGTCAAATTCATTTAAATTGACACTTAAAGTAGGTGCATTTTATCATATTTAATACCTCAATAAACTTTTTAAAACTCTTAAGATAAAAAAGTTTTAATTACAGGAAATATTTTGATGTTACTAAAAGTTTTATGCTTCAGTTTTTCAACAATTCTGGCAAAAAGTTGTTATTTTTTCACGAGTATGAGCATGGTGTTTCAATCTCAGCTCACTGCCAGGTAAAAATCACCTCTGCAGGCTCACTCACACACTCCTAGGGCCATACCTGGATTTCTGCAGTAATGGCTGCATTTAAGGCTGACTCTAAGCCTCCATCAGCCATCAAGCTGCCCACCAGAAGATCAATCATGAATCGACGACCTGGACTTATGTTAACTTCGTTGCCTGAAACTGGAAAAGGGAAAGTGTTTTTGTCAATGTGAGGTAAGTGCCATCCTCTCCCGGCACCCTCTCCTGCGCCCAGCCCCCTACCCCCTCACCCCTGCTCCTCCCCTAAGCCCACCTGCACAGGGCAAGAGAGCAGAGAGTGCCCGGGCCCGCTCCTCAGCAGTGGGCAGCAGCATGGACCACCCACTCTGCAGCACAGCCTGGGCGGCTGCCTGCACAGTACTCAGCACGCCCGCACTGCTGGCCAGGGCCACCACGGTCTGCTTCAGGCTGTTGAGGAGGACGCTGCCCAGACCTAAACCAAGGAATTCTGGGTCAACCTGGTGACTAATGGCAGCATGCAACTGAAAGGAGAAGAACAATTTTCACTTAGAAGCCCTAAAAACAAGTGAATTTCAATTCTTACTAAAGATTAAATAATACCTCAAATTGAGTTTTATTCAAATAATAAAGGAAAAACTTCCAGTATATGTATTTTTTTAAACTGGACTAAAGAAATTTTAGCCATAGTTGTAGAGAGTCCATAGTCAGGTATTTTATAAGAGGAATACTTTAAACCCAACTATAAATATACATGTACATAAATATGTACATGGAAAAGGTCAAGATCAACAGAGAGGTTAAATCATGTGGAAGTAGCAACCTCTACCCCACCCTCAACCATCTGCATCAAACACAAAGAAATAGTGAATATAACAGACCCCCAAAAATATTAAAATATTATATAGCCAAGCTGAGAGTACATAAGGAAACTCCTCAAGGGCCAAACCAGAACTCACACAGCAGGAGCCAAGAGGTTCTGGGGTCTGAGAACAGATCAAAGCCTTGGAGCTTGAGACCCAAACTGCCCACAAGATCCCAATGAACCTGAGCTTCCTGTAGAAGGCTGGGAGTCACTCAAGATCACCTGCCTGTCAGCCAGCCAGGGCCTGAGGGCACCACACTGCCCACTCAAGGCTTTGTGTAGAAAAAGACCCCACAGGAAATCAGAGACCCAGCCTACACTGTGAGCAGACGTGAAATCAAATTTATACCCACCATCTAAGTATAGATATCACAAGTCAAACACCAAAACTCATCTAGAGCCTGAGAAACTCATGGAACCTCGGAGATACAAATACAAAGCTGCCTTCTGTGGACATCTCCATAGCCAAGGTCAAAGGGGTACCCGTAGCAAACCCTCCCCTGAAGGCGGCCTCACAGTAAGAAAGGACAAGCCACACTAGGTCACCACGACAGAGAGTCACAGAGTAAGAGGCAAAATGCACGCCCCAAGAGATGGCAGCAATAAAAAAATTGGAATGAATCCATAAAATAAGTAAATGGTCTTAGAGCTCAAAGAAGGAACAGAACCCAGAAGATGAGAGTATAATGAGTAAAACGAAAGCCTTGGAAAGAACCCAAATATAAATTCTAAAAATGAGAAAAATAGCTACAGGAATAAAAATGTCAAGGCAGAGGTGTGAAGAGCCTGGACCCCAGGCCTGAACCTCCATGCACTGGGTAGCCAATCTGGGCAACGTGCCTGAACATCTCGTGCCTCCAGAACATACAGATAAAGGATCTCACCTTAGAGGGCTGGCACAGGGATTTAGTGAGATAATATGTGTAAAGCAGGATTATAAGTATTTCTTAAATAAATGGACAATTCAAAAGTATGGAACATTCAGCTAAAGAAAGGATTTGTGAACTGAAAGAGAGCATTGAGTAAACCATCCAGAAGGCAGAACAAAAAGATTAAGAAATGAGCATTAAAAGAGATAAAGAGATTTAAAAATATCAAAGAAGTTGTGATACTTGGGAACATAAAATGAGAAATTTCAACATACATTTAGTAGGACTCCTCCAAAGTGAAAAATAAATTAAAGGAAAGAGCAATTTTCAATGATAAATAGTGAAGACTTTTCAAAATTTAATGAAGATATATACTCTCAGATTGAATGAGAATCATAACCTCAAGTTACATATACAAAAATAAATCCTCACCTAGACATAATGTACTAAAACTACAAAACAAAGACATAAAAGTCTGAAATGCTACCAAAGAGAAAGACAAATTAGCGACGAAGATACAATAATTGCACAAATTTAAGATTTCTCATAGGAAACAATAAAGGTCAGAAGACAGGAGAACATCTTCAAAGTGCAGATAAAATAACAGGTAACCTAAAAAGCAAAGTCCCATTAAACTATCTTAAGAGGTGGTGAAGCAAACAGTTTTCAGACTTTATAATTCACAGACCTTGATGAAGAAACTTCCTAAAGGAGGCACCCAGGAGGGAGAGGATATAAGCAGCAATGACAAAACAAACTGGTTAAAACAAACAAACAAAAAAGACTAGATAAGTAAGTATGGCCTCTTAAAAAAGGATGAGGATGATGATGATAGTAACTAATTGGAGGAAAGTTAAAAAATAATTTCTATATTTCACCAATCCCAAGAGGCATTTTTTTTCATGTCTTAACATCTCTAAAATCAGAACGAATCTTACACATTTCAATTGCGAGCACTTTTCTTTTAGCAGCACACACAAAAAAACAGTGTGCCTTGGATCCAAATAAGACTACCCGACAATTAAAAGAGTGGAGGAGGAAAAGGGAGTTTAGATTTAATGCATCCTATGATCCCTATATTTTTCAGGAAGAGAAGTACTGATTAACCTAACACTCTGTGGAATTAACAAATATTTAATTTTCTTGTCTATGACTAATGCCCAGAAATCAAATTAAAAAATTAGAAACAATTACAGGGATTTGAAAAGAAAAAAATTTCTTTAGAAACATGATCAATAGAGAATAAAATGAAGAACAAACTTACACAAAACTAAATTAGAAGACCTAAATTGAAATACATTAGGAATCACAATAATTGTAAAAGAATTAAATTACCTATTGAATAAAGACTCTGAAATTGGATTCTTTTTAAGAATCAAACTTCACAGGTCAATTTAAAAAAAGACACAACTAAAACATAAGGACCTAGAAACACAGAATAAAGCAATGGAAAAACATAAGGCACCAGGCAAACATGGACTAAAAGGAATCAAGCCTAAGACGTGTACAAGGTCTTTCTCCATAGCACTGACCAGGACAGCACTACAAACCATGGGAAGCGACAAACAACTGGGCAGATCCATGGAAGGAACACTACACCACAGGTGTCCTAATAAATGAGTTCCTATAGAAGACTTCCCAGAGAGAAGTTTCTCCCAACTTCCGCTAATTTGATTAATACAATTAAATATTACATTCAGTTCTGTGCTTTTTAGAAGCCAAGGTGAAAAAGGGGAAGTCATGGAAGGGAGACATGATGGGTTACACAGAAATCCTTGTATTATAAAGGGGAAAAATTATTTTTTCGAGAAAAACTGTTCTCTTGACATTAAATCATACGATTTTATTACAAAGGAAAATATGATGACCAAAGATGTCAGCTATAGTTTTACTTAAAAAAAAGAAAAGAAAAGTATTTTTGTAGTAGTTTTTCTTATTTTGACCTTTGACTTGAACCTTCCCTGATGAAGTGGAAGTACTATTGGAGCGAGCTGAGCTTACTGAGTGGAGTTTTCAGAGTCCAGAGGAGATTGGCTAGCACATTCTGCTGGTCTCTCAAACACCTACTCTCTCACTCAGTCATTTCTCCACACACAACAGTAAATTCAAGACTGACTCTCTGATAACTGCAAACAAGCTGATTACAGCAGAAATAACACAATCTACACACTCTTACTTGCAGGCAGACACTGACTTCCAGGATAAACACAAAATAACTAGACTGATTTTCTTAAGCCTCATACACATTACACTCCATCATAATCTTACTTTAAAATACTTTAAATTTTTCATTAGCAGTTCACGTAATAGGCTAAAACCCATACCCTTCAACATGCATAAACATTATTACAAATACCTAAGACACTTATAAAAGGAGGGAGAGGAAAGGAAAAAATTAATACCTGAAGTCGTAGAAGATTCAGCGTTGCCACGGCCATGCACTCTTTCTCTTGGGGTGGGGGCCAATCAGCAGTGCCGTCCATCCCTTCACTCACTTGCCGTAGTAGGAGGTCCAGCTGCTCAAAAGTCATTGAGCAGATGTCCACCACAAAAGGAACACGGAGGCCAATGGACCACTCAGAGCAAGATGACCAAGCAAAACTCTATGGAAGAAACACAAGAACCTAAAATGAATCTACATATTCCGCTACTGGTCTTCCACAGGAGAGATTCACCATTATGAATGATGAAGATGCCTTAAATTATTACTTATTCATGACTCTAATTGTCCAAAATGCATATGTACTTTCATGGTTGTCTAGCTCATACATTAGCAATTTCTAATTTTCTCTCTCATTTCACTACCCCATCTCATTTTGCCACAAATAAAAAGGCAAAAACTTTTTAAAATACCTTTTCACTCTCAAAATTATTAATTCACATTAAAGGATGGCAGTGAGGATTACAACCTACTTGAAGAGCTACAAAAGTAACTCTAAGTAGACAGTGAAAGGTTAGGTATATATATCGTAATCTCTAGAGCAACCACTAAAACACTAAACAAAGAGATAGACAACTCAATAAGTTAAAATGGAATACTAAAAATTATACAAAGAAGTCAGGAAAAGATGAAACAAAAAAAAAGAGAGAGCAGACCAAAAACAAATAAACAATGGTAGACATAAATCCAACTTATAAATAATTACATTAAATTTAAATGGCCTAAACATACAAACAAAAAGATGGAGATTATCAGGATATATGAAAAACAAAACCTAACTATATGATGTCTACAAGAAATCTACCTTAATTATAGAGACAAAAAATGGCTAAGTAAAGGGATGGAAAGTGGCTATATGAATATCAAAGTAGACTTCAGAGGAAGGAAATTATCAGGGCTAAAGAGCAACACATAACGATAAAAGAGTCAATTCACCAAGAAGACAAAACAATGCTGAATGTATATGCATCTAACAAGAGAACTACAAAACACAGGGAAGTAAAAACTCAAAGAAATGAAAACAGAAAGGCAAATCCACAAATACAGTTGAAGATATCAAAACTATTCTCCTAATAACAGATATAGTCCAATAATAATCCTTACAGAAAATCAGTAAGGATTTAAAAGAAATGAACAAAACCATCAATGAACTAGATCAAATTGACATTTATAGAACACTTCACCCAACAACAGCAGAATACACATTATTTTCAAGGACACAAGGAATAATAACCATGATAAACCATATTCTAAGTGATAAAATAATTCTTAACTATTTAAAAGAATTGAAATCATACAGAATATGTTCTCTGAACATAATAAAATTAAGCTAGAAACCAACAACAGAAACTACAAACTAGAAATAAAAATAAACTAGATGTAAATAACTGGAAAAAATCTCCAAGCACTTGGAAATTAAACATGTTTCCACATTCCAATTAAAGTGGTAAAATATTGATTCTAAGTAGCCTGCAAAGAGTTAACTATGTATGTGGTTAATCCCTACAGCAACTAAGAAAACTATAAAAAGAGATAAAGTCAAATTCAAACTAAATAAAGTTAAATGGAATACTAAATGTTCATATGCTCCCAAAAGAGCAAGAAAAGGGAAACAGAAGAAGAAATAATAGAAAATAGACAAAAGCCAAATAATAAAATGGAATCCCTAAATCTATATATGTCAATAATTACAGTAAATGTAAATGATCTAAATACACCAATTAAAAGACACAATGACAAAAAGATTAACAAAAAAAAAATGCAGCTATACATAGTATCCAAGAAACTCACTGTACACATAATGAGACAAGCAGGTTAAAAGCAAAAGGTAGAAATCTAACAAAACACGTTCATGACTTGTATGCTGAAACTGATGACAAATGAAATCAAAGATGTAAATAAATGGCTAGACATACCATTTTCATAGATTGGAAGATTCAATATAGCAAAAATGTCAATTCCCCACAAATTGATAACAGGCTGAACACAATTCCTATCAAAGTCCAAGCAAGACATTCTTGCAGATATAGACAAGATTATTCTAAATTTTATACAGAAAGGCAAAGGAACTAGAATATAGACTTCTCATATAGCTGTAATGAATAAGACTGTACTGTATTGGGAACTTCCTGTGAATGTGTATTATTTCAAATTAAAAAAAATTTTTTTCAAGTGAAAGGATGGAAACATTACAGTACACAAACACTAATTAAATGAAAAGTGGAGTACCTACATTAAAATAAGACAAAACACACTTCAGAGCAAGGAAGAACTACATAAAGATGGGACATTACATATTGATAGAAGAGTCAATTCACCACAAAACAATCCTAAATGTGTATGCACCTAAAAAAACAGCTTCAAAACACATGAAACTAAACTGATAGGTTTTAAAATTCTAAAATTCATATGGAATCTCAAAGGACCTCAAATAACCAAAACAACCTTGAAAAAGAAGAACAAAGTTGGAAGACTCACAATTCCTACTTCAAAACTTACTACAAAGCTACAGTCACCAACAGTGTGGTACTGGCTTAAAGACAGACATACAGACCGACGAAATAGAATACAGGGCCCAGAAATAAACCCTTGCCTATATGGTCAAATGATTTTTGATGAGTGTCAAGACCATTCACTGCGGAAAGGACAGTCTTCTCTACAAATGGGCTAGGAAAACTCCAAAGAATCAAGTTGGATCATTATCTCACACCATACACAAAAATTAACTCAAAACAGATCAAAGACTGAAACATAAGAGGTAAGACTATAAAACCATAAGAAGAAACCACTGGGGAAAATCTGCATGACTATAGGTTTCTTAGATATATATGACACCAAATACATATAGCAGCATTATTATATATATGACACCAGATACATATAGCAGCATTATTCACAATAGCCAAAAGGTACAAACAACATGTGTCCACTGAAAGAGGAATGGATAAACAAAATGTGGGATATATATATAATGGAATATTATTAAGCCTTTAAAAGGAATAAAATCCTGATCCATGCTACAACATAGATCAACCTGGAAATTTTATGCTAATTAATTTCATTAAGTAAAATAAGCCAGAAACAAAAGATCAAATATTATATAATTCCACCTCAAATAGGCAAATTCCTAGAGACAGGAAGTAGATTTGAGGTTACCAGGGCCTAGGGGGAGAAGAAATGGAGAGTTACTGTTTAATGGGTAAAGAATTTCTGTTTGGGATGATGAAAAGGTTCTGGAGATGGATAGTGGTGATGGTTACACAACATTGTGAATGTACTTAATGCCACTGTATATTTTACCATAATTTTTTTAATGATCAAAAGCATTAATATTAAGAAAAAAACCTGACAGAACCAAAAAGAGAAATGGACAAATCCACAATTATACTTGGAGATACCAACACTACCCTCCTAGTAAGAGACAGAACAAGTAGATAGAAAATCAGCAAAGATCTAGAACAACTAAATAATACCATCAATGAACTGGATCTGATTGACATTTATAGAACACTTCACCCAACAACAGCAAAATAGATACTCTTTGTTTTGTTTTGTTTTGTTTTGTTGATGAGGAAGATTGGCCCTGAGCTAACGTCTGTTGCCAGTCTTCCTCTTTTTACTTGAGGAATATTGTCCCTGAGCTAACATCTATGCCAATCTTCCTCTATTTTGCACGTGGGACACTGCCAAAGCATGGCTTGATGAGCAGTGTGTAGGTCCGCGCCCGGGATCCAAACCCAAGAACCCCAGGCCGCTGAAGCGAAGCGCGTGAATTTAACCACTATGCCACCAGGCCAGCCCCCTACACGCTCTTTTTAAGCACACTAAGAGAACACATCCTGAGACATAAAACAAATCTTAACAAATCTAGAAGAACTGAAATCATATAGAGTTTGTTCTCTAATCACAATTGAATTAAACTAGAAATCAGTAACAGAAAGATAACAAAACAATCTCCAAACACTTCGAAATTAAACAACACACTTAATAATCCATAGGTCAAAGAGTAAGTCTCAAGAGAAATTAGAAAATATTTTGAACTGAATAAAAATGAAAATATATCAAAATTTCTGGGTGCAATTAAAACACTGCTTGGAGGAAAATTTATAGTATTAAGTGCTAATATATTATGAAATAAGAAAGGTCTAAAATCAGCAATCTGGGCCGGCCCCGTGGCTTAGCAGTTAAGTGCGCATGCTCCGCTGCCGGCGGCCCAGGTTTGGATCCTGGGCACGCACCGACGCACCGCTTCTCAAGCCATGCTGAGGCTGTGTCCCACATACAGCAACTAGAAAGATGTGCAGCTGTGATATACAACTATCTGTTGGGGCTTTGGGGGGAAAATAAATAAATAAAATTATTAAAAAAATAAATAAATAAATAAAATAAAATCAGCAATCTAAGCTTCCTCCTGAAGAAACTTAAAAAAGAGCAAAGTGAACCCAAAACAAGCTGAAGGGAAGAAAAAAAAATAACAGATGAGAGTAGAAACCAATGAAATGGAAAGCAAAAAACAAGGGAAAAATTAATGAAACTAAAAGCTAGTTCTTTGAAAAGATCAACAAAATGGATAAACCTCTAGCAAAACTGACAAAGAAAAAAGAAACAAATTCCCAATATCAGGAATGAAAGAGAGGATATCACTGCAGACCCCAAAGATTTCAAAAACAGAACACTAAGGAAAACTTGAAGGAAACTTCCTTAATCTAATAATAAGTCATCTATTTAAAAAAAAAACAAAACCTACAGCTAACATTATAGTTAAAGGTGAAAGACTGAATGCTTTTACCCTACAATCGGGAACAAGGCAAGGATGTCCCCTGTCACCACTCTTACTCAACATCATATTAGAAGTCCCCACCAGTGCAATAAGGGAAGGGAAAGAAATAAGAGGTATACATATTGGAAAAGAAGAAATAAAACTGTCTCTATGTACAGACAGCATAACTGTTTGTGAAGAAAATCCCAAGGAATCGACTGAAGCTTCTAGAACTAGTGAGTTTAGTACAACTACAGGATATAAGGACAACACACACCAAGCCAATGGTATTTGTACATACTAGCAATGAATGATGGGAAACCAAAATTCTACAAAATACCCAACCAAGCTCTACACTCAGTACCTGGGCAGGTCCACAGGCAATTCCAACTATGTGTTTGGTATCCAGTCCTGGCAGCGCAGCAGGTTCTGGCTTAGTCACGCGCAAGGTGTCAAAGTGCTGGCACTGGTCATTGCTCCCCCAGCTGTGGACTTCGCTGTCCTCAGTCAGAGCCAGGCAGTGGGTGGAGCCTGCAGCCACATCAATCACCTTCTTCCCTAGGAGGAAAGAGTGATGCAGATACAGCTTCACGCCTATGACTTCTGTTGCAATAAAGATATTTACACCAGGCCACTCAGGTCAGAAGGCATTCAATGTCAACTTCTAAAAGATAATTCATTGCTTTAATATGATGCACAACTCACCTGCTTCGTGTATGTTATTAAAACCCCTGTTATGTTTTATTAGCTATAATTTATTAAGACCTACAGCCTGCAAATAAAATTCTAGGGTATGAAAAGGATCTGCTATTTTTTTCTCCTCATTTAGATTTTCCTTCAGAAAGAAACAAGCGTATTTTTAATTAACTACTAGATCATATTCTCCTGTCCCAAGGTATAACCATGCAAAGTATACTTCTTTTATGTATTAATAACTTTGTTTTTAGAGCAGTTTCAGCAAAACTGAGAAGAAACAAAGATTTCCCATATACTCCCTACCCCAACATATGCATAACCTCTCCCATTATCAATTATTCATTTTTTTGTATGTTAATGTCCGGTTGTTCCAACACCATTTGTTAAAAAGACTATCATTGATCCATTGTATTGCCTTTGCTCCGTTGTCAAAGATCAGTTGACTGTATTTATGTGGGTCTACTTCTCAGCTCTTTATTCTGTTCTAGTGATCTATTTGTCTATACTTTTGCCAATACCACACTGCCTTGATTACTGTAGCTTTATACTAACTCTTGAAGTTGGGTAGTATCAATACTCCAACTTGTTCTTTTCCTTCAATATTGTGTTGGCTATTCTGGGTCTTTTGCCTCTCCTTATAAACTTTAGAATGTTTGTTGATATCCATAAAATAACTTGCTGGGATTTTGACTGGGATTGCACTAAATCTATAAAGTTGGGAAGAACTGACATCTTTTTTTTTTTTTTTATGAGGAAGATCAGCCCTGAGCTAACACCTGCCAATCCTCCTCTTTTTGCTGAGGCAAACTGGCCCGGGGCTAACATCTATGCCCGTCTTCCTCCACTTTATATGGGATGCCACCACAGCATGGCTTGCCAAGCAGTGCGCTGGTGCACGCCTGGGATCCGAACCAGCGAACTCTGGGCCGCCGCAGTGGAGCGCGCGCACTTAACCACTTGCACCACCGGGCCAGCCCCAAGAACTGACGTCTTGACAATATTCAGTCTTCCTATCCACGAACATAGAATATTTCTCCCTTTATTTAGTTCTTTGATTTTGTTTATCAGTTTTCTAATTTTCCTCATATAGACCTTGAATATATTTTGTTAGATTTATACCTATGTATTTCATTTTTTTGGATGCTAATATAAATGATATTATGTATTTAATTTAAAATTCCACTTGTTTGTTGCTGGTACACAGGAAAGGTATTGACATTGGTACATTAACCTTGTATCCTACAATCTTGCTATAACCCTATTAGTTCCAGGAGTTTTTTTGTCGATTCTTTCAGATTTTCCACATAGACAATCATGTCATCTATGAACAAAGACAGTTTTATTTCTTCCTTCTCAATCTGTATATCTTTTATTCCTTTTTCTTGTCTTACTGCATTAGCTAGAAGTCCCAGCATGATTTTGAAAAGGAATGGTGAGATGGGACATCCTTTCCTTGTACCTAATCTTAGTGGGAAGATCAAGTTTTTCACCATTAAGTATGATGTCAGCTGTAAGTTTTTTGTAGATATTCTTTATGAAGTTGAGGGAGTTCCCTCTATTCCTAGTTTACTGAGAGTTTTTATCATGATTGGGTGTTTAATTTTGTCAAATGCTTTTTCTGCATCTATTGATATGATCGTGTGATTTTTCTTCTTTCATCTGTTGATTTGAGGAATTAACATTAATTGATTTTTGAATGTTGAACCAGCCTTGCATACGTGAGATAAATTCCACTTGGTTGTGATGTATAATTCTTTCTACACATTGTTGGATTCAATCTGCTAATATTTTCATGGGGATTTTTGCATCTATGTTCATAAGATATTGGTCCGTAGTTTTCTTTTCTTCTAAAGTTTTTGTCTGACTTTGGTATTAGGGTAATGCTGGCCTCACAGAATGAGTTAGGAAGTACTCCCTTTGCTTCTATCCTCTGACAGAAATTGTAGAGAACTGGTAAAATTTCTTCCATAAACGTTTGGTAGAATTCACCAGCGTACCCATCTAGGCCTCATGCTTTCTGTTTCTATTACGGATTCAATTTCTTCAATAGATGTAAGTCTATTCAGTTTGTCTATTTCTTCTTGTGTGAGTTTTGGCATATTTTGTCTTTCAAAGAATTGGTCCATTTCATCTAGGTTATCAAACTTGGGGGCACAGGGTTACTCATAGCATTCCTTTATTATCCTTTCAATGTTCACAGGATCTATAGTGAAGTCCCCTCTTTTCTTTCTGATATTAGTCATTTGTGTCCTCTCTTCTCTTTTTTTCTTAGCCTGGCTAGAGGCTTACTGATTTGACTGATCTTTTCACAGAGTCAGCTTTTGGTTTCATTGATTTTTTTCTATTGATTTCCTGTTTTCAATTTCATTGATTTCTACTCTAATTCTTACTATTTCTTTCCTTCTTCTTACTTTGGATTCAATTTGCTCTTCTTTTTCTAGTTTCTTAAGGTAGAAACTTAGATTATTGATTTTATTTTTTATAGCCATCATCACATGTAATTACAAATTTTTTTTTCTGATGAGAACTCTTAAGATCTATTCTCTAAGCAACTTTCAAATATACAATACAGTATTTTTAACTATATTCACCATACTGTACATTACATCCCAGGACTTATTTATTTTATAACTGGAGGTTTGTACATTTTGACCACCATCACCCATTTCACCCACCTCCCAACCCCTGCCTCTGGCAACCACCAATTTGTCCTCTGTCTCTACAAATTTGGCTTTTTGGGTTTTTTTTTTTTCTAGATTCCACATATAAAAGAGCTCATACAGTGTTTGTCTTTCTCCATCGTGATTTATTTCACTTAGTATTATGTCCCTAAGGTCCATCCATGTTGTTGCAAATCGCAATATTTTCTTTCTTTTCTTTTCTTTTTTTTTTTGTGAGGAAGATCAGCCCTGAGCTAACATCCATGCTAATCCTCTTTCTGCTGAGGAAGACCGGCTCTGAGCTAACACCTATTGCCAATCTTCCTCCTTTTTTTCCCCCAAAACCCCAGTAGATAGTTGTATGTCATAGTTGCACATCCTTCTAGTTGCTGTATGTGGGACGTGGCCTCAGCATGGCCAGAGAAGCAGTGCATCGGTGCGTGGCCAGGATCCGATCCCAGGCGGCCAGTAGCGGAGCGCGCACACTTAACCACTGAGCCACGGGGCTGGCCCCAATATTTCCTTCTTTTAATGGCTGAATAATATTCCATTGTGTGAGTCTCTCTCTCTCTCTCTATATATATATACACATAGATAGATACAAATTATACTGATATAAATGTGTGATATATACATACCACATTTTCTCTATCCGTTCATGCATCAATGGACACTTGTTTCCATGTCTTATCTATTATGAATAATGCTGCAATGAACATGGGGGTGCTTTTCGAGTTAGTGTTTTCGAGTTAGTGTTTTCGTTTCCTCCAGATAAACACCCAAAAGTGGAATTGCTGGATCATATAGTAATTCTATTTTTAATTTTTTGAGGAACCTCCATACTGTTTTCCATTGTGGCTACACGAATTACACTCCTACCAACAGTGTACAAGGGTTCTCTTTTCTCCACATCCTCTCCAACACTTATTATCTCTTGTCTTTTTGATAACAGCCATTCTAACAGGTGTGAGGTGGTATCTCACTGTGGTTTTGATTTGCGTTTCCCTGATGATTAGTGATGCTGAGCACCTTTTCATGTGCCTGTTGGCCATCTGTATGTCTTCTTTGGAAAAATGTCTATTCAGATCTTCCCATTTTTTAATAGGATTGTTTGGTTTTTTGCTATTGAGTCGTATGAGTTCTTTATACATTTTGGATGTTAACCCCTTATCAGATATATGATTTGCAAATATTTTTTCCCATTCCATAGGTTGCCTTTTCATTTTTTTGATGGTTTCCTTTGTTATAAAGAAAGACTTGATTTTGGATCTTTTTTCTATTCTAATATATGCATTCAATGCTAACACTTCCTTCAAAGCAGTGCTTTCACTGCATACCACAAATTTTGATAAGTTGTGTTTTCATTTTCATTTAATTCAAAATATTTTAAAATTTCTCTTGAGATTTCTTCTTTGATCCATGTGTTATTTGGAAGTTTGTTGTTTAATCTCCACATATTTTGAGATTTTCCAGCTATCTTTCTATTATTGATATCTAGTTTAATTCCACTGTGGTCTTAGAGCAGACACTGTTGGTTTCTCTTCTTTTAAATTTAAAGTGTGTTTTATGGCCCAGACTGTGATCCACCTTGGCAAATGTTAAAGTACACTCTTCTTTGAGGAAGTTTTCTAAAACAAAGTCTATTTTTCTCCAAAGTCAAATGATATGCATATAAAATACATTTTTTTCTATTTAAATAGTATTAGCAAAGTATTCTACTTTTGCTTATTAGTAAATCTAACAGGACCAACACAGGGAGTGTTTTCAGAATTGTCAACAAAAATAATTCAGCTGAAAAACTCTACTACAGTAAGGGGAACTATTCTATCCTAAGAGTCTATCATAAGTTAACAACAACAATCAAAACGATTGTATCAACAATCACTGAAACATTCTCATTGTAAGCTACCTCTGTATCTAATAAATGTAGCTGAGGAAGTTGATATCTTTCATGAAATGAAGGGAATATAAACATGGCAAATGAAATTCAAATATAGCTCCCGTAACATACAACCAATTATATTACTCTACAACTTATCTCAGAAACTTAGAAAATAATGAACATCATATGAGCACACAAACTTCTGGTCATCAGGGTATGAACATGTTTTAAAACAAAAATGATGGGGAAAGGAACTGACAAGTCTCACAAAAAGTCTCACTTCCAAACTTCCTTAACAAAAAAACAAAAACATAAACAAAGAAGAATCCAGCTCAGGGATCCAACAAACTTCATCCCTCATGCCAAATGCAGCCTAAGGCGTGTTTTTGTGAACAAAGTTGTATCGGGGCACAGCCAGACCCATTTATTTACATATTGTATATGTCTGCTTTTGGGCTACAACAGAATTGAGGAGTTGGGACAGACATCGTATGGCCCTCAAACCCAAAATGCTTACAATCTGGTCCTTTAAAAAAGAGTCTGGGGGCCAGCCCCGTGGCATAGTGGTTAAGTGCGCGCGCTCCACTGCTGGCAACCCAGGTTCGGATCCCGGGTGCGCACCGATGCACCACTTGTCAGGCCATGCTGTGGCGGCATCCCACATAAAGTGGAGGAAGATAGGCACCGACGCTGGCCTAGGGCCAGTCTTCCTCAGCAAAAAGGGGAGGACTGGCATGGATGTTAGCTCAGGGCTGATATTCCTCACAAAAAATAAACAAATAAAATAAATAAAAAAAGAGTCTGCCCACCCCTGAGATCAGGCACTACCAGCCCCACTTGATACACCTATCACCAACCTCTCCCACACTTTGGAAAGCACCCGCAAAGCACACCTACAGGTCTTGGTTCCCATTCATCCCCTCTACCTAGAATGCAGGCTGAATGCCCTTGAAACCAAACAAGCAGGATCCACCCATCAAGGATGAGTTCAAATGAGACCACACCAGGCAGACCCAATCCCATCTCCCACCGTGCTCCCACAGCACCATGCATATCCATAGCCTTAGCGATGTCTAGAGTGTAATTACCGGTGACCTCACCAAACAAAAGCTAATCTCACTGAGGCCAGCTTACTCAGTGATGAATGGGTGCCTGCCACAAAAAGAACTCTCCAATATTAGTAAAACTGAATGTGTTTCAAATTAAATTTGGTGAGAATAATTCTAGGCCATTTTTTAATACAGACAATCCACTTTCCATTTCTTATCTATACCTATCAAAATGTGAGTAACAGCTTCTAATGACTGGTCATTCATGGAATGTCAGGTAAAGAAAAGAAAAAACTGCACACTTTAAAAGACTAAAGAAACTGCCTCAAACGGTTTTAAAAGTTTATATTTTGCACTCACCTTGCAAGCCTTCCAAGAGTTTGGGATAACGCACATGTTCCTCTGTTCCGTGACCAAGTCTCTGGTTGTCACCCTTTCCCCATGAGTAAACTTGGCCATCTTTGGTCAAAGCAATAGAAAATTGACTTCCACATCGGACTTTGACGACATCCAAGTCTTGAAGCTTTTCAATCAGCTTTGGAGTTTTGCAGCCATCACTACCTCCTCTGCCCAATTTCCCATAGTCACCATCTCCCCAAGACCATACTTGACCTAAAAAATACAAATATATTGAAGTAAAAATAACTATACACCTTAAGGGAACTTTTAAATGGCTGAAAATAACAAACACACCCCAAAACACACAAAATCTACACCACTAATGTATACCGTTAGCACTACACAGACGGTTACTGACCAAGTGAAATCTAGTTTAGACTTCAGGTTGATGTAGAAGCAATTAAGAAAAGGAAAGCTGGGTTTTCTTTTTGTTTTAACTATAAATGAATAATAAAGTCCTGACCCTTATAGTTTGGGCTCAATGATACTGCTTCAAGTAGGAACTGAACACAAAATAAAAACTCCACTGCCTCCACACAAACCGGAACTGGGCCCATGGCACACCACTGCAGCTCCCCAGCCACTATCAGGGCTGCCTGGACACTCTGTTCCATCACGCTGACCACGAGTCAACCATACAATGTATTTATTCCTAATAACATTTGTTAGTGTAATTTAATTAAATATTACATACAGAAATAAAGTAAAATCGTAAAAATGTGTGGGTTTTTTTTACTTTGAAAACTAAGCTGAATACTTCGTAAAAACTCAATTAAAATGAATTGCTAAAAAAGAAAAACCTGCTAAATTAGGTGTAGGCTAAAATCGTAGAAAATGAGAAAAGAAATCAGATTGCTCCATAAGTGATTAAGTTTCCCCTCTATTTTAAATAATATAATTCAGGGCCGGCCCCGTGGCTTAGCAGTTAAGTGCGCGTGCTCTGCTACTGGCGGCCCAGGTTCGGACCTGGGCACGCACCGACGCACCGCTTCTCCGGCCATGCTGAGGCCGCGTCCCACATACAGCAACTAGAAGGGTGTGCAGCTATGACATACAACTATCTACTGGGGCTTTGGGGGAAAAATAAATAAATAAAATTATAAATAATATAATTCGAAGATGAGCAAACTATTTCTTAAAGATGAGACAGTAAGTATTTTTAGGCTTTGTGGGTGATACCATCTCTGCCACAACTACTCAACTGTGTCATTGTCGCAAGAAAGCAGCCACAGACAATATGTAAGCAAGCTGGCATGGCTGTGTTCCAATACAAGTCATTTGCAAAAACAGCCAACCCCTGATCTAAACTGATATTGCAGACGATACGCTAGTAGGTGGTCAAGGAAAGAAACACAGCAATGCTCAACTCAGCAGACCCATGCACAAATATCAGAGAAGTGTGCGCACCACTTATATGCTTTAGCTAAAAGGCCTACTGTTCACATAGCCCAGCTAGCAATCCTCACTTTCACCAATGTTTTCAGTGAGCCTGTCACCCAGGGCCAGACTGCATAGGCCAGGATGCTCTACTGTAACAGTCGTCTCAAAAAATAATCATGTAGCAGGGACATTTCCCTGTGACATCTGCACCAGAGAAACATGGGTATGAGGTAAACAGCATGCATAGTCCCCAGTCAAGGCAATTTAGTCAACCCATCACCAAGTGGTTTTACTTACATAGCAGTTTCACACAAAGAATGCAAGAACAAATCCTAAGAAGACTTATTTAAGAAAAGACTTCCTGGTTAAGAGTTTTGTAAAATATATCAATCACTCAATAATGGACACAACAACAACAAGATGGCACTTGCTGGCCATCCTCACACCAGAAGAAGAGATCTTTCAGACGACTGAGGAAACCATCTTTTCTCTAAGACTGAGAGAAGCAGAAGGAAGATGACTCTATGTCTATCCCTTCAGTGAGGGGGGCCTCTGTGGACATGAAGGTGTCTGAAATGATCTTTGATCTCTCACCAAAGACACGCCCAGAAGTCAGTCAATTCCCAATCTGCCATTCCACTTCTGCGAGAGAATGTAGGCTGAGAGGCTCCCCAGTGATTCTGACAGACAGACCCCACGACTCTGAGGACAGATACCCACAATACTGACAGACAAATAGTTTTTAAAAATCAACTTGATTCTAACCATCAAATCTGATAAATGCACCCTCAAAAAGTGTAAAATGAGTACAATCTCACTAATGAACACAAACACAAAACTAAATTAAAAACAAGCACACAATGTAGCATCATACTGTGGAATATACACAGACTAAGCAGGATTTTCCACAGGAAGTCAAGCAGGGCTCAGCATTAGGAAATGCCAGGAATCACTGAGAAAGTCAATCATTCAATTTTAACTCTCATTTTCTGCTAAAACATAAAATGCTCAAATAGGAAGGATGATAGCCACTAACTAGCTCGCGGGCTCCAGGCAACGGCAGCTATAAGTCCTGTAACTTCTGGACCTTTCCTGAGAACACTGAGGTGCACACCCACTTAAAGATGGAAGATGAGGTTCACTCTACTCCCTCGCTCCCTCCAGGGGAGCAGTCCTCCTCGTCCCAAGAACCTGCCCAGGGCAGTATGAGCCCCACATACCGTTCTCAGTCACGGCCAGGGTTTGAGCGTCCCCACTCCCACACGCCACGTCGATGACCTTCAGTCCTTTAAGCCCAGCTACCAGCATTGGAATGGCCTCGTCTTCACTGGAGCCTTCAAACAGATAGGACTATCATTACCACAAGTCCTTCATAAGAGGCGCCCTCGCACTGCATGCTTGAGCTGGCTCAGAGCAGACGTACCATGGCCCAGTCGGCCGTAGTTCCCTCGGCCCCAGGTGTACAGCTCCCCCTCAGCAGTGATGGCTGCACTGTATGTGCTTCCACATGCAATGTGCACCACATGCTTCCCGGCCTGCTTTCCAGAGAAAGCAGAGATCACCTTAGGCTCCTCCAGAGGCCTGTGGAGAGAAAGGGAACAAATGTGAATGCCCTTCTAAGAATTTCCTATTAGTGTTAGCAAAGAAAACTCACTCTCAGAAATAAACTACCAGAGCATCAAGACAGTTTTGCCTCTCAGGTGTCTTATGAAATAATTAAGGAATACAGAATTCAAACCCATAACGCTTCCATGATTTTTGGTTAAGCAAGCATCCAATGCCAAGCATGACATTCAGCAGGAATATCAAAACAGTGTCTGTTAAAGACACACACAATCAAGTCCACAGCAGCTTTGTTCACAGTAGCCCAAAATGGTGGTCCATCCATAAACAGACCACCCAGCAACAGGGAAGAAGGAACTACTCACAACAATTCAGCTGAAGCTCAGGAACACTGCTAAGTGAAAGAGACAAAAACAAAATACCACATAGTAACAGACAGCAGATCAGTGGTTGCCAGGAGCTGGAGGTGGAGAGCAGGGGTGACTGCAAAGGGATCCAAAGAAAGTAGCGGGGGCAATGGAAATGCTCTGTGTCTCAGTTGTGGTGGTTCCCCAACAGTATGCATTTGCTGAAACTCATCATACTGTACACCTAAAACTGATGGATTTGTAAACCTCACAGAGATGGTTAAAATTTATACATATTTGTTAAATAAATGAGGAGAAAAAGAAGGAGCAACGTTTACTAATCACACTGCAATTTATATTTTACAAATAAAAAGCAGGAGGCAGTAAGGATTAATTGGGTAGAAAAGTCTTACTGGTTGATTCTTCACTTTCAAAATTAGCTAAATACCCCATGCTTATAATCCAGAATATGTTTACTGTGATTGGTAACACTCACTCTAGTCTCTCTAAAGACATGGTTTACTCACTTTGACCCACCACTCTGCAAAATAAATTAGTGCACAGAGGCAGGAGCACACACGGGCACAGGGACAGCCAAACCACTTACTCTTGTAGCACTTCTCCCTTCTGTTCAGCTCAAGTTTCAACTCCCACAAAGTTTCTCTCCAACTCCTGTCATTTGCACTGATCTCTATTCCTTCCCTCAACTCCTCCAGCAACGAACAAGTTACTCAATCTAGCACTTAATCTCAACTGAGTATTGTTTTATTATGAAATACTTTATACATACTAAATTATAAATAACATAAGAATGTTAAAAAGACCAACGCCTCCATCCTGTACCTCAACGCTTTCAAGTCCTGACTGCTCTATGCCAACCCCACCCACTTCCATTCTGAGAGTAACAACTATTCTAAATGCTGTACTTATCACCCCTTTGTTTTTCACTATCATTTTACCACAATTGTCTGAATCCCTTACAACACTCACTGTCAAGTTTGGAATATTTCTGCTGAATGCTAACACATGGTATGCATCACTTTGCTTTTTTCATGGTTTGGGATTCGTCCAGCAGATGTCCATTCCCACCCCGAAGTGAGAACGGGCCAGTCTCCTACTGACTCTGCGGCTGCCCACCCCTGCTCATGGCCCTGACACCCTTGCAGTGGCTGCATCTTCAACTTGATCCTAAGGCCAAAGTTTTCTTCACCAGGCTCCACTCACAACAGCAAGGTATAAAAGGGTTCCCATCGCTGCACGGCAGCTATCGCAACTCTCCGTTTTTATAACCTTGCATTTAGAACAACGATTTTCTGTTTAATTTCTGGTCTATCACAATGAACAAAACCTTCCACAAAATAGGATATTAAGAAACTGTTGATTTTTGTATCTGTAAAAATGATATGGCTCTAGGAAGAGGGGACCTTATCTGATAGAGACATATTGAAGTGTTTATGAATGAACAGTAGTGTGGGATTTGCTTTAGAAAATTCCATGGTGGAGGTGTGATATGTGTAGCTATAACAGGAGCAGCAAAAGCTGGCGGTGTTGAAGCTGGGGGAGAAGAGTGCAAATGCCAATTGATGTCACCCTCTGTGCTATAGGGACAGCTCCTGCGGTGTCACCCAGGGCTGACACACATTGGTAGCCCTCTCCATCCTAGCCCTACACATCTTAGCAGCTGGAAAACATCTAGCCACGCTTTTCTTTCCCACCCTATTTTGGATACAGCAACACAAAAAGGAGGGTGTCAGTTACAGGAATGGGCCGTACATACACAGTATCCCCGTGGCCCAGCCGTCCGCCATCCCCGCAGCCCCAGGAGTACACTTCTCCAGTGGCTGCCAAAGCCAAGTAGTGGTGACCATCGGAATGGGCAGCAATTTTTATAATGTTTCTGGAGGCAAGACCCTGGACAAGCTGTGGGGCCTAAAAGGGTAAAAATAAGACAAAAATTAGTAAGCAGTCCAAAGACAACGAAAACACTATGACTCTCCCCGCAATTGTGTATCTTGCTTTAACAAATCTTTCTTGAACTGAAAGAACGTGAGTCTCTGGTGGTTGCCAGGCCAGTTGTCCAGCAGCCCTGCCCAGCACTGACAGCATGGTAGGCAGCCTACAAGCAGTCTGCAGCATGACTAGGCTGCCCCTGCACAATGGAAATGCACAGCTCAAGGTGAAGAGCATCTTCCTTTAACAGGAACATGCACGCCCCAATCTGCCATCATCCCCACGAGGCCCAATTCCCTCATTTGTTACTGCCCAGACCCCAAAGTCAAATGAGTTTACACCTAGCAAGCCAGTTTCCATAGGGAATCATGATGGGCAATGAGTGTCACTGTAAGGAGTTCCTGATCTTAACAACTAAGAAATTCTGCCACAAAATCTTGACAATAATGATGATGACTGAGATTATTAAAACATGACTAATAATATACAACGAACAGACGCTTAGAAATCTTCAGAAATCAAACGATTTAAAGAAAGACTAGACCTCTGTAGCATCCACAGTAGAGAATCCACCCCCAAGGGAAGCGATTCGGGCACACGTCCCAGAACACCCACCAGTGTGTCACTGTTGTACGCCTGCGTGTACACGCGGCCGTTCCTCGACAAGATCAGGAAGCGCTTCTCTGCACAGGCGATCTGCGTGACCCCCAGGTTGGCAAGGCCTTCACATTGAATTGGACCAATCACATTGGCATAGTATTTCCATCCTATTAAACCCCAACCTATGACTTCTTGCAATGACCCCTGTAAGATAACAAATTAAGTCAACTTTTTTTTTTCCAGCAGCAAAAAAATGCCTTTCTTAGCCAAAAGAAAGAATAATTAATGCTAGGAGCAACACTGAGATACTGTAAGATAAAAACAAAGCAAGTAAAGAAAGGAGCTGATTCAAAACATCAAAATAACCCATAACATTCCATATTATCTCACTTAACAGGTAAGATAAGTGACTAAAGAGGTTATTTTTTTACAGCATTTCATTTTAACAGAGCCTTGAAAAGTAGTACAAGTAGACCTTAAACATATTTTTAAATGCCGAAACCATTATCAGATTACCATTTTGTGCCATTAACAGGCAGAAACCCAAAAGCCTAAGCACAAGGCTAGGAGACAGGTGTCCCTACTGTGAGAGGGTGAGAGGGATCAAGCCATGTGAGCAATTTTGTGATAATCAGCTAATGGGTCCACCCATGTTAGGTACGTCACCGCTGGCGCATGTGCGCATACACAGAGGAACAAAGGTACAAGGTTAGTCATCGCAGCACCATTTGAGCAGCAAACTTCTGGCAACATAAGTGTGCACCAATAGGAGACTGGTTAAAAAATCAAGATACATCCACACATGGAATACTGAGCTGCTTTAAAAAAATAAACGGAAATTAACCCCTTGTCAGATATAAGACTTGCAAATATTTTCTCCCAGTTGGTGGGTTGTCTTTTCATTTTGTTTTTTGTTTTTGTTTTTTTTTAAAGATTTTATTTATTTATTTTCCCCCCCAAAGCCCCAGGAGATAGTTGTATGTCATAGCTGCACATCCTTCTAGTTGCTGTTATGTGGGACGCGGCCTCAGCATGGCCTGAGAAGCAGTGCGTCAGTGCATGCCCGGGATCCAAACCCGGGCCGCCAGCAGCGGAGCGCGCGCACTTAACCGCTAAGCCACGGGGCTGGCCCCTCATTTTGTTGATGATTTCCTTTGCTGTGCAGAAGCTTTTTAGCCTGATGTAGTCCTATTTGTTTATTTTTTCTTTTGTTTCCCTTATCTGAGTAGCCTCGGTATTTATCCAAAGAACATGAAATCAATAATTCAAAAAGATACATGCACCCCTATGTTCATCACAGCATTAGCCACAACAGCCAAGACGTGGAAGCAACCCAAGGGCCCATCAATAGATGAATGGATAAAGAAAATGTGGTACACACACACACAAACACAATGGAATACTATTCAGCCACAAAAAAAGAAAAAATCATGCTGTTTATGACAACATGGATGGACTTTGAGAGTATTGTGCTAAGCGAAATACGTCAGACAGAGAAAGACAAATACCATATGATTTCACTCGTATGTGGAAGATAAACACACAGATAAGGAGAACAGATTGGTAGTTACCAGCGGGGAAGGGGTGGAGGGACAGGAAAAGGGGTAAACGGGCTCATATGAATGGTGACCGATAGAAACTAGTCTATTGGTGGTGAACACAATGCGGTCTATACAGAAACTGAAATATAATAATGTACACCTGACACGCACACAATGCTATAAGCCAATATGACCTCAATAAAATAGTTTTTAAAAAAATAAATAAGGGAGAAGCTCTATTTATTGATACAGAAAGCTCTTCAGTACATACTGTTTAGTGAAAAAAACAAGCTACCACTAATATACTCATTCCAGAGAAAGGACACATAAGAAACTAGAAAAGTGAGAAGCAGCAGGTGAAAAACTGGGTAGATGATGGGCAATAAAGCATGTCTTTGCATTTAATTTTGATTTTTGAACGATGGGAATTTATTACTTATTTAGAAAAAATAAATGACTGCAAAATGAAATAAATACATTCATGTTAAAAATAAAAAGTTAGAAAAACCTGGATTCAAAACCAGGATTATTCTGTGTGACCATGGCAAAGTTCACTGCCTCTCAAAGCTCACGGCCATTTCCCCATCGATACAATAGGGCAATGCTGTGATGACCGGATGCGACCGTGTGTGAGGTCCTCAGTGAGTGTGCACCAGCAGGCTCTCTACACATGTAATTAGTGTTGTCACTGCTATAACTAGCATCATTATAGAGAGCCCACATTCAGCACTCCTAGTGTACAAAAAAGGCACTGGAACCTCCCTGGGAAGGCAGGGTGGCATGTGGTTGTGTGGATAAAGGAGAGCTCTCTGTGGGTGTGCCTCCTGAATATGGAACCTGGGACACCAGGTTGGGTCCTTAACCCTGTGCACCTCAGCTTGCTCATCACTCGCTCTGACCACTGACAACACCTGAAACTGTATACGTGTTTAAAAGCTGTAAGCCAGCTCCACCCTCAATACCAGAGAAGTGAGTCTCCACACAAGTGCAGAATGAGAATCTAGGAGTGGTATAACTGTAGAACATACAAAGAATAAGCATCACTATCACACACACCTTATGAGATGTTGGAGAGCTACACAGAGGCGGCATACAGGGAGTAGCCAGGCGGTCTAAATGGGCCATGACAACAACCGCAGTTTGTCGTAGGTCAATCGCGAGTTCATTGTCTTGTGGAAGAGTAAGGTACCTCAGGAAACTCTCATTGGGGCTCAGGGGGCCGGACAGAAGCTAGAAAAGAAAAGTACACAAGCATCTTCAGAAACAGCGGAAAAAATCAAAGTGAGCTCTAACCGCTCTTTATATTTTGGTATTCACAGTTAATACATTATCTGTAAATCTGCTCCTTTGGGCCATCAAATGAGAAATGCTGCTGATGCATTGGCACTGCACACCTATACACTTACACACTTGCTGTACAACTGCATACATTCATCACCCATGTGCCAACTTCACACAGGTCAATGACACCGCCCAGCACCCTGCAGGCTCACTGCCCCAAAGACCCTTGGAAGAACACAGAGCAAGCTTCCTGGGAACACAGCATTGTACCTAAACCTGGCTTGGAAAACTGAAAACAAAAACCACTTATATTTTTATAAATGCCCACTCTGAAGAGAACGTAATTTTATTTGCCCATTAAGTAATAATTCTAACTCCTCTAAAGGCAGAATAGCCTTATTATCATCAGAGACTGCCAAGCGATAAAAAAAAAATTAGGCTGCAACTTTATAATGGAATGGCTAAGTCTTTCCAGAAAAGACCTGCAAAATCAAATTTGTACCTCTAAAAAGCAGTAGTCCCAGATTATCATTGAGCATCATGGCGGAGTGAGCTTTCCCGTGAACTCTTCCCCCAACAAGATACAACAAAAGCAACAGTCACAGACCAACAACGGAATCCCAGACAG